CAAGGAAACCTTTCTGGCAACTGAGAGAAGGACGCTGTTCACCTGGGTGAGATTGAAAATTGATCGATCCTTGCCTTCTTCCTCTGGGGTATTATACGAGAACCATTTTGGTAGACAATCACTATATGTACACATGAGCAGTCAACTATGCACTTACAGCTAAAAGATCTACTAACTTCATCGTTGGTGTGCTGAAAAATACAAGCGACATATCTAGAAATCAGTAGACCGTAGATTGTGCATGCATGACAGCCAGAAGCAATAGAAGCGATGCACCAATGGCCGTAGGACTGGTCCCCGAGCCCGATTTAACTTCCGAGCCGCTTGCTTTGCTGCTGCTTGCGGCGGCGTCTTCTCCTGTGCCTTCCGAACTGCCAGAAGCTGAATTGTGGACTGTAATGCAGACGTCTGAGCCTGAACCATAGCGCGACCCAACTCCAGTCTCCGAATTGGCGATGCTGCTGCTGAGGTTTGCGTTGTCGACCACATCCCTGAAAGGGGTACCCGTCAATGTGCTGGAATGGCTGCCCGTGGTCGACGTACTGGACGATGCAGACCCCTCTTGCTCCTGAGTCGCGGCGCTATTGGTGGTAGTTGACGGCCGGGTTGCAGTCGCTTTGGTGCTTTTCGAGTTGGACGAAGTACTTGCATCAAGCGTTGACTGGCCACGCGCTGTTGCTGACGACGAGATTTCCGAAGACGTAGTGCTTGAGTTCACACTCGACACAGTTCTCACCACCGTGGCGCTGCCAGTCCGGGTTAACGCCGTAGCTGACGATGCTAAAGATCCCGCTGATGCGACTTGTGAGGCTACAGTGACACCATTACTGGAGGCGGTGATACCCTTGAGGGCAGTAGATGCCGTCACAGAGTGTGACGTCTCAATAGAGGACGTTGTTCCCGCATTCGCCGTACTAGTAACCACCAGAGGGACTGAAGACCGTGTTGTCGCTGTGGCAGTAGTTCCTGCGTTCTGTGCCGATACCTTCGATGTAGTTGAAGAAACTGCGACGGCCGGTGTTAGCACAACCGTCGACGACGCTGCAGCATCGGCACTTGGAGTTGCCGCTGCGCTAGCAGAACCATCCACCACCACGTGAAATGTTGCTGACGGCGTTGCTGCGGCTACATGAACAGCATTGGTTGTTGCTGGTGTGACAGCACTGGAGTCGTCCTGGGCAGCCGACGCTGGAGAATCACTCGACGCCGTACTGGTACTCGTACTCGGAGTAGTCGCCGAAGTAGCCGGATTGTCCGTGACGTCGTGGAATGTGGGCGCTGGTGTCTGCGTAGCTGTTGGAGCAGGAGCTGGCGTCGTGTTTGCTGGCGTGACAGCACTGGAGTCGTCCTGGGCAGCCGACGCTGGAGAATCACTCGACGCCGTACTGGTACTCGTACTCGGAGTAGTCGCCGAAGTAGCCGAATTGTCCGTGACGTCGTGGAATGTGGGCGCTGGTGTCTGCGTAGCTGTTGGAGCAGGAGCTGGCGTCGTGTTTGCTGGCGTGACAGCACTGGAGCCGTCCTGGGCAGCCGACGCTGGAGAATCACTTGACGCCGTACTGGTACTCGTACTCGGAGTAGTCGCCGAAGTAGCCGAATTGTCCGTGACGTCGTGGAATGTGGGTGCTGGGGTCTCCGTAGCTGATGGAACAGGAGTCTCGGTTGCAGCTGTGGTTGAGCTCCGGGTAGTGTCGTCTTGCGTTGACCCGCTTGGCACCGTGCTGCCCGAGGCACCAGTCAAAATGGTGTCTCCCGAGGAAGCCATGCTTCCATTCTCGACCACAGAACTTCCCCCGGAAGCGGAGCCCGACTGATAGTCCTGGCTTACGGTGAGCTGGACCACGACCGTGTTCAGAAGCAGGAGAAATCTGAAGAAATTCATCCCGAGGCGCGATTAGCTGGTTAACCTGCAAATTGATCAATGCCGACTACTTCTTCGAGAGCAAGAAGCTCACTGCAAGACTCGACGGGTACAAAGCACTCTCAACATATCTTGTGACGGGAAATGGTGTGCCGGGGTTGGTGTCCGTTGGCAGTCCCCCTTGGTACATCTTGTCCACTGGAATTGTACCCTAGGGTGACACGACTCGTAGTATGAGTTAGCAGATCAAATAGGTGATACATGGAATCAATGAAGCCATTGATTGTTCAACAATGAAGCCATTGATTAGCTGCAACTGCGGTGCGGCTCGGCTCAAACGTACAGTACAGCACGAGCCTGCATCTGAACACTTATCACGGCATGGGCGTGTTGAGAAGCCCCTGGGCGACGGATTGGGCCTTATCGTGGCCGCAGAGCAGCTCCACGAGCTTCACGCCCATGGCCATGGCAGTGCCGGGTCCCTGGCTAGTCACACACTTGCCGTTCACCACGATGTTCTCGTGCTTGTAGTCCACGCCCGTCATCTTGGGCTCGAAGCTTGGGTAGCTCGTTGCGGCTCCAGAAGGTAGCAGACCGTGCGTGTGCAGCACGACCGCCGGAGCGGCACAGATGGCACCGTACAACTTGTCGTCCTCCTTTTGCTTCTGTAGCAGCGTCACAACCTCCTTGGAGTCGCGGAGGTGCTCGGCGCCGGGCATGCCCTGCATTAGTATTCCATCCAGGCGACAAAGTACTACGTTAGTACTTCGAGAGAGTAATACTACAGTAGTTAATATGACTCACGCCGGGGATCACGACGAGGTCGAAGCTCTTGCCGGCGCAGGCCTCGATAGCCACGTCGCCCTGCACCTTGACGCCGCGCGACATGGTCACGATGTTGTCCTTCTTGCCACCGACGGTGGCCAGCGTCACCTGGACGCCGCCGCGCGTCAGCACGTCTGCCAGAGCGATGGCCTCGATCTCTTCGGAGCCGTCGGCCTATCAGAAGTAATACTTTCGTTAGTAATATTCCGCTTGCAAGCGAAGTATCATAATTTTGCGGACGCACGATGGGGATCAGAGCGGTGGGCATTGCTGACGAGAAGCGGCGAGTGCTGGGGCGAGGACGAAGCTGCTGCGCGAGGCGAGCGAGACGATGCATGCACTAATACAGCGCAAGTTTGGGAATGACGCGCGCAGTATCTTTCGCCCGATGTCTGTGTGCACAACACCATAGATACGATTTCAACCAATCACAGATGTACCTGCGACGTGTGAGAATTCTCTAGCGTCCATTGTGGACACTTCAACTGAACTCGCACAGCTTGTCGCCCTTGAACTTGCCACACTAGGATGCTAGCAAAGCTGCCGTTACCATGCCCACCATGACGACATCTTCCCATTATTCTTCATGTAGCCATTCTCCTCGCCATCGATGCGCGTTGATGTCTGCTTTCGCCGAATTGGCGACTATCGCGATAGCGTCGGATCGCGGGCTAGGGCCCATGAGTTTGACACCCTTGCTCGACGGACGTCACTTTGAGTTTCGCCGCCAAGACGCCGAGCACCTGCCACTGCATTCCACTGCAGATTATCAGGCGGTAATGACACCGCAGCGTTTGCCGCCGAAAGTTCGCACCTCGTACGCCAAGCGCTGGCTGGTGCTGACACTGCTGATCACCTCGCTCGCGTCCGTGGTCGTGGTGCTCAACTATCGAGGGATGATGGCGAGCGCCGGCTTCAGTCGATTCCAGGACAATCGCAGTGCCCAGACGCAACTGCAGGACGCCAAGGTCGTGGACGAGCTGGTCACGCTGCTGCTGGCCAAGCAGAGTCAGCAGAGAGATGTCGACAACAGGAATATGAACACGTCGGTCTCCGCTGCGACTGTTCCAACCGAAGCTGCTCCTGCCCTGCCAAAGCTTCGCAACATTTACCAGGGCGACGAGGACCATAGCGAGCTGCACATCGTGTTCAGCATGAGCTGCAGTCAGGGCCGCCGCGTGCCGCTGCAGACCATCTTGCAGTACTCGGCTGTTGCCGTGGGCCAGCGAGGCCCGATCACGCAGATCCTGTCGGGCTGCACGGACGCCGAGCGCGAGGCCGTCATGCACGAACCCACGCTCTACTACGACTTCCGCAGGCACTTCACGCCGTCCTACTCACCCCACCCGACGCCCAACGTCACGGACAACTACTCGCCGTACAACAAGCCGTTCGCACTGCGCCACTTCCTGCGGAACGCGCAGCCGCCCGTGAAGCACGGCATCATCGCGCTAATCGACGGAGACATGGTCTTCTTCAAGCCGCTCGAGGTGAACACCGGTCGGGACGTGACGAAGTACTACCACGGCACGAGAGATTTGGCCACTGTGAACGACACGGTCACGGACGGCATCGCCATCGCGCAGGACTGGTTCAACTACCTCAACTCCGGCTGGTACGCTCCGCAGGCTCGGGACAAACTCGAGGCAGTATGTGGCGGCAAACCTTGCAGGAACGTGACCCGGGAAGAGGCACGCGAGTACTACTCGAGCACGGGGCCGCCATACATCATGACGCGCCACGACATGGAGGCCATGGTCGATGACTACTGCGACTTCGTGGTGCGCGGACGGCAAGTGGACGATGCCTGGATGGTCGAGATGTTCGCGTACACACTGGCTGTAGCAAACCACGGTATCAAGCACACCCTCTTGACGCACCTGGGGGCTACACACCCAAAATTTGCCGGGGGTGAACGCGAGTACTGGAACTTCGTAGACGAAGCGCTGCCGAACCCTTGTACCGACGATTCTGCTGTGGTCATGCCCTCCGACCCGCCTGTGGGCATCCACTACTGCCAGAAGTACGGCTTCGTCGAAGGAGACCACAAGGGCCACTACTACTACAAGTATGACCTGCCGGAATCACTCGTGAACTGCGAGAGCCCCTTGCTGCAGGTGCCTCCTGCATCCGACTGGGACACTCTGGAGAACATCACAGCACCTGAAACACTCGCACAAAAGCGGCACGAGGTTTGGGTCGAGTGCTCGACGACCAAAGTCGTCAACCAAGCCATGGTCAAGTACAAGCAGCGCACCTGCCCCAGCGGGTACAACACCGAACAGGGCATTGAGATGGTTAAGCCGTAGACGCGCGTAGGATAAAGTAAAATAATATAACCACGTCGTCGGAGTAAAGTAGCCTGCATTAGGTGGTCCCATGAGCAACACGACAGCTTGTCAACAAACGATTGGGTGGTTTAAAGGAGTTCAAATGTGCAGGCCTTACGCGATCATCTTCTCGTGATGCAAGACGCCTTGCATTTTTCTCGTGTCTACAGCAGACCTTGGCGAGCGAGATCCTCGTACGTCTTCCGGTTGAGCACGTTGCCTTCGGAGTCCTCAAACTCCTCCTCGTTCGACGCATTCCAGCTCTCAGCATCGATCTGGTCCTTCAACTTTTCGTAAACTGATGAAGCATAGCCACAGCAACGTTAGTTTCAGCACAGCAGCTTGCAAGAAATGCGCAAAAACTTACGTTGAATCGCGTCTCTCATCAGCGTAATATCGTGGAAGTGTTTCGTGTTCGGGATCTTGAGGCAGCGCATACCAAACGCGTGACGCCACTCCTGGAAGTGACGGTCGAACGCACGCCGTCCCCAATAGCTGTGGTTGCCACAGATTTCGCACTTAAATTCGACGCCAAGGCCGTGCAGCTTGTACAACCAGTACGGAATCGGCTTTCCATCCCAGCCCAGGGGCAAGTTCAACGGGTTGTAGAGTTGCTCCTCCTCGTCCTCGGCCTCTTCATTCTCATTCTCCACATCCACATCAGAGAATGCGCCTTCCTCCTCCTCCTCGATTTCGGCTTGGAGCTCCTCGTGTGTGCGCGTTTGCTTGAGCTCCAGATACGAGATTGTGCCTTGGACCACCTCCGTCAACAGCTCGTACATACGACGGATCAGGACTTCGTCGAACGCAATGTTCTTCCGCTTTTCCTCCATCTCCTTCTCTGCACCTTTGCTTGCCGCAGCACCGTTTGAAGCTGCTCCGTTACTGTCAGCACCGTCCGAACTCTTGGCAGCCGCAGCAGCAGCGAACTTCTTGTGCTTCTTTCCCGACAGGTGGCCATTGTAGACACCCTCGGAGCTGAACTGCTTGTTACACAGCTCGCAAAAATGTGGGGACTTCTTATTATCGCCTCCATTTTCTGCCTCCTGGTTTGAGTCCCATCCAGCGACTTCGTGTAGCGCCCACTGCTTCTCGAACTTTGCAGAAGTCTCCTCAATCACGTCGTCCAGATCCACGAGAGGCTGCGTGCGTCGGTAGAAATCCAATAAATACTCCTTCAAGTCCTTCAGATACTGCTGGTACGGTGCCGACTGCGTCTTCTGCGCTGCTGGGATAGCCGAAAAGTCCGAGAACGAAGCCAAGTAGGCCAGATAGTCGATCGAGTTGCTTGACAGTGTTTTCCTCCCCTTGGTCCTGGCGCTCGAGCTCAGCGCTTCCTGCGTCTTGCGCGCTTGCCTAATTGTTTTAATTTTCCAGAATAAATTAGTCACTGCAACAACTAGAGTAACAATTCAGAAAGCAAGGATTTACCCACCACTTGAGCTCTGGGATATTCAAGAACCGCGTGTAGAACTCGTTGAGATCCACGTACTTGCCGAAGCGCTCTTCGCCCGAGAACTGGACGTTCGGGTGCAGCGCTTCCTCCAAGTTGGGCGCGTGCGAGACCACCGAGTTCGGATACTTGCGGTGGAACGTGCGGATGGACTTGAGCTGCTCGTAGAACGACGTGAACACCGCTCGACCGCGCATGTTCTCCGTCTCCTCTGCAAAAGTACTATAAAACAATAGCAACCCGCAGCTCAGTTTAGTAGCCGCTCCATAGCTCTAGTTCTGCGTTGACGCAAGCTTGTGACGCACCCGTCCTCGTCATCGTAGAGCTCCTTGACGTGCTTGCTGTGCCGCGTAACGGCGTCCAGCAAGTTGCTCACTTTGTGGCCGTGCAAAACTCGGCCGCGATGCTGTTGCAACGTCCAAAGTGCAGCCAGAAGGTAAGAATTAACGTAAAAAGTATGGGTCTGACACTTGCTCGTCTTCTGCTACAGCCAGAGGGACGTACGTTGCGCGGTTTCTCGCCCAAAGTGGCCACGACGGCGCGCTCCAGCGCCTCGATCTCCTCCTGCTCCGCGCGCAGCTGCTCCAGCACCGTGGACGACATTGATCGGCGGGTCTTCGACGTCGGCTTGGGACTCGGGAGTAAATTGCGCCCTCCCGCTACTTCGGAAATAGCCGGAATGTGGTGTAAACAACACGAACAAGTGACGAGGTGAGAGATGACTGCACTCCACTTCAACGCGCTATTTACTCACTGCTTTTGGCTTACGCCTGCCCTCTCTGGATGCTGAAGCAACGTAGCGATAAGAATCTTCCTATTCCTAATAAACTTCTTCGTTGTACGTACGGAGATGGCTGCATCAGTCGCTGTCGCTGTCCAGTAGGCAAATGATGTCCATGTCGCTCGGCATCGCTACGGGTTTTGGGGGCGGCCGCGCTTGACGTCGTTGTCGCTGGTCGAACGGGTTGCTCACGTTGTGATTCCGGGACAGAGAGGCCATCGAGCTGGCCAACGTCGACTCGGCTTGGTTCAGCACCTCTTGCGGAGGGGAGACGGCCGGCGCTGATGTCACTGCAACAGTGGGCGCCGGGGGAGGCATACTGTTAACGATAGTGCTCGCAGATATCGAATACATCCATGAAGGCAAATTACCTGTGTTGCTGGCCGCCGCGTTGCTGGAAGGGAACAGATTCTCGTCCAACGGGAACGGGAAATACTCACCGCAGTTGCCGTCGCTCGTTGGGTTGGCGGCACTCGAAGTTGCTGGTGCGTCCCATGCGTCGCTGCCCACAGTCAATATATCAATGTCATCATCCAGCAGAATCGGACTTGATGCAGATGCAGCGGCAGTAGTGGTAGTAGTGGCGCTCGATGTGTTTGCAGTCTCTTCATCTTCATCATCACTTGATAGTAAATCGATCTCCACAGGTGCTGCCGCACTCGATCCTGGTGGCCCCTGTGCATCATCGGCCGACGTTGCAGGCGCAGATGCCCCATTTGTTGAAGCTGCACTAACTTCTGCCTCCTCAGCTTTCACCTTTTTCGCTGGAGGCTCAGGCACCAGCTCCTCGTCTAGCCTCCGTTTCCATGATCCATCAGGGAAGATCTCCACTTCCTCCAGCTCGTCTTCACCTTCAACCTCTGCCAGAAGCTTTTTTAAATAAGGATCAATACGCAGATCGGACGCCTTGATAAACTACACAAGTCAAACATAAGCACAAAGCACACAAAATATTAGCTGCCGTACGAAGTCACAGCTAGCAAATAAGGAAGAGCTTGCTTACTTGATGGCACACTGTACACCGCCACGCCTTTGATCGCGCTTTTTTGCTGAACAGCATGAACGTTTTCAGGTCAAAGCACTGCAAGTGCTTGCAGTGCAAGCCTCGAGCTGGCAGGCTAATCACACTCAGACCCAAGGGACAGCGGACAGAAAGTATCGTAACAGTCGCCACGACGTCGTCTTCATCCTCGCTGCCAAACGATTTGATAACTTCTTGCTTGGCGCCCTCGTACGTCAGGTTCTTCGAGGCCTCTTTCACCTCCGTCACAAGGTCATTGATGTCGCGCACCTCCACGATCTGAACCATGAACCCAAACACGGACGGATTCTCCGTGGTTCGTATGTCAACCACGTTCCGGCCTACTCGTGAATACTGGAAGATATTAGCGGGAAGTTCGCGTAGCACCTTGGACGGGTTAGCATGTCCTGGTGGAGCACGCTGCGTAATAGGCACGCCAAAGCCATTCACGCTTAGCTGCGTCGACGCCGGCCAGCAGTGTCCTGCTGCAAGGTCCTCCTTCACCGCAAAGCACCGCAGCTGCAACTCCAAATTACCGGGTGTCATCGAGCCAGGCTTCGGGTCTCTGTTCGCGTACAGGTCGTTGTCGGTGATGTAGTACTCCAGCCGGAAGGAGCTCGAGGTCTTGGCGAAGCGCACGAAGTTCGGGTCCAGCACGGTCTTCTGCACGCGGTAGAACGGGTCGTACGTCTTGGACCGGCACATTTCACAGTACCACTCGCCGCTCAGCTGTATCACAGCAGACAACGAGACATGGATCACCAGTCGTCAGAGTGACAACAATCTCCGGCCAAAAAAATGAACGCACCGTGATCAGCTGGTGGCACTTGGCGTGGACGGCCAAGCCGCAGTCCACGCACTTGACCACTTTGCCCGAGACGCCCTGCATCACGCAGAAGCACCTGGCTCCGTCCAGCGCCGCGGCCTTGGTCGGGTTGTACAGGTCCACGCCACTGGTCAGCGGGATGACACCATTACCGGCGCCCGCAACGTTCACAGCCCCGTACTGCGGCACGCCCATCGCTGTCCGAGGCGCGCCGTTGCGGCCATACATGGGCACGGGGATGGAGCGCGTGGGCGGCGGTGTGGGCGGCATCGACGGATAGCGCGGCGCCATGTGCTGCGGCGCCACATTCGCGCCGTGGTAGCCATTGTGGGGCGCGGGCGGCGCCGGCGTCGGCGGGGGCGCGTAGGAGAGACGCCCTCTGTACTGCTGGTCGACGCTGCGGAGGCCGGCGGAGAGCCTCTCGGCGTAGAAGGCGGCGGACGTCGTGCCTCGGGCCTTCTCAGCGAACGACTAAAGAGTAGGCAGACAGACGGACAAACAGGCAACAGTGAGGAAAGAGCGAGGAATTAGCAGGCAAAGTGACGCCGGGAACGGACCTCCAGCTCCGCCGCGACGCGCTCCACGAGCTCCGACTTGCGGCCGGAGCGCGCCAGGTTCAGGTCCATCAGGATGTTGCGCAGCTCCGGCATGCGCAGCTGGTTCAGGCGCGCGCGGATGTCGCGCAGCTGCTGGCGGGTGGCCGCGTCGCTCATGCTCGTCGAGGGCCGTCGGAGATCCCCGATCCGGGCGAGCGAGCGGCGTGCGCCTAAAGCTTCTTCTGGCGCGCAATTCACTCGTGTTCTCTATGCCTTGGCGCCATGCCTCGCTTGGTGGGCGAAGAACCACAATCTGGCATCTGGCGACGGTGGACACCGTGTTCAGGGGTGGAGACTACACTGCGGAATGTATGGCAGATAGTGAATAAGAGTGAAAAGATGTATTTTGATACCCTGTTCTGGAATGGGAAGGGTCGAAAATGAATGGTTTCAATTCACGGTGAGCAGTTCCACCACCAACTGGTAATGAATGATACCGTGTTTTGCAAATAGGTTGTATTGCTGCATGTTTTGAAAATGAAGGAAAGAGACGTTGATCTTCAAACGAGAGGAATGCAATGATGTGAAGTGTACGAATGTGTATTATCTGAGCATGCTTCTAGGATGATGCAGCTACAGCCTAAGGTATCGGGCGCAAGTTAAAAGCCGCGCATGGTCGATCGTTGGCGAATCGGAGTAAACCAGCGGTGAGCTTTGATCTCCTGCAGCGACAGACGCTTCTCCGGTTCTTTTTGCAGAATCTGGTAGGTTGGCATAAGAAGTGGTGTTAGAAGTCGTCCTACCACGTGAAACTGCTTATGTTGATGACGACGTACCCGAGTGATCAAATCCTTCGCAGATAGGGACACCATGGGTGGCACGTGCAGCTGGCCCTCAGTAATGAGCTCGATGGTCTCATTTTGTCCCTGCAGAAAGCAGCAAAGAAAACGTTAGTCCAGAAGCAGTAATTTCCAGACAGGTCGGCGAAACCCAGCGCTGCGTACCGGTGCTTCGAACGGGGGTTTGCCCACTAGGAGCTCGTACATGATGATTCCAATGGCCCAAATATCAACAGACTCGTCGTATTTTTCACCCTGCACATGCATCCATCAATGATTAGATTTCAGATAGTAGTGGGGTATCGCAAGTGCGAACTCGCCCGAATCATCTCTGGTGACAGGTAGTCCAAGGTTCCGCAAAGGGTGTCGCGTCGAGTGCTACAACACGCATTCATAATCATTAGCATACCAAATCGAACCCATTTGAGCTAGGGAAAGCGCTCCACAACGTACGCTGCCGTCACATTCGCAGAGGACCACCCGAAATCGGCAAGCTGAATTGTACCCTGAGCAAATGCAAGCACGCCCACACGGTCAGAAAATTACAATAGAACCTATCTGTCAGACGTACTGTAGGTACCTCGTCAGACAGGAGTAAGTTCTCGGGTTTGATGTCACGATGAATTACGTGCTGGTTGTGGCAGGCCTCCAGTGCGCTGCATACACATCGACGTTAAATAAATATTAGTTCCGCAATCCTAGAAAAATTGTAAAGTGGCGGGTATGTCCTGCCTGACAAGCTGTGCGGTGTACAACATTGCTTGGCGCTCCGGAAAGCTGAACAGTAAGACACGAACATAGAATTTGTAATCCATTTCACAACGAAACGTTGAACATACAGGGAAAGCATCATACCGGCGTCCAGGCATGGAGCGCATCTTCTTGTACAGATCTCCTCCTCCAGCGTACTTCAGCACCAGATACACTATCACAAGCACCGCCAGCGACACCAGAAAATGTTAGCACGATGACAAAAGCATCGGCTGCGCACAAAAGCAAAGAGTCTGCAGTACCTCGAGTGGAGTCCTGAAACGTAGCGTAGAGGGGTAGGACGTTTTCGTGTCGAATGCGCGAGTGAATCTCGACTTCCTTACGCAGCTGGTGAGCCACGCCTGCCGCTTTCAGCTGTTCCTTCACTAGCACCTTGAGCGCCACAACCTTGCGCGAGTTCTTCTCTCGGGCCAGGTAGACCTGCCCGAATTTGCCAGCCCCCAGTTCGCGTCCAATCTCAAAATCGTCAAGACTCCACGCTTTCGGCGGCTGCTGTTGCTGCTCCTGCTCCCGTTCCTGCTGAGTCTGTTGATCCTCGTAGTCCATCATTTCAGCAGGAGCTGGCGGAGGAGCGGTTTGCTGTTGCACCTGCTGTTGAGGCGGCGGAGTCGGCGTGCGTTGCTGCGTTCGAGTCGCTCCGTAACCTGCTCGCGGCCTCGAAGCCGACTGGAACCTGCTAGTTGCACCAGTACTAGAATACGTCGGTCTCGCTGCAGCTGTCCGAGCTGTCGAACCGGTAGTAGCCGACTGGAACCTGCTCGCGCCCGTGGGTTTCGTAGGTGCAGACGGAACTCTCGTCCCCTGGAACCTTCCAGTGGTGCTGCTGGCCGTCGGACGAGCGTAAGACGGCGTAGACCCCGACGAAGTAGGCGACGCACGTGGTGCAGATCGATGCGCCAGAGAAGACGCCGTCGGTGCCATTAATCGACCTGCGCCACAACCACGTTAGTGTCCGTTATGTTCCTTCCTCCGTCGCAACTAAACTGCGGTCTCCACTGTAATTGCAACGTACTCGTAGCCGTCGATCGGTAGCTTGTAGTGGGTCGGTCTCGCAGCGCCTGACGGTTCGCGGCAGCGGCGGCCGCAGCAGGTGACGGCCTCTGGAACCGCCCGGACGCGGAGGAGGCAGGCGACGCGTCCTTCATGTCGACGTCAGCAGAGCCCGGCGAGGCCTCAGGCCGGCCGAAGTTGGGGCGGCGGTTCTCGTCCGACCGCAGGCGGAAGGAGTTGGCGCCCGTGGGGCGCGCGCCGAAGCGCGAGGCTGAGGTCGAGGCTCCGCTGTACATCCGCGTCGTCCGAGTGTCAATTCGCGACCTGCCGTGGAATAGCCGGACAATTGCATCGGAAAGTGTACAGTAAACTGTACTATTGTAGTTTATGACTTGTAAATGTAGAAGATGACACTAAATTTGAGCGATCATTTCGAGACGGGCGCCAGCTTCTGGAACGCGAGCTGCAGGTTGACTATGCAGCCGGAGACCACTGGACTCTCGTAGAACAAGCGGCAGAACTGTAAAACCTGTCAGCTACTAGACTTGGCTTGATACCGCTGAACGGAGACCAACCTCTTTGAAGTTTGAGCTCTTCACGGCAATCTGCTCGACCTCGCCCATGGGCGGGATGTTGAAGCTGCAGTGCAACGGCAGAGGCGTATAAGTTGGTACTGCGGTGAGTGAATTTTACGACGTGCATGGATGTACGTGTTCTGTTGTGCTACGACTCGGAGTCTGGCGATGATGCGGTCGGCAACTAGGGCGCTGGCGATACTGCAGACGCACAGATTAGCTGATTACTTGTACCCTTCCAATCTTACAGACGCAACGCACCTCTCCGACCGAGTGCTGGAGCTACGCGGCGAGTTGGTTCGACTATCCTTTGAAGACGACATGTCGTTGTATATATCGTACGTTTTGTTTAAGAACTCTGTCATCATTACGCCAAAAGGTAAGAACACATCCCCCTCGCTCCGTTAATGCGGCAGACTTACCATTGTAAAAGAAGCACGCGCTGAACGCCGCCAGCAGTGTCCGCAATGACGCGCGGCGCTGTCCGTCTTCGCCTTCAGGTAAGTGGCAAGTCGCTTGTTTTACCAATTGCGGAGGCAGGTCCCTGCACTGACACCAAAGCATTTCGGTGAAGTCGCCAACCGACAGCACTGACCTCGACCAAATCCAGAGATGAACCACCGGAATGAGCCCACGACTAGTACAATAACAGTAGCACCAGCAGCAACAACAAGAGCGCACGTACGCGTGTTTTGATCTGTCCTGGCGTAGCTGCGCTGCAGCTGTGAGAGGAACGCGGCGCGGTTCTGCAGACAGCCGTTGATGTACTCGAACGCCCGGCCCTTGACGTTGGTGCCCTTGACGACGGCGCTGAAGTAGCTGGCGATGAACTGCGCCGGCTGATCCGGCCGCTTGTCCTGCAGCTGGCGCACCAGGTCGTCCACGTAGAACTGCACGCCCGACTGTTGCAGGTAAAACTCGCTGGACGATCTGAGCAGCGACGTGAGGCCGCGCGACGGCAGCCGCGTCAGAGTTCGCAGCTTGGAGGCGGGCAATGAGGACGACGCGGCGGCAGCAGCAGCAGCGCTACCGTCCCCAGCTTTGCCGATTTCACTACTGATTGACGCTGGGATGCGGTAGGCGCTGGCAATGAGCCGCTCGGCCTGCACGCGGCCCATGCGGCGCTCGCCCCCAGTGTCGCCGCTGCTGCTCATGGCTTAAGATCGTGCGATCGAGTACCGTACTGGTACGCTGTACCGTTTGGACTGTCTATAAAAAGGCCCGCGCAGCATCAATGCAGCTGCGCATCACTATTCAGAGGTAGGCAGAGGCGTCACCAGCAGTTGACACCCTCCTGCGGAGAAGGCCAAGGCGGGGGCTTGACGCGGCGCACTGCAAGACTCGGCAGCTCCCTCTCTGAATGGGCGTGGACGCGGAGGCGCTGGCGCAGCTGGCGGCCACGGGCCTGGCGGGCATCTTCGCGGGGGCGTCCACGTACATCAGCGTGGCGCAGCACCCAGCGCTCATGGAGACGGACGCGCTGGTCTTCCAGGCGCCCTTCTTCCGGCGCATGTACTTCTACGCGGCCCGCATGCAGGGACCAGTGGCGGTGGGCAGCGGCCTCAGCGCGCTGCTCGTGTCGCTGCTGCAGCGGCAGCGAGGGCCGCACGCCGGAATGCCGCGACTCTGGCTGGCCAGCGGCTGCCTCATCGGCGGCATCGTGCCCTTCACGGTGCTCAAGATGCTGGCGCTCAACTACAAGCTCGTGGACTCCAAGCGCTGCGTACACCGCGGCCAGTCGTGGATGCAGGAGATGCTGCGGAGATGGGGCAAGCTGCACGCCGTGCGCGCAGGCGCCAGCGTGCTCGCGTTTTCCGGGATGCTGGTAGCTATGGCCTGCGGTGGGGATCGGACGCCGGCACCAGCGCTCAAGGCTTCGTAGACGATGTGCAGCAAGGGCTGAGGAGGACAAGAGGAGACGACCTTGGGACGACGCTGCGCAGACAACCAGACAGGAGACGACTATAGGACACAGGAAGATTATTTTATTGGCCACGGGCGTGTAGATACCGCAGCCACTCGGTCACTATGACTAATGAATGACCACGTTGAAGAGCATCAAGTCCCGAAGCGTTGAAGGATCGCCGCGAGAGACTGCAGGGCGGGTAGTCTCTCGCAGCTGTTTTACTGGATGAAAGTCGCGTTGAAAACCATGAGAGCCGCATCGGATTGGCGGAAAAAGCGATCGAGTGCTCTCACACGTCGCAGGTTTTACCACTTCAAGGCAACTTCTGACTGAAGTTCGGGAAGGGGCAGCAGCGACAACCTTGATATTCTTTTGGAGCTCAATGCACTTTCCCGGCTTGGAGTTCACTAGAGCTTCTGCAGCGCTCAGTGTTGAAAACGCCGACCAAGACGCAACCAAGAGCCGAACAAGTGGCAAGCTCAGCACCTTTCAGCTCTTCGTGAGCTCCACGCTCTGCTCAAAGGAGACACTCGAGCTAGTTTATGGTACGCCCCAAGCGCTTAATGCGTTGATCCCCTATGCATATCTCTGCCCGAATCGCTATCTGCTGCCTCTGTTCCTCATTGTTGAGCTTCTGACCTTTCTCGGCTGTGCTTGCCTTCACCTCAGTGGATATTGAGCGAGCTCCGCTACCTGCACCAGCTCTTCGTGAAGACCGTCCGCCACCTCCTGCATCTGCTGTCGACGAGCGCTAGCAAAGTTCGTGCCCACGTCTTGGAGCTGCTGAGGACGTACTACAGTCTCCTGTTCGCAAGCGCACCGGGCAAAATCCACGAGACCATGGTCGACTTCAACCGCTGGCTCCTCGAGGTGCTCGCCGACACGCGCTCCGAAGGCATCGTGTGGGGCCCGTCGTACGGTGAGAACCCCTGGCTTGCGCTGGAGGAGCGTGAGCCGCAGCCGGAAGACCCGGAGATCGAGGAAGCCTTCACTCTCGACGCTGCAAATACGATTCAGCTGCTCCGGGCGTCGCGCGAGCACTACATGATGTGCTGTGACAGCCTCCGACAGACCAACAAGGACCTAACGATGCAGCTGGAGCACCTCAAGATGCAACTGAAGGGGGCTCTCTCTCTCGCGTTCGAGTCACAGCGAAACCTGCAGCGTGAGAAGGAGTTGGCAGCGCTGCGAGAGCAACGCCCCGTTCTGAAAGTCCGGTTCGCAGACTACTTGTACATCACGCAGCAGGATCCGCGTCGTGGACACCCGAGCCAGGAGATAGCAAACGCCTTCCGCACGCTGGAAGGTCTCAGCAGTTTATCTTTTGAGGAAGCTCCAGCTGGTGACCCGACTCCGGCAAATGATGTGGACGAAGACGCTAGCGAAGCGGACGTTGAAGTTGACGACAGCAGCGAACCCGAGGACGCCGAGGTGACGACTTCAACCTCGGTTGACCAAGCAGAACCCGTGGTCAAGCCTATCAGCGGAGATGAACAGGAATCGTCCGAGCAACAAGCGACCCAGCTGTTGAAGCCGTTGGACTCCATTTCTAGTGGCCGCGACTACCAGCAGCTTGTCCAGTTGAACACAAGCGAAGAAGAGAACGGTAGCTGGTACCGCCAAGCACTTGGAAGGCTGAAGACGGAGCGTGACCAACGTCGTCGTCTGCGCAAGCCCAGCAAGAAGACCACTGAAGCTCCATCTTCTATGATGCGCAAAGTTGAAGTGGAAGCCGCTTCGCTCAAGCTTTACAAGCCTCTCGCGTTTAAGGAGCTTGCCGCTACTCGAGACCCGGCTCATGACGCTAGCGAATCGACCTGGTACCGCAAAGCGCTGCAACTCCTGAAAGCGGAGCGCAAGCAGCGCGTGAGTCTTCGCGACCGAGCCGAATCCTTCTCCTCCACGATCTCTATCGTCGACTAACATGCAAGCAGAGCAGTATGAAATCCAAGACCAAGAAAACCAGTCGAGATAGTCCTCGCCATCACCTCATCATTCATGATTCCAGCTCAAACCACAGTCAGATGGACCCTCTCGCCTCTAGCGTATCACTTATCCCTGGCTGTGCATGTGTAGTAAGAAACACTTTAAACAAGAACCGAGCTTACTCGGAAAATACAACATCTCCAAAGCCTAATCTGCTACAGTTTACTTCTTCATACAGCCATTCCCCGCGGTCCGTCCTCAACAATGTCCCGCCGCCACCAGGTATCGACAACGCAACGCAACGGAGAGTCTGAGACGATGGACATCGCTCTCTATCTCTTAGGCCGCCTTCTCGAGTCCCAACGTGAAAATTCGCAGCTCCGGTCCGACCTGAGTCGCTCGCGCGTGCAGTTGCGAGTGCTGCAGGGGCGACTGGACATGCGAGTGAGGCAGCTGAGCGAGCTGGTGACGAGTATTCGTGAATTCGTTCGGCTGTATCGCTTCGTTCGTGCTGCCGCTGCTGGAGATGATGAGGAACTGCGTCGATCATGCTCGAGGTTTCTCTCTCTCGACCGCGCTGGCAACAGCACCAGGACTACCACCTCGTTGGGCCACGCCGAAGACTGGATCGACCTTGAAGAGGACGCGCAACGGCCACATTCACCTCACCAACCAACACAAGATCACTGCTGAAACCGAGACTTGAAGAGTGTAAGCAACCGGAATACCGAGGCACCTCACAACGTTCACCACGTTTTATCCCATGAAATCATGTCATGAAGGCGCTTCTCAAGATCCTCGTTGCGCTTGCCAAGCTCCACAATGTCGTCCCGAGCGTTCCGTAAGAGATAAACAGCATAGTCGTATTTCTCCTGCATTTCCCTCTGCTCCTGTAGGAAATCGTTCTTGAGAGCTTCCACCATTTGCGATAACTTTTGCTTCGTTTCATGCTTCCACTCGGCGTGCTCCAGTTGCATCTGATGCATCTGCTGCTGCAGTTCGAGAGCCCGTCCTCGTTGCTTCTCCACTTCCTCCGCGAGCTTCTTCTCCTTGTCTGCAGTCGCCTCCAACGCCAACTTCAGCCGCTGCTTGTCGTTCTCGGCTTCTTGCTGGAAGCGCTGGCGCTCCTCATCAAGCGCAGACTGCAAGTACTCAGCCCGCTCCTGCTTCATCTTCTCGCGCTCGTCGTCCTGGATAGCCTTACGCAGCTTGTCGTCTTCCTCTAACAAGGCGCTCTTTGCAGCCACCTCGGCCTCCTCCTCCACTAACCGCTCTTCACACTGCTTCAGCTCCTCTTTGAGTCTCGCTAGCTGGTCGCGATCCGTGATCAGCAGCGACTTGCACGACTCGATCTCTTCCATCAGCTGCTGCTTCTCACGGGGAGTCTCCGTCTTCATCTGTTGGAAGGCCTGGACGCCGAGCTGCAGCTTGCTTTTGTTCTGTACGTAGCTCTGCTTGCGCACTCGCATCTCCTTCGAGAGCTGCACCTTCTTCTGCTGCAGCCCTTTGATCTTCTTCATGATGTCCATCTTCTCCTGCTTCACCGTCTGCATAAACCCAAGGATCTTCTTCTCGTTTGCAAGCGAGTTCTGTCGCTCCTGCTCATACAGCTCCGTCAGTCGCTGCTTCTCGTCCCATGACTGTTGCTTAGCTCGCTCGAGGTTGGCGATGGTCTCCTCCATCTGCCCCATCATCTCCGGGTTGCCACTCGACGCGGACATGGGGCGCGCTACCATTTGGCGGAGCTTCTCGATCTCCTCGCGCAGCTCGCGAATGATCTTTTCGTTGATATCTTCGTTCTTCTTGGTCGCGTTCTTGATGGACTTGGCTCGATTGGCGTACAAGAGCGTGCTCAAGCTCTCCTCGTAGTTGTAGTCTGCTGGCGAGATGGCTGCGATCATCACTGTGAGCGAGTTGCCACCCAGCGACTCCTGCAACAACCTCGTAAGCTTCGAGTCGCGATAGGGGATGTGCGCCGCCTTGCCGCCAGCTTTCCGTGACTTGTCGGCAGACGCCAGCACGTTGATCACATTGCCCAATGCACTCAGACTCTTGTTGATCGCAGCGCCTTCCTTCAGTCGATCACCTGTTGCACCAGTCTTGGATGCGCGTTCAGAGCCGGCGAGGTCAACCAGGTTGATCTTGGCGTTCATGCACATCTCCTTCCGCACACCAGCCAGCACCTGCGACCGCTTGGACGAGATCTTGATGGTGAAGCAGCTGTGCGAGCGAGAACTGCGCTCGTTCATCTGCGTGGCAGCCACCTGCCGCACCTTGTTGCCCTGCTCCAGCAGCCGGGTCACGTCCGCGGGATCACGCACGACCAGCTCGGCCAACTGCTCGACGTAAATGCCCATGTCCGGGTGCTCGCGGATCTTCAGCACCTTGTCCGAAGGATTGAGCAAGTCCTTGATGACTTCGTTGTAGATCTCCAGGAACGACACCGTCACGAGATACTTGATGGCGCCCCCGTCGTCGTGCTTGGCGTTCTCAGCATCGCTTGCATTGATGCGAGCGAATAGGTCGGCGTTCATGAGCGGCACGATGCCGTGGTCGTCTCCACTGCCCATCATGGTGTGCGTCTTGCCCGAGCCGGTCTGGCCGTACGCGAAGATGGTGCCGTTGTAGCCTTGCAGCGCTTGGGCGACCAGAGGCTTGGCGATGTCGTCGTACACTTGCGCCTGCGTGCTCTCCGTGTAGTACGCGAAGTCGAACGTGTACTGCTTCTTGTCCGACGCTGCATCCGAAGTCTCCGAGGGGGCAGTTGAGCTGGAAGCCGAGGCTTCTGCGTCTGCAGTGGGGTAGATGACCACCGTCGTGCCGTCCAGCACCTGCACGACCCCGCGCGCACCCATCTGCGTCTCGCGTGAGCTCATAGGACGGCATCGCACCGCCACCTTCACATTCACATCCGTCGACATGACTTCCGAGGTGTCGGTCGGTCTTCACTTTTGGATCGCTTGAGCTTGGACACCAAGAGTCACCTCACCTCGCCTGCACATCAAACACAGCAGCACAAACCATAGAGATGCAGCAGCAGCACACCAACACCGTCTTCTACACAGCGCGAGTCTCGGATTCTTTCGCTGTCAATAAACTCCTACGTATTGCTCGTCTCGCCAGTCGAGTGTCTGTCTGTCTAGTTGGTCTTGGGCGTGACCTTCGAGTGTCCGCCCTGGTCGTCCTTGGCCTCCGTCGGCGTCTTGGCGTCGGCATCAGGACCGAAGAAGGCGCCCCTGAAGGGCAGCAGCGGCATGATCTTCTCGTGGAACTGCCACCGCAGGCGGTCCACGACGCCCTCCACCGAGTCGAGCGCCGGACGCACGTCCAGGTACACGGACAGCGGGCGGCCGGGCTCGGGCTGGCCGCTGTAGAAGTCGATGACGTAGCGCACCTCCTTGCCGTCCCTGTCCACGACCCAGTCGTGGCGGTCGAAGGGCAGCACGGACCAGCCCAGCGCGTTCATCAGGCGCGCCTTGGGGCTGTACTCGGTGGGCTTGCCCATGAACTTCTTGAGCTTGACGGGCTCATTGGCCGTGTGGAAGCTCTCCCACTTGAGCACCTCCTGCCAGCTCTGCTCGTTCACCGTGTTGTGGATGGCCACGATGGTCTTCATCTGCTGCGCCTTGGGGTCCCAGCCCTTGCGCTTCATGGCCTTGAAGTACATGTCCTCGCTCGGGTACTCCCACTTGTCCTCGGTGCCCGTCTGGTGCTCAGGCGTCAAGTCGCCCTTGGGGATGGAGGACACGGCGCGCGCCTGCGACAGCCGCGTGGGCGGGGCAGACCCGTTCACGGTGAAGCCCGCGGCGTGGTTGGCCACGCGCATCATCTCGGCGCTGAGCCCGGCGTCGCCGTCCACTGGACACGAAGCAGCGTCGCTCGACTTGGTCTTGGAGTGGTCCACGGGGCAGCCCTGCGCCGCTGCTGCTGATGCATTGGATGCAGGCGCAGCAGCGGCCGGCTTCTTGTGGTGCGGGTGCGGGCACGCCGCGGCGGCGGAGTTCACTTCGGCGGTCATGGGTGTGAATGAGCTCCTGCTGGCCGCAGGTGGCGATGGGTATGCGCCACCATTGGTCAACTTTCGGCCAATAAATAATAGATAGGTTTCGAAGCGACTCCTCACCCTTGAAAGTGCGAAATGAGGACGAAGGTGCTCTGGTTGGGTGCGCATACCGTTTTACAGTATTACTAGCCGAGCGCCGCCGCTACGCGGCGGTGAATTTTTAGTTTGTTGGCGCTTCGCTCGCTATGCTCGCTCCGCTACGGCAGTGGCGGACCCGTTCCGCTCGCCTCGTCGGCTCTCTCAATGTCAGGGCCTTAGGCCCAGTCTTGTATCTCGCGGGATGCGGGATGGGACCAATCAGAGCTCTTTGTTGCGGGTCGAAGCGGGACGCTTTAGGGACGACACCCCTTCTTGTCCCGCTGGGATGTTGTGTGGCGCGGGCGGCAATAATAGGGCTTCGCCCAATTACCCTAGGCAGGGCACTTCACAAAAGTCCTTGGTATGATCCTGTTACTGCCAAGAAAACTGAAGAGACTGACGATGAAGCGCGACGTAGTCCACCGCTCAGACCAATACGCGCTTAACTGTTCCATCACGATTTTTCGTCCACGTAGTTCATGAACTCAAGGCGTGGACGTTTTTTAATGATCTCCAGCTGCTGTAATAGGAAAAGACGAGCTATCGCGGCGCTATTCGACTACGGTCGGTTTGTCGTTGTTAGTCACGGACTGGCTGCGGCGTCGCACACGAGCAATGTCCTGTACGCGCACCTTGAGCTTTGTTTAGCTCAAGTAAAAGACCGCAGGCTACAGTCACTTTCGTCCAAGGCAGCGTGAGCGATAATCCTCTTCTCAGAACGTGCCGAAGAAGTGGCTGGATGTGGGTGAATATTCTGCGCGGGGGAGATATCCAAGCTAACGCAGCTGTAGGCGCATCGTTTGACCAAGTCGATACATCTACAGCTGTGGCCCACAGCCTGTGGGGGCAGGTCAAATCGACCATTTCTGCCTGTTCAACAACCTAAAAGACCGCATCAAAGAGGTTGCCAAATTCGAGCTTTGGTCCTGGAAGCTTGATCTTGGACAGTGCTTCTCGGATGCGAGTCTGAGGCTGCTGCAGCCTTTTCGCTGCAAGCGAAAACTGAAGTATGGAAATATTTGGGGCTTCGTGCCCACGAGTTCGATGGTGCACGAACTGGCAGAAGCCAATATTTACCTATACCAGTTATAAATCGGACGCTCGAACACGATTTTTGAAGCGAATCTATCGTGGTCCATTTTCCCAGGAGGATTTAAAGGCTTCGGTAGGTGGTCGGTTGAAAACTTCTATTTATTATCAGCTACTATGTTCCAGTTTCGCCGATAGTAGAACGCAGCCCAGCGATAGAGCTTCCCCCTCTATCGCAACCTCCTTTGGCCGGTGTCGTAGATGTTGCATGAAGACCTGGCGACTTGAAACACGCCTCGAACTAATTCATGCGGTAGTGGATTTTGTACGCCTTGTAGAGACTCCTGGGGATGTCGTCTTTGATTTTTTTCGGGAGGTATCCATTGGCCTTCCATTTCGTGAACATCTGGAAGCGGAGAATCGTATCCTTGCCCATATTTGACAGAGTGTTCGCGCCGAACAAGCCGTTCCGCTCTTCATTGTCGTAGTTGGAGAGTTTGGCTTCGCCATCCTCCGTGTGGTGGCTTCGGAGAAATCGCTTGTCCACGCCAGCGAGAACATTCGGCGAGTGAACGGCGTTTACGTTCGTCACGCCAGTCTCGTCGGCCTTCGATACTGCAGTGCCGCTTGCGAGGAGGACGGCCGCAAGAACAACAAAGGTGGTGCTGGAGAGACGCATAGCTGGGAGTTCGTTGGTTGTTGGGTCTTGAGGGCTGGACGGAAAATGGCAGAATGAGAAACGTGGCATTTGTCCGTCGCCCACTTTCCGGTACCTCCAGTAGCCCAAAGGAAGCGGCAGGTATACGGGCTGTCGTAAGGCACAACCCCAACAACGATCCCGCAGTACATAGTACATGACATGCACAAGCAAATTGCTCTCAGATCCGGCCTACAACGGCACAACCGTGCTAAAGAGAGTGCGCAGCTCCACCGACCATTGAGACTTGCAACGAGCGTTTAGATCGGCTCTACTGCTGTACTGGCCCGTCGCCATTTACTCAACCTTTTACTCAAAGCCTCCTCCGTGAGCAAACTTGTGCATCTGCGTTAGAACTTGAGTAATTTGCTCAGCATTTACTCCGACAGGACGTCGAGACAAAATTCTTTCCGACAATGAGGTCCAGAGGTGCACCGCGTATTCGGCATGGGTACATACATCGGCTATAGCAGGAAATCATATATGATAGGTCACTGGTACTTGTAATGTAGTCAAATCCCAATCTACTATCTTGGGGTATTGATTTATACCTGGTAACTGAGAGGATGGCTTTGTTCGCAAGAACACATCCGAGGATGGCTAAGCTGGCTTTGTTCGCAAGAAACACATCCGAGGATGGCTAACATATGATATGTTAGCCACCCTCGTATATGTTACATATCCCATATGTCGATTTTTCTCAAGGCGAGTACTTAGGTAAGCTGTTCATTTCCGGATTTCCCAAACCGCCGCCTACCACTCAATGCTCCGCCGCTCGACGCAACCGAACGTATTGCTTCAATGGAGATGAGTCCTACGGCAGACCGTATGACCGAGGAATGTTATGGTACCCATGCACTGATAACTCTACTAATGACTTGGAATCCGTGTTATAGTAACTCGGTAGGTCCCGTACTACCGCAGTGACTCGCTATCCGTGTTACAGTAACTCAGTAGGTACCGTGTTACCGTAACTCGGTATCCGGCAGCGGCGCTATTATTAATATTATATCCTAGGATAACAGCTTGTACGGCTGCCATGGGCATCTGCTACATTCGGGACCTTTTCCTCGCCAGCCAAATCGATAATTTGGCTCGTTAGTTTCTCCCCCATCGACTCTTGTAGACGACTTGTCACAGACAAACAAGTCGTGCTCGGCGCGTAATCTTCGCAATCCTACTACATGTATACTGTAGCTACGTACCAGGGCTCGCAAAGAGAGAGCGCTATAATCACAGAACAAGAAGGTCATTTTCACAGAGAGTGGGGTGATTTTACAGAGCGTGGGGTCAAACTACATGTACAGACGGTGGTGCACAATCACAGAGACTGCGATTGCTACACAGAGCACGCTCCTGTAACCTTCGGCACAACGTAACCCGTGCAATTCTGCCGCAGAATTGCCGCTCATTTACTATTTCATATTATTGCTGCTACTCGCGGTTCCGGCTCAACACCTGCGCACAGTGGGGGCTTCTGACTGTAGCATCCAGCAAAGAGCGCGGGTGGGGGTTGTCGACAGTTTTTTTTCTTTTTTTTCGCAGCTACACTTGGACTTTGTATGAGGCGACAAACCAGCCTCACGGCGATACTCGCGATGTAGAAAAAGAAAGTTTCAACAACACGGATACCCCTGCCAAACCCATTCTATGTGTGTTTATAACCTATTGTGCTTTGCATACTTTTTGGCACTTCGGACTGTAACTTGTACGACTTATCTATAAATCTTACTCGAGTACGAATTGCTGTAAGTCGTTGATTGACCATCAAGTGCGCATATGTCATCTCCTGCATGATTTAGCACATCCAGCATGGATTTATCCGTCGTTGTCTGTAGCATCCTTTTGGCACTTTCCGAAAGTGCCATTTCCGAGCCAAACTGGCTTCGAAACACGACTTGAGCAAGTCGCATTCAAAGCCACTATGATTTACCCCTAAGTACGAACACTAACTAGTGCACTAATTAGGAGGGCAAACTGGTTGCAAAGCACAATACATACTGTAGCTGCAAACTATTATACACGGGCAGGGCTCAGCGAAAGCTGAGATAGGAGGATTTTGGAATACGTGTACCTCGACTTATTCTTAGTGTTTGCGCTAGAAGTGTTTTTTTTTTTACGATCCGCAGTACCACTCCGTTTCAAAAAGAAAGCATGATTCACCGTGAAAGGTTGTTTCAGAAAGATAGCACGAAAAAGACTTGGTTTGAGTATGGGAGGGATTACTGACATCTTCAAATCACGAATGACTTGTACTTTCTTGTGCATTTCCGAAGAGAAAAGCCTACTAGCCACACGATATTCAAGTGTACAAAGGTCAATTCTAAACGGTTCAGGTAAACTAGCACATCAATTGAAAGAGGAGAATTCAGCAGTTCAAGTGGTGCAATTTTTACGCGAAAACGTTGAAAATTGATTTGGAGGGCGCATTTTGACGCCAATCGTGCTTTCATTTTGAAACGGAGTGGTATTTGCCCCGTACGCGTTTAAAACAATCATCAATTCCTCAGTTATTTACTTGACTTTATTCTAGATACGTAGTTGATCTGTGGGGCTGATACCTGTCCACCCCGTCATCTCCGTGTCTGCAAGACGGAAGTCTCCGTCCATTTCAACGCAGTTGCGAACAGCGTACAATAGTCGCTCTCTGCAGATTTCGTCGCTTGAATAGCGCGGGAGCTGCAGCGCGAAGAAGCACGTGTGCGACTTGGGCATCTGCGAGTCCATCCAGCCTGCAGTCGACCCTCCAGCTGAGCTGCCTCCGTCTCCAATCCCCGAGGACGCTAGCGCTTGGATCTTGAACTTCTGGTGGAACTGCGCAGAGCCCAACGGCAGACGCGAGCGAGCCCACACAAACCGCAGGAACGCGCGCTTGTCCTCGGACTCGAGACTCTCCAGCACGCGCCAGAACCGCTGGATGAACTCGTCATTGGGCGACAGCTCCTCATCGTACTCGGTATTAGCCTGCAGCAGCTTCACGTCCACTTCGGCGACCCCGCATATCCGCTTCTCGAGCTCCGTGCACGTCAAAAGCGCCAACGCAGACACGGGCATGATGGAGTGCAGTCCTTGCTTGACGATATTCATGACCTCCTGGGTCTCCTGCATCCGCGCTCGCAGCATCGCGTCCAGGTAGTTGTCCAAGTTGGCCGAGATCACTGCAGTGTTGGAGCCGTCGTCGCACAATTCGACCGTCCGTCCGTCCGACAGCACCGTCGTGAATACCAGGTCCATAGCCTCCAGCTGCTCCTCCAACTCCCGACGCTTTGGCGAGGCAGTCTCAGTGTGTCTAAGCTCGTCCGAGATGCCACGCAGCGTCTTCCAGAGCGAATACGCGACGAAATCGATCTCCTTTAGCGTCTCCAGCGCGCTCTCAACGTTCGAGTCGTCCTCGGCTACGAGCTGCTTCCAGACGGACATGGCCAAGTCCAGACGAACGCACACACGAGTGCGCAGACACGTGCCAATCATCTGCCCGAGGAAGTAAAACATCTCACAGTAGAGCTGGCGCTTCTCTTCGGCGCTTTCTCCCGGTGAAGCTCGGGTCTGCTTGCCGTTGTCGCCCAGGTGGCGGCTGATCAACGCTCCGTTGAGTACGAACTTCTCCCGGTTCGCGCCGACTCCGTTCCGCCAGTTGGGACTTGGCAAGAGGAACGGTAATACGCACTCCGATACCGAGACACCCGGATCCAACTTCATGGACGTACTGCTGGGTCCACCGTTCGCTGAGTGGTCGGCGTTGTCAGTCTCTGGTACGTGCAACATCTGCAACTCGGCGAAGAACTGGGAGAAGAACTCTCGGTACGGGCCGCCGTAGTCGTCCACGCCTTCGCCCTCGAACTTGACCTTGAAGCTGCGTAGCTGGCCGTCGTCCATGGGGTGCGAGTAGACCATCCGCAGCGTCTTGAGCGGCAGGAAGTGGAGCTCCTCGAACGCCTGGCCGAATAGCGAGAGGAAGAGGCTGCTGATCGTTCCTTCATGGCACTTGGCTGCTGCAGCTTTCAGCCGATTTACCTGCAGCTGCGGCAGATCTTCCGGGTAGTCGTACTCGTCGTCAGCCCTCTTGGGTGAGTTGGCAGTTCTCTCCATCAATGCCGTCCACAGTGCGTTCTTCACGCAGACGAAGAGACTACCACGACACTGAGACACCAGACGACACAGCAGCGAGCTCGAGTCGGGCAGGAAGTAGTGCCACGTGAGGTCGAAGAACGGCAGCGCGCGAGTCACGTACAGGTTGCAGAAGCGTAGGAGGGCAAAACGAGCCACCACCAGCTTCTCGAGTGTGTTTTGTGGTAGCGACAGAATGTTTACCAACGGGGTGAGCTCCAATACCGACGCCTTCTCTTTGACGAGATCGAGGAGCTGCTTCGGTGTCAAATTCCACGGACTGATCCGCGATACCTCGCAGAAATCATCGACGACGCTCAGCAGCTCCTTGTCCACCGGAAGACTCCATAGTGAATGCTCCCCATACTCCATGAGCTCCTCCGCTGACAGCGTAAATGACGGTGTCTGCTCTTTAAAAGTCGAAGTGCCCACGATATCTCCAGACGAGACCGAATATATAGATACAATAGGAGACTCGGTAGGAGGAGTGGGCAGCGTGGTCGTCGTAAAGTTCGCCATATTCAGCACTCGCAGCTTCGACGGGTGGACAAACCAAGCTCCAGTTTCATTGTCCACTTCCACCCAGACTCTTCCGGCGGCAGCACCCACGACCACCCCATTACCACGAGGCGTCCGAACTCGGTCCTCCGCGTGAAACCCAAGCTGTCCGCACGTTGCGTGCGTGACGTCGACCCACAAGGACTTCCCCGACCGAGTAGTGACGAACTTTGTGGACCCAGCGAACCATTCCGCTGTCATTTTACACGCCGCGGAGGCTATTTCAGCTCGCATCGGACGGTTCGCCACCCAGTTGGACATGATCTCGCAGGCGACGAGACAGTCCTCTACGCTCGCACTACCGTCCTCCCCCGTCGACGTTATGGTAAAGTCTCCAGTGCCGCTGCAACTCACGCAACTGTCCTTGACGAAGGAAATCTTCTGGTGTCTCGAGTAGAACGCCACCGCGGGACACACCTCCCCCACGATATTGTCGAAAGCCACACCGAGGTCAACTCCGTTCTTACTGAAAGCCAACTCGCCCTTCTCACAGTCCAGCCGCAAGCCAATGCAGTCGCCCTCAGTGAACGTCTCGCCGTACGCGCGCACGCGGTTGCGCTGGTAGTAGAGCGCCTTGTCTCCGATGAACCCCCAGGACTGCTCGTCAGCTCCGAGGAACGAGTCGAGGTTGGCCTGACGCGACGCGACGCCCACGAAGAGATAGGGAGAGCTCGACTTGTCGATGCGAACCATCCACGAGTGCACGCCCGTGGAGAAACTCACGCCGGCGCACGCAGCTTTCCACACTTCGTTCCCCGAGTAGGAGACGCTCAGTCCGTCCTCTGCGAAATTCAATAAACTGCTCCGACTTCTCTTGCGGTCGAAGAGCAGCGAGCAGCCTTCCGCTTTCGCATACGTTGGTACAGAAGGAGGCAGAGGAGATACCAGTGAACCAATTCCGCTGCTAGTAAGTGAGGCTCCAGCCAAGTGCTGAACCCCTTTAGAGTCGCTAAAGCCTGACAGACGCTGGAGGGCATGGAGAAGCTCGACGTAACCTTGGAGATACTGCGAGAAGAACAGACGGCCTTGTAGCAATTCCCGACTGTGCCGCAGAATTGCTGCCGACAAAAAATCCCCAACAACAAGTTGAGACTCGCTCACGAGGTCTGTTGTAGACCCATCAGTCCATAATACTGCCAACAGCCTGCTGATAGTCCGGATAACCACAAACTTGAGCGGTAAATTCGTCGTTCCAAGGCAGCATCGAAGGCGACGCAGAACCTTCTTGGCGAAATGTTCAGGAAGGGATAACGAAGCGCCCTTGGCCGCAACCAGCAGTGAGTCTAACATCCACACGACCAGTTCAATCGCAGGTTCTTCCACCACCGTTTTATCAGGTCTTTTGAGGTCTCGTTGAGTCCACAGAACAGCCTCGCAGGCTTTATTCGACGCTGCAGCTTCAAGTTCATCCAGACAAAACTCGAAGGATGCCGTCGTAAACGCTGTGGCGTCATAACTGGTAAAGTGTCGAAAAGCCCTTGAAAATACGTTATCAGGAGGAAATTCCCAGAGTTGAACGGAGTTTGCAGTCGTCGATTTGACCCTTGAAACAATCGCGAACTGGTCCCCACGTAGTAACACCAACTTGGCGAGCTTAAACCATTGAACGTACGAGATCTTCAGACGCAGAGTCGAATCCGTGGTCTGGTGCAGTAACGTGACCATGCACCGACGTGCGTATAATGTGCACAAAATCTTCTCAAACTTTCGTAATTGCTCGATTAAACCCCTGAGGTCGAGTTGATTCATTTCCGCTTGGGAATCTTCATCAAGTGGAGAGCGTGGTGTGGTTTCAGCAATAGGTTCAGGGGTAGTAGTAGGTGGCGTTTTAACCTTCATTTCCATTGCCTCAGTTCTCCACGCAGTCATGAACCGTGACTTGGTGTTGGAAAGATATCCGCCGTCCTCGAAAGGGAAATACATTTCTCCAAATAGTTTTCGACCCATTTCCTTGTCGTTCAGCGCGGGAGCAGCAAAGCCGTCTCCGTTGGTGCTAGGTTTTACTTGACTGTCACTTTGTGGGTCACTCTTCGTAGTGTCTTCATCGTTATCTTTCCATGCGGTCGACTGGAGCCAGCTATTCGATGAATTCAAAGGCGGAGGTTGAGTAGTATCAGCCGCTGTGTCATCCGAAGGCACGACGTCGTCCTCTTCCTCGTCAAAACGCGGCGAATCGCGCCCCTTGTCGCGCTCTTTGTCCAGCGATGACTGCAGTTTACTAAGGTACTCGAGATTGTCGACGATCCAGGCCGACGCACTCACGATGTCGTTCTCAGTCTGTTTCAACGCCAATACACACCAATCCTCCGGGAATCCCATGAGCATCAACTCCTCCACAAACTCCGCCCGAGTTTCCTCCGCTTCGTCGTCGTCTTCGTCGTCATTGTCGGCATCGTCGAGGCTTCCTTCGTCATCGTCATCATCGTCGTCCCCATCGTCTCCGTCGTCGTCATCATCGTCGTCATCGTGGACAGGAACCCGCACGTCCTGCTCGTCGTCACCTTGAGCAGGATCCCAATTCTCGTCGGACAAACCCACTTCAGAAGCTGCAAAACTCCTCCGCCCTGTGGCTCTTGAGGCCGAATAGTCAGGATTCTCTCTATCTAGACCAGACACTTGAGGTTCACTCTGAATGCTGGTAGTGGGGGTGAGTATATCTGCCAGCTCAGACTCCCCCGCTTCACCAAGCCCAACCAACGCGGCGTATACTTCCCTTCGTAGAGTACTCACTCTCTTCTCAATAAGGTAAAGCGTCTCGTGTTTGGGATTCCCGTCTTCCTTCACCGCTAACTCGGCCATGACATCAATGAGCTCAGGCTTCGCAAGTAGCTCGTCGGTGCCTACTTCGCTCCCAGCTATTTGAACCAGAATCTTCAACAGCATACAGCCCACGTCCATGAAGATGGGCTCAGAATTCGGTACCAAGTTACCACCGAGCAGAGCGGGATACAACTTACTCGCCTTTTCCACCACGGCACAAAACAATGTTTGCTGTGGGGCCATGTCGTAGATAATACTCGGATAAGCGTAATTGCTCCCGTTCGGATTGCTCGCTCCAACTGGATTCAGATCTTCAACGTTCACCTTGGAATGCGTTGGACACGCATCAACATCTTCTGCGTTCCACCCAAACACTGTATCGTACCAGCTCTCGGAGTTAGATCTTCCGCCGGCAGAGTTCGGAACCGGTTCAAAGCCTTTCGTGTTGTTATCCACGCGGACGTAAGCCAGTGTGTCCTGCTTTGCGGGCGGCTGTGCTGATCCAGGCGGGGTCTCTGGGGGATTGCGCTGCGAAGAACTTGACGCATGGTATTCCAGAGATAAAACCTGAGCAAACTCCCTTGAGCCCCGCATTTCCACAGTAGCTCCAGGTCGTAAGAACTCGACCCCTCCTCCAAGGAAGTAGAAGCAGCCTACCGACTCTACGCGTTTGATAGCGGATAGTTGAATTGTACACTTCCCGAATCGTACTGTCCGAGGGTCTTCTCCCACGGATAAAGACGAGAAATTTTGAACAATTGTGGACGCAGCGCTGATGATGCTTCGCTGCCACGCGCCATTCGGACACCTGAAGAGCCGAAGGAGAAGCTGGTTGAGCTCGTTTGCGATCATTAAGCACTGGCGCTTGGACGACTGGAAGCGGAGCTCAATGTCATTTTGAAGATCGTTTTGGTGATCGGAATTGTCTTGGACTTCAGGGGAGAACTGACTGGCGTGAATACCGCGGGCAATCATCAACGTCCAAGGAACCACGACACAATCGCTAGTATCTCCACTTACACTTATATGAGGACACTTACTCAGGCAAAATCCGATTGTCCGGATCACTTGCTGCACAAGAACATCATCTAAACAGTAAAACCCGAAATGTTCCAAAACCACATCCGAGCAATCTTGCACCAGCACTATAGACGCCTCCAGAGGGTGTTGCAGGGGTAAAAGAGCGCCTAATACCCGGATAGCAGACTGCTGTACCGCTGCAGAGCTGCTGCCCAGAAACGTCCCCCAGACCAACCGCATCCATTTGGAAAACTGGGACGTGAAGTGCACCAAACCCTCAGAGGAGTCACTTAGCAAGATCAACAGTGCGTGTAGTTCCACGAGTTTAAACTGGTTGCTGGTAGTTCCGTCCGAAAGAGGCCCAGATGAAGGCGATTTCTTCTCGTCGAACACGCTCCGAACGTGAATGGGGGACAGCGACCGATTGTGGAAGCGGAAGTGGCTCAACCACCCGTCAAAGCATCGGAAAGCGCCCGACTTCGATAGCAGAGCGAGCTCTGATGCGTTGTTGGACGTCATTCGTGGATCCCATTCCGCAGCTTTCATGATCCCAAGCGAGCGCGATAGAAAGCTGATAGCTGATGTCACGGACGCCACAGGGCTTGGATGGGAAGCTTCTCCAGCGGTGGGGAATCTACCGAAGTGGAGCGGTAAATCTACATTTCCAGCCGCCCAGATTGGAATACTTTGAGCCGCAAGAGAGCGCTGACAGTCTAGTACGCCGTTCATGTACAGACGGATTTTAGTCGCTTCTAGGACGACCGCCACGTGAATCCACTTGCCCCCAGCTACTGCTTGTTTGGATAAAATCCGCTCCCAAATCCGACCTGTAACCGTGAATTCACTGCCTGCAGAGTCCGCTTCTCGGTTCAAGTCCATCAAGATCCCCACTTCCAGCTGCCAATTGTCAATGCTCTCGGGTACGAGCACCAAGTAAAGCGAGATCTCTCGAGCAGCACCTCGCATGAACACTAGCTGGCGGTCGTGAGGCAAGCCAAACAGCTCGTCTTGAGGTCGTGATGCTGCTGTGGAGTTGATGCACAGCCACGTAGTGACGCTGTATTCGTTGGGTTTTACCAGCGGAGACATCGGGGTCGTAGAGTCAGTGCCCGTTGTGGATGGAGAGATCATGTCCTCATAGCTGAACGTGACTCCCCTACTCTGGGAAGAAAATCGATGGGGAATTGTGATGACCTCGTAGCTCCGTCGCACCGCAACAGGAACCGCCGGTGTAGATTCAACCAAAGTCTCGACATTTGCACCGGTAATAGTCGCTTCTAATGGCAAAAACTGGTTTGAAACTGAGACGGCTTCAGTGTACAGCAACTCAGCAACTCCTGATAAGACTGGGAACGTAGGCATATAGACTTCTCGTCCACTATCGACAATCTGAATCGCGAAGTGCACAAAAATATAGCGGAACAGAACCCAGAGCGTGTCTTCCAAGCGCGAGAGCTGTTTTTCAGTGATAAATTGCGCCAGCGTCGGCAGCCCCCCACTCCTCCCAACGATACTATCCACAGACGGAATCTGCACTGACATCTCGCCGTTTGTACCAACACCACGCTTACTGGAAAGACCCTGGAGCATATCCTGAATAACGCCGAGTATGCCGATATCACTGACGAACTCGAACTGCTCGGCGTTGAAGTGGACGCCCCAGGCGCTTAGCAGCGCTATAAGAATCCAAAACATCGAAGAAGCCTCCGATTCACCAGGTTCCATCAACACGGCCGCCTTGTCCGTCATCATCTCCGTCAGCTTTCCCACATACTCAGAGAACGCATCGCTCTGGAGGCTCGAGTAGAAGTTACCAACGTTGCGAGACCCCGCTAGGATAAAATGCCCAGAGGATTGAAACACAAACACTTGCGAAACTTGATGAACGACGTCAGCTTGGATCGAATCGAACGAGACGATGGTCAGAAGTTCCCATAGATTTTCCAGGCCACGGACAGAGCAGCTCACGCGTCGACACGGATCGACTAGTAAGGCTCGGACTGCGCCTCTAGTCGATACTTCTTCATCCGATGTAACAAACGCCAGAATTTCCTGCGAGACATCCTGTCGGCCAGATTGAAGCATGTTCTTCCACCGTATCATAGTGTGCACTAGAATTCTGACCGTTCTCCACCTCGACGTAGGGTATGCTACCAAGAACGGCAGTTTTTCGTCAGTGTACGTTGTGTGGAGATGCCTCTTCGCCGACGAAGCTGAAAGCTTAAACGCTGAGCTGGCGGAGACTAGGAACGCAGGGTCATAAGGCGCAATATAGCCCGCATCCAGCTGGAGATTCAAGTGTTCCTGCTCTTCGTGCACATCAACGAGTGTCAAAAGCTTGCAGCGGTCGATAATCGTCTGCTGTACAGTTAGGATGCGATCAAATGCGTTCACTCGAGGGGTGCCAGCGTCAGGATGGGGGAGATTCTTGATCTCCGTCTTCTTAGCGGCAACTCGTCGTCGTAGCTGAGCCACCCACTGCCACAAGCTCAGCAACGACTTCGGTGGGAGGCCTCGTGCTTCTGGCCCCGTTCGATTCAGACCTAGAGCGAAGTGATACGCTTGAGCTCCGAGCATGTTGTGGTGAAGTAGAGCGGCGAAGAATGCGGCCTCAATCCGGACGTCGTTCTCGTGGATTTGACTCTCCACGGAGGTTACAGAAGCCTTGAGGTTCATCGAGAGCTGAGATTGACGCACAATCATCCGGTAGGACGCGTCTTTCTTGGCGTAGCTGTCGCGAATCCAATTGCAGAGCTTGCTCCCAGCGCTCGAAGAATCCGAACCGCCGCCACTCTGTAGCGAAGTCAGGAATCTCTGAATGGATCCAGTTCGGAACATTTCTCCATAGTTTGCGTCGGTAGGAGCCTCCCACGATAAGGAAACCTCCTTGCTCTCAGACGATTGAGGCAAGGTCAGTGAGAAGGGATGGGTGTGGGGCCCCAGCGTGGACGGTAATGACGACGCGGAAGCGGAAAAAGGAGTGTGCTGAATAACTCGACCGTTCTTCGAGCTCTGTCCGTTCGAGTGCTTGATGCCTTGCGCCAAGGACTGAGCATTCAACCCGCCTCGAAATAGGGGACTAGTCTGCCACCGCTCCGACAATTTAGTTGCTTCTTTATCGCTCTTGTAGTTGAAGTAGGGGTCTCCAATGACCAATGTCACGGCCATTTCAGCAGTGAGAACAGCCAGTTCCTTCTCCAATCTGTAGTGCCAGGGCAGCGCCATGGCGTCTGACGTCGTTAACGTCTTTCGATTGAGCGATTTCCCGTCTTCGTCTTGAGTAGATCCAAGAGAAAGCAAATTGCTGTCGCTTTTGCGTCGGAAGCTCCCAGTGTTCTCCTTCTGCGGGGGTCGAGGGCTCACGGAAGACGCGATACTCTCAACGAACAGCTTCTCCGCTTCCTCCACAGCAACGTCACGCTGGTTAAACTCATCCACTAATCGGAGTAAACTCTTCAATGTCGGCAACAACGCCGCAGCGAACAGCGAGTTGTTGCTAAACTCGAACAGACTGACGACCAATAGCGGCAAAAATTGACCGACCATCGAGTGCTCCACCACCTCCAGAACTCTAGCGTGTACTGCATTATCCTGTAGCCCAGAACCGAACTCAACGCGGTGGTCGTATCCGTAACTTGGACTGGGGAGCGACTCCAGCGAGAAAACCTGCCCCAGCACCTCGCAGCACTGAGATAAAGTCGCCAGCGCGAAGTCAATGAAGCAGCGCCAGGGGATTGGAACACGCCCTAAATCGCTCTCATCCACGCGGAAGGCGCGATCCACAACGCTAGCGATTTGACCTTCGATCCCAATGCTGGGAAGTGTCTCGTCCTTTAACCTCCACTCGTGAACGCTTGCTGCCCAGCTGGAGAGGTGCTTCTGCAGCCCTCCGAGAGTATCAAAGAATGCGCGTAGCGTAGCGACCTGTCGAGGCTGAGCTGCTGGTGCTGTCTGGACGGCGACTACATCTCCTAGACGACGCGAGAAATCCGCCGCAATGCGTTCGAGTAGTAGTTGATACACTTCGGTAATAGGAGAGATCTGGTCGCTCTCGCTGGTCTGTTCCGACGTCGACGGGGTGGACGCTAAGGGGAGGAACCGGACGATGAGCGAGTCTTCGGCTATTCTCCTCAGCAGCGGCTCGAGCAGAAGCGCTTTGGACTTTGGTAAAGAGTCAACCGACCAGAGATCGCGTCTGCATAGCGCTCCACACGAATGTTCTGGCGTCTCGTGGGTCGAGAGCTCGTGCATTGTATGTATACAGAATTGACGCTGGAGACATTGGCACGGGAAGAACAACTCGAAGCCCTGCATGAGCGTTGCAGTAGCTTCCACTGCAATTCTCGCTGCGTTCTCGCCCTCACTGGACGCGTTGTCGAGGACGTGGCAAACGTTGCGCCGGTGTTTGATGTCGACCAGCGACAGGAGAACGTCTCGCACCTGTACAATCGCCACCCGGGTCCGATCTAGCTCTTTGGTCCACGGTTTGCTGTCAGTTATGCAGGTTTTGCGGGTAGAACTTCCTGAGGACAGCAGGATCACCGCCTTGGCCATCCCAGAGCGCAAAAGTTGCGATAGATTCGCTTGTAGGATCCGAATACAGGCCAGAAGCATGTACATCTGCAGTTGGCCGGTCGGGTTTGACTGCGTTGCTCGTCTGGGAGTAGCAGCGACAGTCGTTGCTGACGAAGAGCTTGGCTGAGGCGCTAGACACGACGAAAGCTGCGACGTCGCCTCGATCTTCTTGGTGCTGAGGTGCTTTAGCAGCACTGCAATGCTCTCGAACGTTGAGCTGCAGTTGTGAATCCCAAAGCTCTCAAAACTCCCTTCAAAGACGCAACTCGCGTCAAACGAAGAGGTTGTTGGAGCACCAGCATTCGTTGTGAGAGACTCGATGACGCTCATCATAGGATGTAGCAGCGTCGGGTAAGTCCCAGCCTTGGGGATGAAAGGTTGGCAAAGCCTGTCGAGTTGAGCCAGGATGATCATAGCAATGAAAAGCGCGTCTGCAGAATCTGGAGGAATCTTGCTCATGCCTCCACCCGCTGATCCAGTTGTGCGATGGTTGTCTTCATCACGGAAGTCGTCGTCGGTCGGGTCAATCGCAGGAACTTCGGCGCCGGAGTCCGCAGCCTCAAAGGTCCTCATCAGGCTCGAGCTGCTTTGGAGCTCTGGACGCTTGCTCGGATCTAGTAGCTCCTGAACAGAAGGAGACGAGAGAATCTCTGTATGTGTGATGCCACTAGCAGTGGACTGGGAACCCTCTCCCTTGTCGTTCCCCGCTGCGTCTTGGTCGTTCTTCTCGTCCTCCTTCCCACCCGTTAGCACGACCGTGTGGTAAAAACCCGCGGCTACCAACGCTACGCGTTTCCCAACGAAATCGTCGATCGGGAATGGATACACTCGCTCATTCGTGTCGCCCGTGCCCAGTTGTCCGTGGTTGTTCCGACCGAAGACGTACATAACTCCGTTGTCCGACACTGCGACCGTATGATAGCAGCCACAGGCGAAGCGGACGATGTCTTTGCCCTCCAGCTCCTCAATCAACCGCGCGTACGAGAACCGCTGTTGCTGGAGCTGGAGATTGGCCGTCGAGCTCGCGTTGGCGCGACCGAGACCCAGTTGGCCATAGTCATTCCGTCCAAAGGCGAACAAGTGCGCTCCACTGCATAAAACAATGGTGTGATAATAGCCACAGCGGATCTCTAGACACTCGTGCTTCTCCAAGCCAGCGCGGACCTGAACAGGGACCAGTTGGTTCTCCATCGAGTCGATCCCTAGCTGGCCGTAGTCGTTCTTGCCGAAGGCGAACGCCTTCCCCGTAGCAGTAACCACCATTGTATGGTACTGGCCACACGCTACCGAGACGACGTGTTGGTCCCCCATTGCCTCGACATGTTGAGGAACTTTACGGTCGATGGAATCGTTGTGACCCAACTGGCCGTAGTCATTGCGACCGAAAGTGTACAAGTACTGCTGGCCACTGCCGTCCTCCTCGCAGGCCATCACAGTGTGGTAATAGCTGCACGACACGAGTCGGACGATCCTGTTCTCCAGGCTCCGCACGATCTTCGGCACGCTCTCGCTCGCAGTATTCCCATGGCCGAGCTGCCCTCGGTAGTTGTAGCCGCAGGTGGCTGCTCTACCGTCCATCGTCACGAGAATCGTATGCTCGCATCCGTTGTACGCGTGAACCTGCGAGATGGCGTTGTCCCCCATCTTCGGCATCTCGCACAGGTGGCTCACGCGCGCCGTCCCCCCTTGGCCACACTGGCCGTTGTCGTTATACCCGCACGTGAGGACCTTCCCATCGACTGTCAGCGCAATGGTGTGCTCGTTCCCAGCGCCAATCTGAATGATTTCCTTCTGCTGGAGCGACTCGATCCTCTCGAAAGACTTGCGAGACGCCGTGTCTCCATGGCCAAGCTCTCCGTAAGAATTCTGTCCACAGCTCCACACTTCACGGTCCCCCTCCTCCTCGTCTCCGACGAATGCACTACTGGTAGAATCCCCACTCGCGCGTGAAGACTGAAACAACGAAGCGGTTGGCTTCCCTCTTGACGCTCGCGTTGGAGCTGAAGGTTTCGCTCGGTCCAGTTCGATCAGTACTGACTGGATGTTGAGCGCTTTGAACTTCGGACACCTCGCGGTGACGACGGGTGTTTCACTGCGAGTGCTCATGGCTGACGTGGAGGAGTCCCGGGTCAGCGTCTCCCTCATCTTGGTCATGTCGAGAGAGAGGCTGGTGTTGCCCATGAGGATCGCGCCTTTCAGGTCGTCCTTTGTCCTCTGTTTGCTGATGAGGTTGTTGCCTGGACTGCTGTACAGCAGTCGGTGGTGCGTGGAGCTTGAGTGCGTCATGGCCAGGTTCACTGCCGCTGATCCCGCCGTGGCGTTAATCCCGATCGCCTTCAGTCCCTTGGGCAGCGTCTTCTTCCGTAAACTGTCTTGAACCGAGCTATCTCCGAGCATTTCGCTCTCTCGTTTGCTGCGAGGACTCCCCTTCTGGGGTTTGCTGGAGTCCGGGCGGGTTACTCCCATCTCCTTCGCCTTCAGCTTCACTTGAGCCACTTCATCGTCGTCACGGCCCGAATTCCTTGGGGAGGGGAGCAGCTCTTCTGCCCGCACTGTAGATAGCGAAGGGACTGAGGAAGTGAGCAGCGAACGCGACGATAGCGAGCTTCGGAGCTCCTTCGCCCCCGTGTCGACCGTGTAGTCCCCCGCACCAAGCAGCACTCGCAACACCACGAGGAAGTCCCGTACTGATCCTGTCGCAGCGGCGAGATGAATCAAGCCGTTCACTGCGTTAGTGCGGTCTATCACGTCCAACTCCCCATTACCCGACGAGATCGCTGGCAGCTTTGGGGACGACGACGGGATGTTCGTGAACCGAGGGCACATGTCCAGCAGGAAGCGCTGCATCTTCTCCGTCAGGTCGGCGATGTCCGCTGCACCAGGTGACAAACCTCCCGACGACAGACCAAGACACCAAGAAGACCCCCGACCCCTTAAAGAGCCAAGCCCCGACGTATTCCCACTCATTCCCCGCCTCGGAGACAGCGCCAAGAAGCCCATAGTGCTGAGCACCGGCAGCAGATCCTCTAGAAACTCTCGACGCTGGGCCTGAGTGGCGACGGCAGGGTCGTGGAGGTCGCTGAGTAAGCATACGAGCACCTGAATGCCCATAGCCGCCTCCCTCACCACCTTCTCCTTGGGCTTGACAGGCGCAGCACCAGTTAATACCCCAACGGGGTCAGCAGGCGGCGACTGGAGCTCTGAAGCCTGCAGACTGACGTCCATACTCTGGGCGATGGCGAGATTCAACTGCACCGCCGCCTTCCTCTGTCGATGCTGAGCAGCCACCGCCTCGTGCATGCTCCTCATCAACTGGCGACGCAGTGAGATCAGCTGATACACTGGGTTGGGGAACGCGCAGACTCGGCGTAGAGCGTCCTTGAGTTTATTCAGCATCAGAGCCGCCAGCTCCGGCTGCTGCAAGTTTCCGAGCACGCACAGAGCGTTGGTGAGCTCGCGCTCGCTCTTCTCCTCTGCGTCCGCTCCGTCAAGAGGCTGCTTGGACGTCAACTCGGCCAGCATCAAAGCCTCCTCTTTCGACTCGAACTCGTCGTCCTCGGAAGATCCTCGAGCCGCTTTGGTCTGCGCCGCCAGCAGCCGCTGTCTGATGGTCTTCTCGCCTGTCAGACTCGCGCTCTCTCCATGCGTTGAAGCTCCTGGCCTCCCGACCCGACGAGCTCCTTGCGTGATCTCGATGCGTCTCAGCTGCTTGGCCAGGAACTCCTCGTCCCTCAACTGGGCGAAGGTCAGACGCCCCCACCGCAGGTCCCGACGATGCACAGACGACGTCGAACTTACAGCGGCGGTGGTTGATGCTCCGAATTGCACGGAACGAGGCTCGTATCCCGTGCCATTGACATTGGCGTGGCCATTGCCCCGCTGCATCGTTTTGCAGATCCTGCAGACGAAATAGAACGACGCTTCGATGGCGATACCAAGTGCGACTCGACTCGACTCTAGTATCCTCAAACGACCCTCCAATTTATGGATCGTACAGGTAACTTACGGTAGCGGCAGGAGATAATCGATCTCGTGTTGCGCCACTCCGCTGTCTTGCAGCTTTTTGCGAGAAAGTAGCAGCTGCACCATCGCCTCACGCTGAGCAGACTCGAGCTGCACGTTTTTCAAGGCCAACTCAATCTCTGCGTGGGCGTCTTCACGGGTGTTTTCCTTCTCCTTGAGCTTCAGCTCTTGCTCCTTCAGCTTCAACTCCTTCTCCTTCAGATTGTGCTCACGCTCCTGGATCGCCCGCTGCTCCCCGTACGCACGCAGCACTGCCGCCTGCTGGTCCTTCAACCACTGGACTGAGTCGGCGCCGGATTGACTGCGAGCTGGTGGCGGGTGGACAGCAAGTGGACGGTTCGGTAGCGCTGGGTGGGCTGCAAGTGGACGGTCTCCAGATTGAGGTGGCGGTGGGTGGACAGCTAGTGGACGATCCGCTGCAAGTGGACGGTTTGTTGGTGGGCGGACTACAAGTGGAGGGTCCGCTGGTTGGCGGACTACAAGTGGACGGTCTGCTCCAGCTCGACGTCGTGGTGCCACTGCTGCGTCAGCGTTAGCGGCAGCTGGCTTGGACATGACCTTGTGCAGTTCGTCGTAGTGGGGGCAACGACTAAGCACAGCAGCTTGACGACTCGTTTCGTCCGCGTCCCGAGCCTCTGCACTGGTCAGGTAGTGCTCCGCCTCGCGGTACTGCTTCTCGAGGTTATTAATCTTCTCGCGCACGCCGGCGTTATTGCGATGCTTTATACCAGCAGCCTCCAGGCGCTGCATTATGACGTTCAGCAACGCCTCCTTCGTGTTGCCATTGCTCCGGTCACTGCCGCACCACGAGCCGTAGTTGGTCGGGTTGGTGAACCAGTCCAGCACCACCCGAAGCGAAGACTTGCCGCCGCCGACACCGTCCGAGTCCCAGAAGATCGGGCTCTTCTTGCCCGCCCGCGTCGTTCGGCAGGTCTTCTCGCTGCGTGCCGCCTTTCGCGCCCCCGTTGAGCGGCTGGCGGTGGACGAGCGCTTCATTTCGACTCCGCTTGGCTTGGCTCCCCTCGCTTGGAAATTCAGACTGGATTACAAGAGACTTTTGACCAATCGGAGCCGACTTTTGGTTTCCTTGAAACAAACCTTGATCCTAAGAAGTCTGACGTTGCGAACTTCCGGTGGTGGTCAAATTGAATGGAACGAGGATCGAAGCCGGGTGCCTTCCAAAACCTACATAGAAAAGTTTAATTACTGGGGTTAGGGCGCATTAAAGGGGTCATTAAACTTGCTGATTAAACTTGAATTCTTTGGTCCGACCAAGAGCCTTTATTTAGCAAAGGTTTTGGATTGAAGTTCGAACATGGCGTTCCTGGGCTACTGCTCTGCTCTGCGCGCGCAACGAGGCTCTCATTTCCAGATTCACCGGCTGTAGTGCAAGTGCTGCCGTCCGGAGGAAGTTGACCGGTACGTCACTCGTTTTCTTGAATAGCACGGGGTCTGGTTACTTACATGTAAGATGTTAAGTGGCTAAGCCGTAGAAGCAGACAACCGCAACACCGCCGTTGGCCTTCAGCGGTGCGTCTCCTTGCCTATATGAGTCTCTTCCAGCGTCTGAACGATGTGTTGCATGTTTCCGCAGGTGTATTTCGGCCGGGAGAAGCTCGAGTTCGGGCTCTTGAGCTGCCCTATCAAACAAACTACGACTGCCTGCATCGGTATGTATGAGTGGCGATATTTTCTTACATCTCATTGCTAACTTCCTTTCTTGTTTCGAACCTGCATGTAGCTACGGTGTCAAGCATGAGCCCTTCGCGTAAGCGCGAGGCAACACCACGTGTGAGTCCACGCTCGAAAAAGAAGAAAGAAGCTGGATCACCCAGGACGCCTTGTCCACGACTGCGTTCGGGATTCATCGTTAGGCATCCTCTGGTCGTGGAGGCAGCGACCATGCAAGTTCGATCGCTGGCGCAGTTTGAACTATCTCCTTCTGCCTCGAGTGGGTCGAATGCGCATCGTCAGTCCGTCCCAAGCCCGTCAAGATTCTTCAAGTCGAGACCAACGACGCCGTCGGCTACGATCTCGCGTATACAAGGGGAAGTACATGGAGCCTGCCGCCTTCGCAGCCCTTGGCCTTATCGCGCATTTGCGCCCCACCAATGTTTCTGAGGCATCAACGAAGCCTGCCTCGGAGCTTGGCAAGGAGATCTCCACGACGGCCGCGTTGGAAACCTTCGCGGAGCCTGATCCGGAGCCAGACGCAGAGCAGTTCGACCAGGAGCACGACACCAAGTTCGACCAGGAGCACGACACCGAGGTCGGCACGGAGTACGGCACGGAAGACGCGGAGCACGACGCGGAGCCCGACACGGGGCCAGACGCGGAGAATGACACCGAGTTCGGCACGGAACACGACACGGAGCAAGACGCTGAGCCAGACGCAGAGCAGACACGGAGACCGACACAGAGCCCGACACGGAGGTCAACACGGAGTTCAACACGGAGGTGGATACGGAGACAGACGCGGAGTTTGACCCGCTCAACACTGAGGGAACGCTTGGCGAAGGGCGGATGTACCTAATTGAAGAGGAGTGGACGATCGAAGAATGGCCGGACGACGTCGTATTCTTGCACGAACAATGGAATCCCCGCCACTGGAAGTTTCCACCTGTCAGGGTATCCGGAATGGCGCCGGGTGTGGCTGTGAGACTCGGTGCAATGCTACTGCTTGTTTGAATGCCAAGGAAAGTCGATTTTGTTGCGAGCGAAATTGTTCTTTTGGTGGTGTTTGTGGGAACGCACTACGTGAGAATGATTCTCTGCTTATCGGTAGAAGTTCGCGCACCGGTATGCGCGGCTTGTTAGCTTCTGCACCTATCGCTGCTGGTGAAGTGCTTGGGGAATACTTGGGACATATCGACTTGTTCGGCCCGCCATGTCGAAATGGGCCCGTCAACGATGGCTTTCGTATGCACTTGAAGACACGCACGACGGGGAACAAGCACTTGGGAATTGACGCGCTGGAGAGAGGTACTATGCTACGCCTCATGAACCATGCGTGTAACCCGACAGCGCGGTTTCATGAGGTGCAGTGCGGCACGCACCTCACTGTGGTTGCTGTGGCAGTGCGAGACATCGAAGCCGGCGAGGAAGTCACTGTGTCGTACGGCGACAAGCAATGGTTCATCTGTAGGTGTGGCTGGGATGGCTGCCAACATCGAGACATCCAGCACCTCCCGGACGCTGCGCACGAGTCGTGAGCCCTCCAGGGACCTTCGCAACGGTCACGTGGTCAGGCTCTGAAATACGCGAGTGTTTAGCAAACAGGTCAGGTCTTGAACTCTGCGAGTGTTTAGCAGACAGAAATTTCGTTGCAGTTTGTTAAGGTCATAATGAAACAAGTAAGTTTGATCTTCAACATGAGGTCTTACACTTCCCTCCTCACTCTTCAATATACCTGTTAGCTGAAACTCGCGCTAAGATCCAAGTCAACATGGCAGGGGTAAGCTTTCAGAGAGACTGGGGTATCGTTGTGCTTCTAACTTACTTTAAATGTGTAACAGCGCGGCAGACGTGCGGGATACAACAACTACTCGGTCCAGGACCAAATGCTTCTCTGCCAAGTTGTGGAGCAGATCGTCCCTCTTGGTCGCAACATGTGGGAGCAGGTGGCTTGACCATGCCCTACCTGTGGGCCTTCCAGTAGGCGCTGGTCCAACCGATCGCCAACCTCAAGATGACAATGGAAGCGACGCAGGCGCGGTTGAAAGCGGGGACGACCTCGATCCAGCCGAGGAAGAAGAGCGCGATGAAGTCTTGTCTGGTACCGCCCAAGCCAGAGGTGGTGACGTAATTAGCCAGTACGCACAGCGCACGGCTCTCGAGGGCCCATCTACACCAACTACCCAGGTTGAGGGCACCATTATGACCGATTCGGGTCCTATCGACGCCAGCTTAGCCGCTGACTTCCATCTATCTGCTGACGAATCATCTGAAGACGGCGATGCTGTTACGCGCACTGCACCGGCGTCCTCGCAGTCGCCGGCATCAAGCACTGAAGGGACTGCTCCCACGGAGGAAACTGCCCCCTCGGCGACGCACTCTCGTACGCCTTCAACGCTGGAAACCGAGAATACCCCGAGGCGCAACTCCCTGCGGTCTGCTCAGCATGCTGCTGCAACGTCAACCCCAACGACGAGAGGAATGCGGGCAGCAGGTCGACCGAGAACTCCGCGCCGCGAGCGTATCCCAACCAGGGCTACCCCCGACGGCCCAACACTGAGTCGCGACCCGAACCGCGAACAGGAAGACGCCCGTGAAGCCGAGGAGAACGAAAATCTCAGCAACGCCAGCAATCGCCTAGGCGGGCAAGACTTGCGCGTGTGTGTGACAACATCGCAGTAATGACGCAGAACATGTTGAACGCCAACGGTAAGCGTTCTCCAGCCGAAGGAGCTAGGACGGATGGAGCAACTAACGGCGCTACGTATGCGAAGGGCAAGCGGGTTCGCGTTAAACAGCGCCTTGACGAAATCGGAAAGGACGTTGATGCCCTCGAGCGACAGCAGGCCACTTCCAACGGAGGGCTGATGAGCATGCTTCTAGTCCTTCAAAAAGACAGCGACCGACGCGCGGAAGCAGAGGAGCGACGACGCAGAGACGAGAGAGGAGAACGACTGGAAATTGAAAAGAGAGAGCGCGAAGAGAGAGAAAGAGCTCGGCAGGAAGAAGCGAGGGCTGCAGAATCCCGTAGACATGACGAGATCGAGGCTGCTCGTCTTCAACGAGAGGAGCTTCGCCGCGAGGAAGCCGCACGCCAGACCCGGCTTGAACTCGAGCGCGAAGAGAGTAAGCGTCGCTTTGAGGAGAGGATGGCTCTCGATCGTGCCGAGGCGAGGCAGCGTCATGAGCAAATGATGCTTGTGCTGAAGAACATGCTGCCGAAGTAAGGATCAGAGCAATGCAGAAAGAGGACGGTAGGAAAAAAGGTGGTGTCTGTAGGTATTGCATATTAACAAGTTACATGTCCTCTTTACCAAATACGAACGTTGTACGAATCTGGCTTACTCCTGTTGTTCGCACACGATAATTGGCAAGTCGGAAGAGATTGTCGAGTCGAAGCTTGCGATTTTCCTTGTCGTATGGCAGGGGGTGCAGCAAACGGCGATAGACTTTCTCGACAGAGCCCATTCCCCACTCAGCAGCTTGGCGAACGAAGGTAATAGCGCTAGATTTTAGGAGGGCCGCAGTCCTGACAGACGGCAGCAGGCGACTAAGATCGCCTTCCTTCAACGGAGTCATGATGCGGCCGACCATATCCTTACCACACGGAAATGCGCTGTCGGCGATTACACCGTAACGATCGTCAGGGTTCGGCGTTGGGTCCAGGAGCCTCTCTCGAAACTCTATGCTGGTATCCGAGTCGTTCCAGCTTCCAGGACAATTATGCTTGCTCCACACGATAAGCCCATCGGCGCTAAAGCACAACGTTCCTGTAACATACACGGAATGGAGTCAGCCATTGTAATGTGCATTCTGCACATCGCGCTCCGACGGCTCCTGCACCTGAACAGCAGCATACCGGCCACGAAGCTCTAGTTAGCATTGTTATTTAAGTAAAGAAAGATAAGTAAAATAAACGTACCGAGTAATTTTTCCCATCTAGAAACCCCCAAGTAAATGGAAGAAGTGGTGCTCGGGCAGCAGTGAGTCGCGCTAAAGCTTTTTGGCGAGCCAGCGTCGGCCAAACGATCCTAGCAGGCAAAAACCCAGCCAGCGCTCTCTTCATAGACTCTTCGGCACCGGAAAGCACACGCCTCAGCGTAGCGGGAGGGACGCCGAAGTTCGAACAGAGAGACTTGTGCTGCATAGACCCCACGTAAAAAGCCAAAAGAAGCCCAAGCACTTGGTGATGGTGCTGTAGCTTCCTGGGTCGTCCTCCTTTCGGCCTAAATCGTGGGATACAATAGAACGTGGAAAAACGCTCCAGCAGTCGGTCGAACGAGTGTCTAGTAGTTTGCATGAAGCGCATACGAAGCACGGTTTTCGCGCCTAACGAGATCTTGATATATAGAGAAATTGTTAGAAAATTTGTCCTGCCAAAATCTGTCCCATTGTGATACAATACAATATTGTAGTGTTGATCTTGTGCCTGGGCAGTTTTTCCCGGACACATTAACCAATTCATAAGGGTTTTGGACGTCGGATTTCGGTGCAGCTTTTTAATGCGGGATAAAACGTGACCAAGGGTGGATAAAAGGGTGTATTAAACGGAGTCGCATTAGACCGTTTTATGTAGGTTTTGGAAGGCACCCAATGGCACCCCCCCCCCCCCCACAGTGCATCGTATATAAGTAGATCTTGCTGTCACTAGCGGGAAATCGAACCAGTTTTCGACGGCGCTAAGTGCCACTCGACACTACTCAACGCCTCTCCGCTGCCCCCAATTCACTCACCCATACAGACGCGGCAGGTACGGAGAAGGTAACACTGGCCCAGTCATTCCGGCGCCAAAATGCATGGAATTCTAGTGCCCGGGATGCAATTCCGAGCATGACAATCCAGCGACAAATTTGACAAACCCTCCGTTCGCACCAGGGGGGGTCTGTACTTGGTGTCCCTTGCTCCGTCATTTTACAATTTGCTGCGTACATCCAACCAAGTTATATCCCCCCACCCACCCACCCTTCCTTCGTCACCATGACGCTGCTCAAGCCTCTCCTCTCACTCTTCAGTCTCGTCGTAACTCTCCGCTTCGCGTCGGGCATCGAGTACACCTCCAATGGAGTCGCCATCGTGGGCACGACGGAGCCCCTCGACATCAACGTGACCGCCGGCACCTCCCGCGAGGACCTCATCTCGTACCAATTCGCGTCGTACATCGCCGTCCACTTCGCCGACTTCAACCTGCCGGACGGAGATTCCGTGGTCATCTCGTCCCCAGACGCCAACTCCTCCGTCTCGCACACGTACACAGGGCGGGGGCGGGACCAGAGCGGCACGTTCATCGCCAGCTTCGTGCCCGGTAACTCCGTCACCGTCACGTACAAGTCCGTCGGAGCTGCCACAGCCGGACAGGGCTACCGCATCACTGGCTACTCGCGCGGATACCCGACCATGGACCAGGAGTCCATCTGCGGCGACGGAGACCAGTCGCTGCCCGCCAAGTGCTACGCGCCCGGCACGAACCTGTCCGAGGGGCTGCCTCAAGCCTACAAGAAGGCGCAGGCCGTCGCTCGACTGCTGATCAACGGCACGTACCTGTGCACTGGCTGGCTCGGAGGCAGCGAGGGCCACCTCTTCACCAACCACCACTGCTTCGAGCAGGAGGACTGGGCACTCACCACGGACTTCGAGTTCGCAGCTGAGAGCTCGTCGTGCAGTGACCAGTGCGAGACGCAGCTCGGTTGTGCCGGGACGATCGTGGCCACGACGTCGACACTCATCGCCGACAGTGAGGACATCGACTACTCGGTGGTGAAGCTGCCGGACTGCGTGGACCTGTCGGCGTACGGTTATCTCCAGCTGCGCGAGTCGGGGCCGGTGGTGAACGAGTCCATCTACGTGCCGCAGCACCCGGACGGCTACGCCAAGCGCATCGTGAGCACTGTGGACGACGGAGGTGACACGACGATCCTCAGCGTTGGAGAGGACGGAAGCTGCGGGACGGAGCAGGTGGGCCACGACGCTGACACGCAGGGAGGCTCCTCCGGGTCGCCTTTGATCTCGTCCAGCGACAACCTGGTGGTCGCCATTCACCACTGCGGAGGCTGCGCGAACGCAGCGATCGACGTCCGCACGGTGCTGACGGACTTGGCGTCCAAGAACGTCACGATCGAGAACCTCGTGGCGTCGGACGATGCCGGCCAGCGCGATTTGCCGCTCTACGCTCAGACGCCGTGCACTGCTCAAACCCACACGAAGCACGGAGTGAGCAAGAGTGGATTGACGACGACAGCCTCGAACAGGACGAGGTCGGTGGCTACGGGGACCAACTCGAGCTCGAGCTCACCTTCGCCGGTGGGGACAGTGGCGGCCTCGACGGACTCGCCATCGGCAGCGAGCACCAAGACGACGAGCACGAGCACTGTTTCAACGTCCAACTCGACTTCAACTAACACAACTTCAGCCACAACCACGACGACCTCCAAGTCGGACACCAAGGGATCAACCTCGTCGTCGTCGGTCTCCACTTCGACCACAGCGTCTAAGACTGCACTGACGTCCGCCTCGGTGGTGACGTCGACGAAAGCCACGAAAACCTCCTCAGCTCCATCCAGTACGGCGTCGAGCTCGGTCACCTCAAGCAGCTCATCGACGACCACGTCGAGCTCGAATTCGACGGTATCTACCTCGACATCGACATCGAAATCGACCACGACCTCCAAAATGGCGGATTGCGACTCGATGTCGGGCTCGGCTTCTTCGGAGGACACGGTGGACAACAACACGATCGTCGCGAAGCTCAAGGCCGCGGTTGTGGGGTCTCCGGCGCCAGCGACTGCAACGAAAACAGGTATAACCACACCCACATCTACTCCGACGCCGACGCCAACGCCAACTAGGGCAACGGCCGCGCCTCCGTCATCACCGGTGACGCCCTCGCCCACGCTCACATCCACGCCAAAGCCATCGACGCCGAGGCCGACACCGGCATCGACATCGACATCGACATCGACCACGAGCTCGACGCGTAAACCAACGACGGCTCCGGCTGCAACGACTACTTCGACGTCCGCGACACCGAAGCCTAGTGCGACTCCAGCGGCTACTACGACATCAACTCCCAAGCCGACGCCAGCTTCAACTTCGGTAGCGAGCAGTGGCAGCAGCGGCTGGGGCGACGTCGAGCAGAACTAAGATCTCTCCTAGCTTGGAGACTCTGAGCATTGCATCACTGGGGATACTTCATTTTGTAGGGCGCGAGGAATGAACTCAGGTCTTCTAAAAATGTAACAACTTCTTCATTCTCTGTGCTTTCGCTGCACAGTCTGCTTACCGCCTTGAGCTATAAATGCTTTCGTTAATCAACTAACTTGCGTCCAAGCGCACACCGAAACTTGCTAGGTACGAGCCGATGATGAATGTGCCAATTCGAGCCACGCATCGACGCGCAAGGGCTACACTCGTGAAGATGATGGCGGGACCTCTGGGGTAAGCACCCAGGGTTTCCCTCCACGACTGTCATGATGACAGGGACCGTCATCTGCGATGCTTATCACGACCGCGCCACCCGTCATCTACCCCTTTATACTTTTTTCGCGCGGGAGCGAGGGTTCTAGAAGGGATTTGCTCGGCAAGTTGCCGACGCCGCTGCACGATACTGCAGCTGCAGCATCACCGTGATGCCCACCACAGTCTCCAGTGCTGCACTACATGTACATCCCGATGCACTACCGTAGAAGTACATCAATTTCGAGGGAAAGATACCCGACTCAACATCAGCATTGCTTTACCAGGGATATTTACAGTACAAAGTATATACAATTGTCATGGTGTGAACTTCAACTTGATCGGATAAGTATTGCAGATTCTTTCGAATAGCGACGAGCTCAAGGCAAATAATATGTATGTGCTGCAGTCAGAAGCTCTCGCAAGATGTCATGTTGACCGTGAAGTACACGTGGTCGGCCTGACGTTCAGGACTCCTGGTCCAGGAGTCCTGGATCAGGAGCATGCACTTGGGCTGAGACATTTGTGTCAATCGCCATTGGCGATTGGCGAATCGCCAACGGCGATCTTCGTGCGATGCGCGACTACATCGCCACGATGAACTTGACGATGTTATACGAAGCCGCGAGCACTCCGCACCAGTCCCTCTGGAGACTTGTCAAAGTAATTTCGAGGCCATCGTTGGGGCTCGAGGTTCGGCTCGTTGGAAGGTGCCGTCACGGTAAGTCGGACGTTTGCGACAGCTGCATGCTCTTACAGCCGCGCACAGTTGATTTCGCGGTCGACCGACCGCAGCTCTTTGACAGACAGCGATTATGATCCGCAGCGTGTTAAATCCTTTCAGCCCTCTTAATATTGCCGGGTAACTCGAGTGAGCTGGGCGTGAGTAGGATAGATACACCCACGCTCAGCACATCCAACTTATATGGTGAAAGTTGCGCTGAGCTCGAAGTTAGCGCATTGCATGCTTCATGCGTGCCATATGGCCACTTCGGGCGTGAAGCATTATGTGCATCGGATCCGCGCAGCGAGGTAATGGGTAAACAGGCCTCCCTGTCACAAGAACTGCCCGCGACGACCAAAACGCAAGGCCAGCGTCAAAATGGAGCGCACAGCTACAAGGCCATCGACTTCACACTCCTCGCAGACTATGAGCCCCGCGCACGCATGGTACTGGTCTCGATTTGGGCAAAAATGGCCAAAACGCCCCAAGTATTTGCGCAGAAAGGAGGTATTCCGATGAAGGTGTGATCCTGTAGTGCACAATTGCAAATGCTTGCTTACGCTCCGACAAGTGGAGTCCATCGTGTCGCCCGGTCACTAACCCAATGCGTGCCTTTCCCTTCTGGAACGCAGTGGTGAATCCCACCGGGTGTCGCGGCCCCAATCTCGGACAGCCCTCCTCGAAGTTGGTGGCAAGCCGTCAAAAGGGCACTCGAAGTCCACTTCATTCTTCAATTTACCATCTCGGTGAGAAGCAGCAGCTGCAGACCCCCCTCTTCAACCAGTCTTGGTTGACATCTTGATTCGCCACAACCGTCACTTCAACTTCCTCTAATGGCCGCGCCCGAGCTGAGAGTGAGTGTCAATAGCTTCCGCGATGGCCCCACCGAAGGCAGCCAGACCTATGCCATCATCGTGTGCATGTTCGCCTCGCTCGGCGGCTTCTTCTTCGGCTACGACCAAGGCGTCACGTCCGGCGTCTTGATCATGGACTCGTTCCTAGAGGACTACTGCGTAGGCTGGCACAACTTCACGTACGAGGATTGCACACGCTCGTCGTCCGATCTCCCTGGGCAGTGGACCACGTTCACCGTATGGTACAACATGGTGTACAACCTCGGCTGCTTGGTCGGTGCACTGATCGGTGGCTACGTTGCCGACCGCTTCGGCCGCCGCGCCACGATCTTCTCGGCCGGCGTGCTCTTTTGCATCGGCACGTGCTGGTTATGCGTCACTCCGTCGCAAGAGCACACCATGATCTACTTCGCGCGTATCGTCCAAGGCTTCGGTGTTGGCAACTCGTCGTTCTCGCTGCCGCTGTTCGGCTCCGAGATGGCTCCAAAGGAGCTTCGTGGTCGTCTGGCCGGACTCATGGCCATCCCGGTCACTTTCGGCCAGTGGCTCGCCAACCTCATCAACATTCTCGTGGAGAATACGGACGAGGGCTGGCGCATCAGCAACGCCGTCTCGATGATCCCGCCCGTTATCGTGCTGTGTGGCATCTTCTGCGTGCCTGAGAGTCCTCGGTGGACGTACCAGCACAAGGGTCGAGAAATGGCCGAAAACGTCCTCCAGCGTCTGCGTCAAACGGACAACGTACGCGACGAATTGGACGCCATTGGAGTCCAAATTAGCGAAGAGGAGACCGGCAACAAGGGTCTGCGCGGACTTTGGGGGCCGTCGATTCGGCGCCGCGTTATCATCGGAAAGGTGATTCAACTGGGCCAGCAAGCCCCGGGCATCAACCCCAATATGACGTACGGCTCGATGATCTTCAAGGACATCACGGATGCTGGCGTCTACGCCTCGCTATTGCTTAGCGGTGTCAACTTTTTGAGCTCGGGTCCGGGCTTGATTTGGCTGGACAAGTACGGACGTCGCTACATGGCGCTGATCGGTGCTGTGGGCATGGTCATCGGTCATCTCTTCGCCGCCATCCTGTTCACCGCTGTTTGCGACGGCAACGTCGACAATGCTGGCTGCCACGGTTGGTGGATGGTTCATCTGCATCGGCACTGCGTTCTTCGTCTTCAGCTACTCCGTCTCCTGGGGGTCCTTGCCGTGGATCTACTGCTCGGAGATTTTCCCGCTCAACGTCCGCGCGTCCGCGGTGTCCATGTCGACGGCTGCAAACTGGATCGGCGGCGCCGTCATGACGGAAGTCGTGAAGCTGTTCCCATACCTGAACATCAACGGCGTCTTCTTCCTGTTCGCGGGTCTGGCTGTGTGCTGCGGGCTGTTCATCTACTTCTTCTGCCCAGAGACCAAGGGCCTCCTGCTGGAGGACGTGGAGGGGTTATTCAACCGTGGATACAGCACCTCTACGTCTCCGTCGTTTGTCGAGGCCAAGACTCCAGTTGAGAGCAGGAAGAGCGCTGTCGCTGTGGTCTAGAGCAAGGCAGCGGGCGTTTGTACAATGGTCGTCCTCCTCGCTGTCGTACATGTATTTGTAGCAGCAGCAGTGACTTCGTCGCTCACTAATGTGTGGTGTTCTAAATTAAATATACGACGCAAGTCCGTGCCGCTTGCTACTGCAGAGAGACTTGGTGTTGTAGCGCTGCGCCATGTGCTTCAGCTTCAGATGTCAGATACGAAAACTGAAGTTCGACTAAGGAAAAGATGCGATAGTCGAACTTCAGTTTTCAAGGAAGATGGACGGCACACGGTGATGTGCAGCAAAGTGCCAGCGTTCTAGAATCGGATGGCTTTGAGCAGTTCACAGAGCTTCACGCACGGTTGGCGGCCAACTTGGCCCCTCCGAGCCGTGGGCCGACGCTGCAGCCTGCGTCATCTCGTTGAAGTTGTTGTTGAATGCCTTCACGGGATCGGGAGAGTCTGCCCTTCGTGCCATCGCTACCACTGGTCAGCACAACTGCAACTTGGTCTTTATTAGACGAGTGACCGGCACTATTGGTGGTGGGGCTTCCTCGCCGCCGCCCCCTTTGCCACCTCCATACTGGTCGTGGCTGCCACGGTTCTGGTAGCATGTCTCCAGCGTTAAACGCTCTGCAATATGTAGGCGCTCGCTTGAGCATTGGTCCGGTACACGACGTCGAGCACAATTGGGGAGAAGTTCAAGCGGGCATCGCATAATGCTGTAGATCTTGGCCGAGGGCATATGGTGCCTCTGGTCTCGGTATTGGACTGTATAGGGCGTCGGGTTGACGCTCAGTGACCGCTCGAGCTTACCATTTTGCGGTGCCGGTGACGTCGAAATGGCTAACCATTGCTTTGCAGGGCTCTCGCACCAGCCCACGCCACAGCCAAAGGATCGCTGTCGCTGATAATGAGCTGAGTCACCAGCAAACAGCAGCCTCCCGATTGACTTGACGTTCTCGGCTACCGGTAGATGATCCAGCGATCCTCGGCGAGGATTCCTCGCAGACTAAAGTTAGTCGCACCCGAACACGCCGAGTGCCTGCTCGCCGCCGCCGAAGGTGCAAGCTGCCTGCGGACGACCGGTTCTAATTTTTCGGCCGCAACCTCGCCGCTTGAAGGCCGGCGTGGCGTGGCTCCCTCGCCGTCGTCTGCGCGCGTTTCTTCGGATTCAAGCTGCGTTCCCAAGCCCAGGTTTGACTCGCTCGTCAGCGGCGCACCCATGCAGCCCGGCGCGTGCACGACATCTCTTTCGGCAGGGTAGTGCGCGACGCAGGGGCTCGCGGCCGAGACCGCAGTCATTCCGCTACAGCGCGCGAGACGCGGCGAGCCCGTTCCTGAAGCTGTACTTGCGCGTGGCCGCCGGCAATGTGGGATCGCAGGTTCTGTCCTGGTGCCGCGCGTTGCGCTCGCAGATGGCTACTCAAAGACGGTCCGGCTCACGCTTGACAGGCGTGGAAGGGCCCATCCGCAGGATCACGTGAAAGGGGAGCCGAGACTATGCCCCTGGCTCTGGAGACCCCGAGCCGACGATGGAGCTCGGCTCGAGCGAGAAACGCACGCGGCGCCTTCATTCCCCTACGTTCATTCCTGAATTTGCTCTCCGGCCCCGAAGCTCCTCCAGCCTCCTCCTCCTCGCCCCGACCAGCTTCGGTGGACATCTTCAAGACTCACCGCCACGTAACCAGGAGCGTCCACACAATGGTTGCGAGCGTGAACGTCAACAGCTTCCACGATGCCGAGACCCCGACCACGGGCAGCAGCCGATACGCCATCATCGTGTGCGCGTTCGCGTCGCTCGGCGGCTTCTTCTTCGGCTACGACCAGGGCGTGACGTCCGGCGTGCTGATCATGGACTCGTTCCTCAACGACTACTGCGTCGGCTGGCACAACTTCACGTACGAGGACTGCACCAAGGCGTCTTCGGACCTGCCCGGCGAGTGGACCACGTTCACGGTCTGGTACAACATGGTGTACAACCTCGGGTGTCTGGTGGGCGCTCTCATCGGCGGCTACATCGCCGACCGCTTCGGTCGCCGCGCCACCATCATGTCGGCCGGCGTCCTCTTCTGCATCGGCACGACCTGGGTCTGTCTGAACCCCGCGCAGGACCACACGCTCATGTATCTGGCGCGTATCGTGCAGGGCTTCGGTGTCGGCAACTCGTCGTTCTCGCTGCCTCTGTTCGGCTCGGAGGTGGCGCCGAAGGAGCTTCGCGCGCGTCTGTCGGGCCTGATGGTGCTCCCCGTGACGTTCGGCCAGTGGCTGGCCAACCTCATCAACATCCTCGTCATGGACGACAGCAACGGCTGGCGCATCAGTAACGCGGTGTCCATGATCCCGCCGATCATCGTCATGTGCGGCATCTTCTGCGTGCCCGAGAGTCCTCGCTGGACGTACCAGCGGAAGGGCAGGGAGCAGGCCGAGGCGGTGCTCAAGCGCCTGCGACAGACGGACGACGTGCGCCACGAGCTCGAAGCTATCGGAGACCAGATCACGCAGGAGGAGACCGGTAACAAGGGCATGCGTGGTCTGTGGGAGCCCACGGTTCGGAGACGCGTGTTCATCGCCATGGCGCTGCAGCTTGGACAGCAGGCGACCGGCATCAACCCCATTATGACCTACGGCTCGCTCATTTTCAAGGATATCACGGGCGCCGGCATCTACGCGTCGCTGCTGCTCAGCGGCGTCAACTGCTTGAGCACGACGCCAGGTTTGATTTGGCTGGACAAGTACGGACGTCGCTACATGGCCATGATCGGAGCTGTGGGCATGGTCATCGGCCACCTTTTCGCTGCCATTCTGTTCACGGCGATCTGCGACGGCAACGTCGACGACTCTGGCTGCCCCACGGTCGGTGGCTGGTTTATCTGCCTTGGTACGGCCTTCTTCGTCTTCAGCTACGCCGTGTCGTGGGGCGCGCTGCCCTGGATCTACTGCTCCGAGATCTTCCCGCTCAACGTGCGCGCGTCCGCTGTGTCTGTGGCCACCGCCGCCAACTGGATCGGCGGCGCGCTCATGACCGAGGTCGTCAAGCTCTTCCCGTACATGAACATCAACGGCGTCTTCTTCATGTTCGCGGGGCTCGCTCTGCTGTGCGGCCTCTTCATCTATTTCTACTGCCCCGAGACCAAGGGCATTCTGCTGGAGGACATCGAGCTGCTCTTCAGCCGCAGCAACCACACGGCCACCACGCCGTCGTACGTCGAGGTCAAGACCCCAGTGGCCACCGCCAAGAGCCCCGTCGCCATGGCCTGAGCGATGGGATCAACCACGCGCGGTGGACTTTTGTACAGTGACCCCCATCCATCAAATGTGCGCGTCCTCGTTCCTTTAGTTAGTTGAAAGAGCAGTAGATAATAAGCATGGAGTTGTAAGACATGGCAGGACCTCCGAGTCCTCGATACTGCAGTCGTCCACTTCAACTTCATTTTACGTGCGCCACATCACAATTATTGTCAGCCTCATTCAATTCCTACTCAAAAAAATATTGTCATTTGGCGCCACTTTTGAATATGCAGGAGACCTGGCGGCCGGCGGAGCTGCCGGCGCCGCTCGAGACGGAGGCGCTGGTGCAGCTGAACCTGAGCACGCGCACGGAGCTGGAGGCGTGGGTGGAGGCACAGATGGCGCGCATCCTCGAGGAGAAGCGCGCGGACCAGCTGCAGTCCCAGGAGCACGCGCGCGCAGCGGACGAGGCCCAGCGCAAGCGCGAAGTTCTGCAGATCGAGCACCAGAAGCTGTCGGCCGGTGCGTGCATCAATTATTTTAGTTTAGTTTAATAGTTGCAATACGTCTAAATTGCTGACGACGGGTGCAACATGGCTACAAAATTCACTTGCAGACACGCACGCCAAGGAGAGGGAGCTGAACGCCAGCCAGGTGGAGATCGAGGTGCTGCAGGCCGAGAAGAGCAGGCGCGAGCCCGTGGTCAAGCAGTTGGTGGAGAAGACGGTGGAGGAGGACGCCAGGCTCAAGCAACTGCTAGCGGACTCGCAGAGGCAGCGCTCGACGCAGGAGCAGCAGCTGCATGAGCTCCAGCAGGGGCTCGCCATGTACCAGAAGCTCGGGCTCTTCTTCGAGCACACGGAGGGTGAGTGCAATGCAGTACCTGCAGGTGGGGCGAGGAAGGAGTGTACTGATGTGGAAATTGTTATTGCAGCCGACCGAATTGTGGTTCGGTTCACGCAGATCGACGCGCAGAATCCCAGTCGCGAGTTCTCCTTCCGGATCACAATCGACCCGATCACTGACAAATACATTGGTGAGATGGCTGCTCGGTTGCTGGTGAGAGAGATCATAAAGACACTGACGGGTTGATTTACTCCTTTTTTTACTGTAGTTGACAACTGCAACGAGAACGTGGCTTCGCTGAGCGACCTGGTGCGAGATCTGAACGAGACGGGCGACTTGGCGCTGTTTATCCGCTCCATGCGGCGCCAGTTCAAGCAGCTTGTGTAGATGCGCGTTATTTGTTGCTGACCTCGGGGTCTAATTCATGGCCGAACTCTTCATATACGGCGTCGTTTAGTGTTTTGCTGTGGTGCTCTTGCCGGCAGCGGGGGTTGTCTTGGATGTGGAAGTTGTGGCCTTGGTTGTGCTGGTGGCAGTCTAGGTGCAACATGTGGTGGCCTTGAAGGCAATTGTGGTCCAATGAAGTCTCCGTTATCTTCAGCAGCAGGAAGCGGGGGCGGTAGGGGCGGATTCCATTCTGCTGGCCTCTTGTTCGTCGTCGTTGCTACTCTCCTCTCTCCATGAGGGAAGTTGGGCCGAGCTCGACGCTGCAGCAGCTGCCGTCTCTTTGCCAGCTTGTCTGCTGTATCCTCGTGCGACTCGAACTGCGGCGCGTAGGATATCTGCAGTCGGCTGCCGTAAAAGGGCTTCTGCACGCCGCGCGCCTTGGCGTGGCGCGCGTTGTTCACCGTCTCGTACTGCACCCACACCGTGTCCGTGAACTCGTTGTCTTCGTCTTCAGCCTGCTCGAACCGCAGCGCCGCCTGCCGGTCGTCCGCGTGGTCCAGCAGTCGGTACTCGCAGACCTTCCCGTATAGACTGAGCCGCTTGAGCAGGTCCTCGATCACCCCGAGCGCCGGCACGTTGCGCACCACCACATAGCGCGACTCGCTGGCCACAGTGAATACGCGCACGCTGCGCTCGGCCATGAGGATGAGGATTTCTCAGCCAGCCAACCGTCTATGGAATGCTACAGAGACACGGCAACGGCCGGCGGATGTTCCGACACCTTGGTGGTGGAACAGATTCCGCTTGGACTCACTTCAACTGCAGCAATCCGAGTGGATCGCGACACGATCGTAAGGGTCAAAGGTGGTCGGTCTCGACTCGAGCCAACAAAAACTGATATCGATTATATACTGATGCGACGCCAATAACTTAACGAGCGCCTTCCGTTCGACGTACTCGTCCGCGCCCCTCTCTTCTCCGATAGATAGACGTCCATTTCGTCGCTGCCCCTCCAGCCAGCACGAACCATACCTCGTGACCATGCACCCACGCAGCTTCCACTCAAACGCACCAACGTCCACATTCGACACGTCCATTGGTTGTCGTATAACTGGCGACAGCCCCTTTCAATCGTCGAAGGGGTTCCAGCTCTGAGTGGTTGACGACCGGCGCGGCGGGGGCGTGTCGCTGTTGCGCACGGCGTGCTGTGCGGGGTCAAACGGGGCCGACGACGAATAGTTTACCACACCGGAGGCGCTCACCGTGATCTGGGACGCGCTCAGCGGCGCCACATCGGCGTAGTCGCCGTCGCTGTCTTCGTCCTCGCCACTGCCGCGCGTGGGCCGCTGGCTGCTCTGCGACCCTCCTCTCTGCTCGTCGTTCTTTCCGACGCGGAGGTCTTGCATGGACCGTCGAATGGCCTCCAGCAGCATCAACTCCTCAAGACGAGCGGCGTCCGCGGGCGTCGCGAGGAGATGCGACGCCGCATCATTAAGCGACGCCATACTGTTCGGGTGCGGGCTGTTGGTCACCGGCTTGTCGCTGATGCTGAGCTGCGAGCGCAGCGAGTCGCGGATGCGGTGTCGGTCTTCCACCGACGCATACTGCACACTATGAGGACTGGAGGTCGCCTCTGGCTGCGACGGCTCGGGGCGCTTGGGGATGCCGATGGCGCTGCTGCGGCGCGGAGACCTCAAGTCCTGCGACGTAGGTAACATAAACCAGGAGTTCGACATGAGTTTCTCACAAAGACCGACAGAGGGCGGCTGTCGGTAGTTTAACGTACCTTCATGGAGCGGATGGTCGCCAGCTCCGCAGGCGACGGCGCCGTGTATCGAATCGTGAACGCCTCCTGGTTGCAAAATGGACAGCTACATGTACTCACGACGCATCAATCAACACGAGGTCCCAGTACGTCGAGCTTCAAGCACGGATGTCGGCACGCACCAAATGGATTTCTGCGGCGGGCGGATCTGCAGGTAGCACTCGGAGCAAATGGGCTTGTTGCAGCAGCTCGACATGTTGAGGCTGCCGGGGTAGAACTGCAGTAGGTAGACACAACCACAACGCACTGGAGGTCAGTCGCTGGACTCAAAACGAACCACGGCCCTCCTCCTCCCTCCTGCGCGTACCATGAAGCAGATCGGGCACTCGAGCGCGAAGCATCCCTCCTTCGCCTCGCGGCCAGGGAAGCGCGGCGCGATCTTGCGCTCGACGATGAGCCGGCGCGCGGCCTTGAGCTCCCACGGACAGCTCGGGTACAAGCTGGAAGACACACACACGAGAGGTTGTCAGTCCCCGAGGGCGGAGGTTACACTGCAGGGTTACGCGCGCACGTACCCCGTCGGCTGTGTGAACTTCTCGAGCTCGCGGTTGCTGACGGAGTGGCGCTTGGCCTTCTTGGACGTCGAGTTCCCCATGGGCCTCTGAGGCTGCTGGTGCTGGTGTCACGCGGTTCTCCTTGCCGAGTGAGCCCGAGCTCCAGCGGTGGGCACATTTTCTTAGCTTACGCGCAGAAACCGGGCGCATTGGCAGAAAACGAGCAAAAGTGGGTTTCGACCAATGAGGGACGTGTATATTCCACGGAACGAGCAAATCAGCTTTCGCGCAGCTTGATTGAAGTTTACTGGGAAGCTTGTCCCAGAGGGTCAAAATGTGGCAAGAGCCACATTCGGTGCCATTTTTAAGGCCGCTCCTTCTGCAGAAAACAGTTTTTATCTAGTCGCTGCTTTCTACCTTCATCCACACTCTGTGCTGTGCTGTACGACAATCCTGTATTGACAACAGTCCTGATTTTAAGTACCTGCACACTGCTAAATCATACTGTTCGAAGCTAGAATTGCCTCAACCAGGATTTTGCAACAGCAGTACTATCTGCTACTAACGTTATTGCCGTTTGCAGATATTTTGGCCAACGCATGCTTATTATCTCGTCAATAATCTCGATTTTAATCCAGCCAGCTCTTAATTTAAACCTAGGTCTGATTTATATATCTCGCCAGTACGGTCTAAGATCCGAGCTTGGGGCTCTGTTTTCTCGACCAAGGCGCTTTTCTACGACTTGGAAACGGGCCAAACCGAGTTTCTGCCTAAAAGCGGCCCCCAGCAAAGCATAAAGCTAAATCAGCCCTCGCCTATCTCGTGTCCACTCATATTAAGAGACAGGCGTGGTCTATTTTAGAGGTCTATTTTAGAGGGCAAAGTATTTGCAAGCGGCAATATTAATACCCTTCTTTTCAGGGTTTTACAAAGTTCCCTTCTGAGTACAATAAAACTTACCATTTTACGCGCAACAGCAACGGCAAAGTTTCATCTCGATAGCGCTATCAACGATTCATTGGTACGACATGCTATCCCTCAGCTGTTGGTTGATCTGTCCTGGCTCAAAAGCGAGAACCGGTGGCTCAGGTCACTTTTGGCTGAGACTTCTGGCGCAATCAGGGCGGGAAGCCATGTGTGGACTACATTGTGTCGGACAAAGTGTAGGGGCCTGCGATGGCGCGGTGTCCAGAGCTGCAGCCGATAATACCATCCCAGGATCAAACGTCGCAAACCCAACAAAAAGCTTAAATATGGCGCCCGAATCTCTAAAAGTGAAGCATAATTTCCAAATTCGAGTGGATCCTCAAACGACATACTTGATCCTGAAGTCCATGGCCGTTCCGCATGGCTCGAGCGTCTTCACGTCCGCGACCATCGTACGTCGCCTTCCAATGTGCTTCGTCCCCCCCATCCTGGACAGTTCTCACCGCTAACGTTGCCGCTCAATTGCAGACCGAAACGACGGGCGAGGCCGAGCACGAGCAGATGGAGGAGATCGAAGTGATCTTCGGCAGCTTTGAGCGTATCGATGGGAATGCATTAGTCAAGTGCAGGAATCTGCAGAAGCTCACGAGTAAGAGGGCATTGCTTTAATCACTGGGAATGTGGTGTGCTGGCAGTTAATTATTCTGTGCTTGGCTGTAGTGGTGAACTGCAACCTCGAGGTGATCTCCAACCTCGAACCAGTGGGAGCCTCGCTCACCCACTTGTGTCTGAGCAACCAGAACCTCACTCGAATGAGCGGGTTGTCATCGCTGCGTCAACTGCGACATTTGTATCTGCAGCAGAACCGCATTAGTCGAATCGAGGGGCTCGAAAGGTATCTTTGTCATGGCTTTCGTGAGCTTACCTGGCTGGATAACGTTTATTTCGTAACTGAATTCAGCTGTCGGAAGCTGAAAACGCTGTGGCTGTATGATAACTGCATCACACGTGTGGAGAACCTTGGGTTTTGCACGGATCTTAGAGAGTTGTGGCTTCAGGTGAGAGAGCACCGGGCGATTTTTTCTATCAGAAATTACCGTACTTCCTAACTCTAACTCCTGTGTTTTGTTTAAGAGCAACAAAATTCAGACGCTGAAAGCTACAAGCGGCGGGATCGCCGAGCTCGTGAACCTACAAAGGCTTAATTTGGCGAATAACCGTATCCGCGATGTGGACGAGTTCGAGCACCTTCGGAAACTCGTCGTACTGCGCCAGCTAACTTTCGCCGACGAACATTTTGGCCCGAACCCAGTTGTTGCCCACCCAGACTACCGATCCTTCGCCATCACGATTCTGAAGCAAGTACGTCTAGCCTCGCCACTATCACTCGCAGATGTCATGAGATGGGATAGTTTTGAGCTGACAACTGTGCTTGTTTTTCTTTGTATACAACAATTAGCTACGTCAGCTTGACGGAACCCTCGTGGGTAGTGATGAGCGAACAACCGCGCAAGACCAGTTCTTCACACAGGTTAGCGCTGGTTGAAACAATTGAGTGTAACATTATATCTGCCAACACTGAAATGTATATTGCATTGTAGTCCATGGAATTCAACGATCAGTTAGCCGAACTAACTCTTGCCTATCAGCAAGAGCTGCGCTCCATTTCTACAAGGAAAGAGCGCGGCATCTCAAATGCCCAAATGCTGCAACGAGAGCTCATCGAGGCTCTGAATGACGTCGAAGCGTGCGTTACCGCTGGACAGTCGCAGATTGAGGAGGAGAAGCGGAGGCAGCTTCAGCTTCGCGAGCAAAACGCTCAGTTACTGCGAGAGAATGTGGCCAAACTCCAAAAAGATTTTTGCGCTTCGATTAAGGAGCAGTGCGAGCGCGAGGAGAGAGCGTTGCTTGAAGAAGAACGCGACTACGAGATTATGGAGCTGGAAGCAATGGCCGAACAAAACCAAGCGCTCACAATTGCAACGCTGCAGAACGCATTTCCAGGCAAGATTGCATTTCAGCAGCTACTGCAGCACATGCCGGACTATCGATACATCGCCGAGGGTTTTCGAAGACCGACAAACCAGCAGGAAGCACTGTACGGCATGGGCGATCAGGATGACCGTGAAGTCCACATCTTACAGATCTACCGCTTCTTCCATGGTGACTTGACTGAAGCGTTTGAAGCTGCCGCGGCGAGAACGGATATCGAAGGAGGTACCGGGGGCAGTGAGCTGTACCTGTACTTGGTGGCAGACGACGACGAAGTGATATCGCTATTGCAAAACGGAGTGGTGTCTCCAACCTCAGCCACAAGTGGTAACGACGACGACAACAGCTCGAGCAATGGCTGGGTATTTCTATTCTCCAACCCATTGGTTGCGTTGCAGTTTTACAAGGGTACAGTCGGTGAGTTGGAGCCGCTAAGTGACGACGAGACAGACGGCGACACTCACTCAGCCCCGGCGTCTCCTGAATTCAGCTCTACTGACGGATCCTCCCTGGTTGAGAGCTTCAATATGCTGCTGTGTCAAGTGCGAATGCCGCAGATAATTGAGCTGTTCCACCCAGAGAAGGCGCGTTTAGGCTCACTGGAAGCACTGCACAGTCTCGCAAGTCCACGAGGATCTGTACTGCCACCACCGCCATCAGCGTTCCTGCAACTTAACCTGGGCGACCGTGGCTCGTGGTCTGCTTCACCGTCAGGTGGCCACGTGTACATGGCTCGTCGAGGAGCAGTGCACTCTCAGGTACTGCCACAATTTGTGTTGCTGTGCTCAAAGCGTAGTGAGCTTTCCGGCGGCAACAGTCTGAACGGTGGACGACGCGCGGAGGACCAAGCTCCGACCAGTGAAATGGTGCTAGCCCAGTTCCAGCAGCAACTCCGAGCTGAGGTGGACGCCTACCACGCGCGACTGTACCATGAAATGGACCCGGCCACTGTGCGCGTCCGAGCGCAGTTCCAGCACGAGAGCGAGCAGCTCCGCAGTCGGCTCAAGGGCAACGAGGACCGCATCAACCAGGAAAAGCTGGAACAGGAGCGTCTACTGCGCACACTCCGAGGCGGAGGGGACGCGAAAGAGGAGCGGGGAAATGGCAGGCGGCGATGACCAGCGGCAACGGCATGTCCATCCCCGACCTGATAACGACATGGCTACACTACAGCAGAGGTCCAGCTGCTGGTCCCGTCGTGGATACAATACAGCCCTGGTCTCCATCTTGCCCTACAGCCCCAATGCAGTGGCATCGTCTCAAGTCGGGAAAGACGTCGCCACCCAGTAGTCCAAGCGTACAGTATCTCGCTCAAATCTATCTGAGTACCTCTAACCATACATATAACAGTCTAAATGTGCACCACATATCTACCTTAATTACCTACCCAACCGCTGATAACACATACCCTTCCCACCCCGCTCCCCGCCGCTTCTCCCGACCCGCTGGCAATTCAGAACGGTGATTCACCTCATTCATCATCTCGCCGTGTATGATCCGGCCCGTGGACATGATGGGCAACGGGGGCTGCGACGCGTTGCCGCGCGCGCCGAGCGAGCGGTCGCCGCTGCTGCGCGCGCTGGGGCAGGGCGACTCGGCGTCGTACGAGGGCTCGTACATGTCCATGCCGGCGCCCGCGAGCGACGGCGGGCGGCTGTCGGACTCGGGGGGCCAGTTCCAGCCGCTGGTCTTCGCCGAGAAGGCGCTGGCCGCGCTGCTGAACGGCGTGCTGCTCTACGCGCTGGGCTGCGTCGTGGGCGTGGCGCTCGTGTCGCTCAACTTCGAGGGCGTGCTGGGCGCGCGCGTCAACTGGTGGCTGGTCTTCGCGCCCTTCTGGCTGGCCAACGCCGCCATGCTCTACGCGCACGTGGCCAGCGTGCGCCACGCCAAGACGCTGCGGCGCTGGGCCGACGTCGAGTCCATGTCCAACGAGCCGCTGCTGCCTCTGCTGCGCCGCATCGTGCTGGTCTACGCCATCAGCTTCCCGCTCTCGGTGCTGCTGCTCTGGAGCGAGCTGGCCTTCTGCGCCAGTCTGCAGGACACGGCGGCGGCCACGAGTCTCTACATCTGCTACACGCCGCTCATGGTCATCCAGGTGGCCTTCGTCGTGCGCTACCTGCTCTGCCGGTCGGACAGCACGCTGCCGGTGCGTCGAGCGAGAGAGAGAGAAAAGTATCTTTGTGTCAATTGTGGAGATATCCAACGTTTTATTTTATTTATTGGATGCAGGGCGTGTGCTGGGTGCTGATGTTCGTGTTCACGCTGCTGCTGGCGTACCAGACGGACACGCAGCGCCGCTTCGGGTCGCCCGAGCTGACGCAGCTGCCGCTGTCGTGGTGGGTCGTGTTCGCGCCGCTCTTCGCCTTCGAGCTGCTCATGACGGGCGCGCTGCTGCTCGTGCTGTACAACGAGTTCTCGGGGATCTACCGCCTCACGCGCTGGCAGCTGGCGGCCAGTGTGCTCTACTCGCTGGCGCTGGTGGCGGGCGTGAGCGGAGAGCTCATGCTGCTGGAGCAGGTGGACTACCACTGGGGCACCTTCACGTTCCCGTCGGGCATGATGTTCTTCGGCCTCGTGTGCGCGTGTGTGGCCATGTATATCGTGGGGCGCCACCACGTCGAAGAGCTCATGGCTTCCAAGGGTGGGGCCGTGCCCGTGCCGTTGACAAGGACAGCGGACGGCTGGATCACGAGCCACGCGGTGGTAGAGCAGTGGGTGCTGTTCGGAGACATCTACCTGACGCCGCAGGGGCTCCACCAGCGCAACCAGAAGACGCGGAGCAATTCGGGCGTCGAGTCGGAAGCAGCGGGCAGCAGGTTTCTGCGGCAGGTGAAGGGGATGCTGACCCGAGTCACGTCGGACGACAACATGAGCGAGAACGACCCCGAGCGCCGCATCCGCAACGTCCTGCGACGAAAGACGTCCGGCAGCTACAGTGACATCATGCTGGAGGTCGTGGATACGCCCAAGACTTCGAACAAACCGTAATACTTCCGTCTAAAATAATAGTGGAGCTTTGAGCTTTGGTCAATGAGCCGACGTGTCACCTGTAACGGATTGACGGACAGCTTTGAGCGCGGACCATGAGGAGGAAGCGGACGTTGCCCACTCCGCTGCCAGCAGAGAACGGCGACGTTGGCTTTGCTCATCATGACGCCAACGGTCGACAAATCCTCCGGCTAGAGCAGGATCCGAACCTGCAAACGCTCACACCGCGCTCGTTAGCGAAGACCATGGCGGAGCTCGACGCTCTGAAGTCCCGCGTGCTGGAGCTGGAGCAGCAACTTGCCAAGCACCAAATCGAAGCTCTCACTCCGAGTAAAGCCAAGCTGCCACCACTAGCAGATCCTGTTGCCGGACCGAATGCGGAGCTGGTAAGTGCACCTTTGGTAATGCTGCTCTATCATATTTTTCTGACGTATCTAGTGACGTGTCTTAGCTTCCTGCTGTAGGACTTCAGATGAGCGGTGTAAAGTCCACCTGCGAGTTGAAAACTATCCACGCTCTCGCCGGGGTCTCTACGATGAGTGATCGAATTGCTACGGCACCCGCCGCTACATCACGAAACGTGGTTGCGATACTTCCGCTGGGGTCTCCACCTGCTGGAATTCACACCGAAGCCGCGACACCTCGTCAGGGGAAAACTATGGCTTTTGTTGCCAGCAGCCCTGATCTTGCTAATGATATCAGCCCAACCGACGTCGAAAGCTCTGAAGCGAACGCCACAGCGGAAGGTAGCTGCAGCCCTTCTGCTGCGTCCCCGCACCACGAAGAGACCAAGATAACAATCGGCCATGAAGGAGAAGCGGCAACTTTCGCAATATCCCAGCGAAATCGATTGTACCAGAACCTCAAACGCCTTAGCACGATTGCGACGATCCCGGAAGATGAGGTGCGTTGGTGTGTATTGCCTGCGCGTAATACAGTGTGGATGCTAACTTGATTCGTGACGACTTTGCAGCTTTTGCTACTTAAAAAGTTAGTGGACGCTGAAATCGGAGACGTCATCAAGTTCCTGCTCGAGATCGAGTCGGAGCCATCCGTTGCTGTCATCCGCGACAAGCTCTCAGTTCTTGTAAAGGACGGATCTCCATCCAAGCACCGCAGTCTAGTTCGACCAGCGCTACCCAGTCACCATCCCGTTTGGAGCATCCAGTACCCGCTGCTCAAAATTGCTCAGAATCTGGAGCACTTACAAGGCTCAAGCGCTGATTCAGAGGCTCCTGCTTCGTCTCCTGCCTCTTCGCCGTCCAAGAAGACCGACGTGATCGTCCTGGTCTCCAGCGGAGCGTACAACCCGATCCACATGCTCCACATTCGAGCTTTCTACGTCGCGCGGCAATACGTCGAGTCGAACTACAAGTTCCCAGTCGTTGGAGCGTTCATCTCGCCATCACACGACACTTATGTGCGCGCCAAGAATCGTCGCAATCCTCGCGAAATGATCACCAAGCGACATCGATTGGCGCTGATCGAGACTGCCGTGGCGTCTTCATCTTGGATCGAAGTTGACAAATGGGAGATCACTCGACGACGAGTGCTCGACTACCTGAGTACGTTGACCCACGTCCGTGAAATGTGCGAGTCGCACTTCCCGCGGTACCGATTCCATGTCATGTACGTCTGCGGTTGCAACACGGTGGTCAAACTTAGCCACTCTGCCCTGCGAGATGAAGGCTTCGGGTGCATTACAGTGTGCCGACCCACACAAACCGATATGGTGATCAAGCACCTGGGGAAGACGCTGTCAAAGACGACGACAATCGTGGAAGACACAGGCGTTCTACCCTGCGACTTGGAGCGAGCCACGAGCTTTCGAGTCCGACAAGCACTCGCCAATGTTGACGCGAATGCCAACAAGATCGAGATGATGGTAGGGAAACCGGTGTTTCAGTATTTTATGAGGCACGAGATCGGCGAGAAAATCGCTGGCAAGGTGAGCTGGACCGAGGAGGACAAACAGTGGCGACAGGAAGACCTCACCTATGTAGAATACACTGAGAGCTAGGGAGCTAGCTAGAAATTGTAAACATTGAATTTGGATTGAACACAAAAAAAATTCACGAAGGGAGGGGGAGGGGGGGGTCCTCTACAAAGTTTCGTTTGCTGTCGACGTGCTGTCAACTTTTCTTATTGCGACGGAGTCGAGAAGGTATCTTCCACTTCATTCTGCCCCTTGAGGGGTTGCTGGTTGGGGGTCTGGTCGGCATGATCATGTCGTCAGAGTCCAGCCAATCGCTTGGCGGGGCTCGAGTCGATCCTCGGAGCTCGAGTCGATCTCGGAGCTCGAGTCGAAATCGGGGCTCGAGTCCACGCTTCCTCTTCAGAGCCCTCTGCGTCGCTCAGCGGGGGTCCGGTCGACATGATCCCCGATTCGATGGCAGCGTCCACAATCAACGCCGATTCTTGCAGAGCCCGGCGCAGATGGACCATCTTCATCTCGGTAGTCGCCTCTTGCTGACGTACTTCATCAGGGTTTGAGCTTGAAGTTACAGGCAGCGCCGACAGTAGCGCCACCGCCACCATCAGCAGTGTGAAGCTGACTTTCATGTTCCTCTCGAAGTGTATCGTGCATCCTTGCTCGCTAAATGCAGAATGAGCAAATCAACGCGGCGAGTATCGGCGAGGCATGCCACTACAGTAGGTGCAATGTTTCTTCCGACGAGGTGTCTACATGTGTAGTCACGTTGAGGATTATGCAGACAGGAGAGTACACGCAGCGGTCGGCCCACCGGTCGAACATACACCAGACAAGATAGTATCGAGCTCGACCAGCTCGCCTATCCATCTAGCCACCAAGTGCCTCAGTTGCGTCCGGCAGTAATACAGGTTGCGTATGAAGCCTGTGGAAGGGCATTTTGCGTCGACATAAGATTGTTGCGCCTCTTTTAAAAAAAACTGGAGTGCAACGATACACTTTTCTTAAGAAAAAAAACTTGTGGCGAATAGTACCGAAAATCGCTGAGTCCGCTTACGATCTCTGGAATGATACTGTATGTGTCTACATGCCAATGACCATACGGACCTCATAAAGTTCACCGCAAGGCGACAAATAGATGCTGTGCTCGCTTCGAGCCCACGCCCCACCACAGTGCGCAGTACCGAGGCAGAATGACGTCGGCGAAACTGCACTTTGATATTTTCTTGAATCTTCATGATATGATGCCAAAGTATCATGAAAGGTGATCAGGAGAGTCAATTTGGTCCTTCGTTTTGTAGGAGATAACAGTTTATTCCAAGGACTTAGTTTATCCAAGGAACGAGGATTAATTGGGACTTCCCCTAGAGTTACGCGAATGCGTAAATCATTGCATTTATTGCGTTTTAAGGACAAAAGTGATGTGATAGTGACACTTTTCAAACAATAAACTTGCCATGATTGACAATGTTTTCATAGCAATAAAAGATAGTATATCTCAAAGGCTGGTGGCTCGCTCCAGGTTGCAGTATCAGGACTCGGAAAAATTATTATTCCACTGAGACGTATCGACTTACTGAAACCTAGTCAGCGTTAGAGCGTTCGTCTAGCCATCGACGACACGTACGCGCGAGATAAGAATCGTCGCAACCCTTGCAAAATGGCCACCAAGCGGCATCGATTGACACTGAGACTGCAGTGACGTCTTCATCGTGGATCGAAGTTGAGAAATGGGAATGAGGGTACTCCAAATTCCGATGGTAGCTGGTCGATCGAAACTGTGATTATTGGCTGGATATTCATCCTTTACTACACGGATAGCTTGTCGCGGATGACAGCGACGGACTGCTCCGATTCGATCTCCAGGAGGAACTTGAAACCTGTGTAAGGAGCGCCGGGTTGACACACAGCTTGTTCTGAATACAATCATTTCCAGCATGCCTATCCATTGCAGTTCTTGAAGGCCGTTAACGCCTACAAATTGGCGCGATTGTCTCATGGCAACCGAGATTAAATTTACAGCGGTAATTACTTTAAATCGAAGCAGGATCTTCTAATCTTCTAGACATGCACTTGCCAATGTCGCTGCAAACGCTAATAAAATCAAGAGGAAGACCTCACCTATGCAGATAGAATACACCGAGAGTTAACTAGAAATTGTATCTATGAAATTGGACAATCACCCTAAAGACATTTCATTGCGGAGGGGGATGAATCCGACTTCTTTTATGGCTTCGGTCCCCCTCCTTCAGCCTCGTACGTCGCATCTACCGAGTTGCTTTCAGCGTCTTCCGACGATTCGTCACTCTCGTCATCAACACTCTCGGACGAGTCGTCGTCGCTGTCGGAGGCGTCGGATGCTTCGTCACTGTCGTCGCTGTCAGACTCGCTGCCTGCTTCACTCTCCGTGACCGATGTCGACTCCGTCGAGGAAGTACCGGACGATTCCTGCACGCTCTCACTTGCCACCGGCTCCGCATCACTCGTCGACTGTGTGACTGCAACACTAGATCCACTTGTAGACTTTTCAGTCTTCTCTTCGTTTTCTTCTTGTTCGGTCTCGTCGGCTTCTGCCGATGACGCGGTCGGCGGACTCGTCGTCGACTGCGCGACCGCAGCACTAGACCCGCTTGTGTACACTTCTTTATTCTCTTCTTCTTCTTGTTCGACCTCGTCGGCTTCTGCCGATGACGCAGTCGGTGCACTCGTCGTCGTCGTCGTCGTGTGCTGGTCCTCCTCCTTCTCCTCCTCGTCAAATTCTTCCTCTTCTTCAGGCACATCCGACGACTCCGACAGATTCGTTGGTGCCTTGGTCGGCGCGCTCGTGGCTTCGGTCTCGTGTTCGTCTTCTTCTTCTGCCTGCTCGTTGAATTCCTCTTCTTCTTCAGAGACCAAGTCGCTCGACGCGTCGCTCGTCGGCGGGGCTTGGGTCGTCTTGTCCTCCTTTTCCGCCTCGTCAAACTCTTGCTCCTCTTCAGCAACAGAATCCGCGTCGGAGTCAGCAGATTCCCCTTCGGCGTCCTCCACTTCGGCGCTGGCGTCCACAATCGTCGCGGATTCGTGTAGAGCCCGGCGCAGATGGACCCACTTCATCTCGCTAGTCGCCACTTGCTGACGTACTTCAGCGCTCGAGCTTGGCAGCGCCGCCAGCAGCGCCACCGCGATCACTACCAGCACCGTGTAGCTGACCTTCATGTTCCCCTTGAGTCCTTGGTCTCTTCCTCGCCAGATTCAGAATGAGCGAGTCAGCACGGCTAGCATCGGCACCGGCACGCCACCCTTAGAGTACAGTAGTTGTTCGATACATGGACATATGGCGCGAAGCCGTAGTACTGGGCGTCTGCTCGTGTAGTTACATCGAGGATGAGGCCTGAGAGCAGACGCAGCGCAGCGGCCCGCCCCCGGTCGAACAAGGCAAGGCAAAATGGTGTCGAGCTCAGGAGCTGCTCGGCATACCAGTAGTCTTCTCCGTCGAGGAGACTGTGCGGCGATGCGACCAGCGTCAAGGGACAGCGAAAACTGTCAAGCAGAGGGCGATCTATCCATTAGATGCCCCCGCCGTCGGCAGGAACGCCACAGGTTGCGTATTCTGCCGGTGAAACGGCATTTTGCGTGGACATAAGATTGCTGCACGCCTCTTAAATTGCCGAGTGCACCGCCAGCTTCGAGACGAAGAGCACAATGGAAAATCGCTGAGCGCAGGCATGCAGGTTGCGTACGATCTCAGGAGCGATGCAGTACAGTAAAGTGCCTCCATGCACATGACCGTCCGAGCGGGGCGGATGTAATCACGGCAAGACGGCAACCAGATTGCTGATGTCGGAGCTTGCCTCTCCGAGTGAACTGTACCGATGACGTCGGCGAAACTGCACTTTGAATTTTCTTGAAGGGCCGTTTAGCTGCTTTACGTGGCAAAATATGATACATTTTCCCATGAAGCGATCGAATACAGCAAACCTGCACAGCACCGCAGGAATGATCAGCTCCTGGCTGGTTGGGAGCCCCGACTTGGGACGCAATCGCTTCAGGCCAGCGGGGGCACCTCGGCGCCGCTGAATTGCTCTGGCGACAGGCGCAAAGTTGTCCGGCGGCCTGAATTTCCCGTGCTCATTCGGCAGAGCGCCCTCAAGAACTGTGCGGTGGATAAGCCCCGCTCCAACGAAGCGCTGCGTATTTCTGCGACTTGCGGTACAATCTCGAAGGCAGTATTATACAAGTTCTAGCATACGGCGCTGAGCAGGGGCTCGGAGTCCAGACGTTCCTGCAAATTGCAGCGAGATGCCGACGTTTAACGCCATGAGCGACTCACCACCTCGCACTTCTTTGCTCGCTATTCGCTTTCGCTCTTGAACTCGCGCGCCAAATCCTCTAATCGAACTCAAACTAGCCCGAAGTTACGGTCGCATCTCGGTCTCCCGCTCACGATTAAGTGAGATCAGTCCAGCGCTTCCGCCGACCGCTTCCCAAGAAGCGGCATAGGTCGGTCCTCCAGCCGGCAGCCCGGCTCGGCTCGCGAAATATGTTAAGTGGTTTGGTCCGGGCCCGACTCACTTTCCAATTCGTCACGGACCCCTCACGCTGTTCGTAAAGTAAAGCAGCTCTCCTCCCCACTTCAGCCATGCGACAGCAGCAAAACGAAGCCAAAGCCCCGCGCCTGGCTCCGCGCGTTCCTCAAGTGGCGGCCGACGCCGCCGCGGCTCGGGGCCCGCGACGCAAAAAACTCAAGTGGCGCACGCGCGACCAGCAGAGCTCGCAGCTCTACAACCTGGAGCTGGATCTGCACGACCTGCGCCAGGAGATCAAGGCGCTGCAGGAGTACGAGCAGGTGCTGCGCACGCACACGCTCAACCAGCGCGAGACGCTGGACGACTACTACCTCAAGCGCGTCATGCAGTACCACAAAGTCTTCGAGCGCGGCTACAACCCGCACTCCGACGCAGCAGACAACGGAGCGCTGAGCTCAGAGGACGCACTTGAGTTCACTAAACACATGATGGACGAGGAGGTGTCGGTGGGTCGCTTCGTCGGCTATGAAGTGATACTGGACCAGTGGGCGCGCTACACGGCGGCGTTCCCAGAGCTGCAGTGCACGCTCACACAGTCTCGGATCGCGTCAGCGGATGAGGTCACCATCGTTTCGACCACCGCCGAGTACACGTTCGAGATCTCGCAGACGACGATCCAGACGCTGTTCCCCGCGATCCGCTCCGAGCAGCCACAGATCGGAGCCAAGCTGGTGGGGCGAAAGTTCCAAGGCGCCGGCGTGTCCACGTTTACGTTCGACCCGCAGTCCCACCGCGTTGTGTGCTACGACACCCGAGTGGACTTCTTCGAGGTGTTTGCGAGTCTGCTGCAAGACTCGAACGAGCTCTGCGTGCTGTTCGAGGGCGCAGCAATCGCCGAGCAATTCTTCATTGGAGACACTAGCTGCTACCCCGTTCTCCAGCTCGGCGACGATGAAGAGAAGGCGCGGTACCGGATCTCCATCTACTCGGACGGCGGGCAGCAGTCTCCCGCGCTCCACAAGCTGCAGCTCGGCCACATCCTCGGCGCATGATATTCCAGCAATAGCGAGCCTTTGTAATCGCTCTCGCCAACACAACTTACTAGAACTTGAGCTTCACCTTCAGCTGGTCGAAGTTGCATCGTCTCCAAGAGATCAAGCTGTCGTAGAATTGAACGTCTAACCTCTGTAAAAGCACAAAAGAGTTGGGTCCAGCCGCGTCTGAACGACTAGTCAACAACCTGTAGACGACGTTCCGGATTTACTCATGGCTCGAGTTCATCGCCTTGACACCCCCAAGAAGGTAGGTACTGGATACCAAGCGAGGTGGACACGATGCAAAAAGTCTTGGGAAACGAAGCCACCCAGCACTCGCGCCGGCCGGTCTCACAGTCGACAAGTGTAACGTGAGGTCGCAGCCGCAACTCTCAACCTCGCGCATCTTTGCTGGCGGTGGGATGAATCAATCGAAAGAAAAACCGACCGAAGCGAATAGTGAGTCTTCTTGGTCCGGCCGCCCGACAGCCGGAGCTCTGGGATCAGTTGCGAACTTGCCTCGCACTACAGAGACCTTCGCCCCTCCCTTCCCAGATGCAAATGCACACAGCCAACTCCATCGCCGAGACGTTCGACGTGACGCCCGTGCAGACTCGACAGGTGCTCGCTCCGCGCGTGCCGGCCGTCGCCGCCTTAGCTACGGCGAGACGCGCTCCATATCGTCGCAAGAAGCTCAAGTGGCGCACGCGCGACTCGCAGGCGTCGCAGCTCTACAATTTGGAGCTGGACGTGATGGATCTCAAACAGGAGATCCAGCGGCTCGTCGACTATCGGCAGATCCTCAACTCGCGAGCCTTCAACCAGCGCAACGCTGTCGACGGCTACTACGTCAAAGTGGTCATGGAGTACTACCGCGTGTTCCAGAAGGGCTACCGCCCGGGCTCCGCTATTGACGCGGTGCAGTTCGTCATGCAAGCCATGGACGAGAACATGACCATTGGACCCTTCTCGGGGCGCGACGTGATCCTCCACCAGTGGCAACAGTACACGAAAGCACTTTCGGGCATCGACGTGCGTTTCCTCCGGTCCCGAGTCGTCTCGGGGGAGGGACAGACGATCGTGACCTGTTACGCCAGCTACAAGTACGTGGTGACTCAGGACACGCTCGAGGTGCTGTTCCCGGAGGCGCTGCACCGCCACCCCCGCATTGTCAGCAAGATTTTGGGGCGTGTGTTCCAGCCTGAAGGCCGCTTCCACTTCATCTTCGACTCAGAGACGCATCGCATCGTGTCGTTCAACTTCGAGCTCGACTTTATGAAGGAATTCGCGCCACTGCTGCAGGACCCGCGCGACGTGAGCACGTTCTTCCAGGACGCGCGCATCTCGGAGGAGTGTTTGATCGGGGACCATGCGAGCTACGACGGTGTTGAGGCTAAGACAGAGCACGACAGCTACGAAGACGCACAGGTTGAAGATAAGGCGGCGTTCCCTCTCGAGTACGAGGAGAAGTTACCTTGGGGGTACGACAGCTACGACCAGGAGCACCGACAGCCTTCGCCCGCTGGTCGAGTCGCGCTGAATGATACTGCAGACGACACGTACTACCTCTAGGATCAAACTGCCGCATATATAACGCTCAACGCTTTTGGGTCCAGCTTTGCCCGAAGCTCGAGCTCTTCGACTCGTCAACTCGTGAACACGACGTGCAGGATTAACTCGTACTCAACTTGATCGCCTATTAGCTAATAGCTACCCCAACTAGACGCTGCTAAAAGCTTTCACATCAACACGGAGTAAGGCCCAACTCAAAGCTAACGCCGAAGCCAAGACTGGCCACGCGGGCAAGTGTAATACGAGTGCTTGCCCTCGCGCATCTTTGCTGGCGGTGGGATGAATCAATCGAAAGAAAAACCGACCGAAGCGAATAGTGAGTCTTCTTGGTCCGGCCGCCCGACAGCCGGAGCTCTGGGATCAGTTGCGAACTTGCCTCGCACTAACAGAGACCTTCGCCCCTCCCTTCCCAGATGTAAATCCACACAACGAACTCCATCGCCGAGACGTTCGACGTGACGCCCGTGCAGACTCGACAGGTGCTCGCCCCGCGCGTACCGGCCGTCGCGGCGCTCGCTGCAGCAAGGCGCGCTTCTTATCATCGCAAGAAGCTCAAGTGGCGCACGCGCGACTCGCAGGCGTCGCAGCTCTACAATTTGGAGCTGGACGTGATGGATCTCAAGCAGGAGATCCAGCGGCTCGTCGAGTACCAGCAGATCCTCAACGCCCGCACTTTCAATCGGCGTGACGCACTCGACGGCTACTACGTCAAGGCAGTCATGGAGTACCACCGCGTGTTCGAGAACGGATACCACCCAGGCTCCGCTATTGACGCTGTGCAGTTCGTCATGCAAGCCATGGACGAGGACATCGTTATCGGCCGCTTCGCCGGACGCGACGTGATGTTGCACCAGTGGGAACAGTACACGAAAGCTCTCTCCGGTCTCGAGTTCCGTTACCTGCGTTCCAAAGTCCTCTCCACTGATGATCAGTCCATCGTGACGTTCTACGCCAGCTACAAGCACGTTGTGACTGAGGATACGCTCGAGGTCATGTTCCCTCAGGCCATGCGCCAATATCCGCGCATCGCCAGTAAGATGTTGGGCCGCGTTTTCCATGACGAGGGCCAGTTCAACTTCACCTTTGATACCAAGACGCACCGCATCGTCTCGTTCGACTTTGAGCTCGACTTCCTCCAGGTCTTCGCGCATTTGCTGCAGGACCCGCGCGATCTTTGCGCCTTCTTTCAAGGAGCTCGCATCTCTGAGGAGTGCTTGATCGGCGATTGGGCCTGCTACGAAGAGCGGGCGTGTAAAGTGGAGGATAACGGCGTCGATGACACGGAACTCTCGAAGAGAAGGCGGCATGTGACATGCCGCCTTCTCTAAACTAGGGGGGCACCCCCCCAGATTTTGGGAAGACATCACACTTAGCCCCCTATTTCTGAGCTGTCGGATCGACGTACTCCCCTATTTTTGAGCCGCATACAGACTTACCCCCCTGTTTTTGGCCCGGCCCCCCTCAGATTCACATGCCGCATGTCCCCAATGTGGAGTAACGAAGCGCGCGACGAGGAGTATCGACGCCCTTTTCCGGCTGGGACGAGCAGGTTTGCAATGGTTTAACTACGTGCAGCTAGAACAATTCTGCGTGGGTGAACAGCAGTGAATCGCTACTATGTTAGCGTACGTGTGAAAAAAAATACCATACCTTCCATTGGATAATGCGACTGGGTGATGTGTTCTAATAATAAGAGTGTCGTAGTTGCCTCAGAGGCAGCGAGAGCGGAAACCTTAGACGGCATCTTGAAGTGGAAGGGAAACAACTGATAGATTGCATATTATTCGATTAGATAGGTTTTCAAAAAAACCAGCTGCGCAGTTTGGACATTCCGACGATTTATTCTAGCCGATTTATTTTTGTCGTGAAAAACCACAGGTCCAAATAATCGATCGACTTTTTACTTGGACATCGCTCTAATACATGTACGCCCCAGCTCGCATTTGCAACAAACTTCCGACGGCCCTTCAATGCCAACGCGTAACAAGGAGAGCATTTTATCCGAAGCTAACGAGAACATACCAGTGATCCTGAGCCGAGCACTGTATCACGCAGTTGGATAACGTCGGTGATCACAGTCTTACACGTTGGCAATTCACAGTCTTACACGTTGGCAATTCACATCTACAGTACTATTAAATACTATAGAATGTGTAAATGTAGTTAGTTATACTTTGTGTGTAGGTAAGCCATAATAGCTAGCTTTCGCTCTACTCGTTGTCCTCCTCGTTCTGGCGCTGGAGTTCGCGATCTAGACGCTCGAGGTCGTCGCGATCCAGCTCCCCACTGCCGTCTCGGTCAAGTTTGTGGAACTGGGCGATGATCCCGTCAATGTCGTCCTGGTCGGCCTTGTTGAGCTTCACGAGCATGTAGCACAGATACTCGAGCTGCGAGACCTTGCCGTCGCCGTCCGCGTCCATGTCCAGCAGCTCTTTCATGCTGATCTTGGTCTTCATCACGGACCTCGCACTGAGCTCGTTGAGGATCGATCCGATGCCATGCGCCACCGTCACGACAGCCAGTGGGAGGTAAAAGATGGCGTAAATGCGAGCGCTCTTCGACGTCGGGGACAGGTCTCCAAAGCCAACCGTCGTGATGGTGATCAGCGTGTAGTAGAAGCAATCCAGCACTGGCCAGCCTTCGATAGCCCCCACGATCAAGCCCGCTAGAATCGACGCAACAATGGGTACGAAGGCGTGGAAGAGCGCCTTGTTGCTGTCCGAGAAGATCCTACGCGCCCAACTGGGTAGACTGCCCTGGAACCGCTTCCAGTAGGTTTTGGCCTTGTCTCTCTTGCGAATTCTGGCTTCCTTGTCCTCCAATGTATTAGATCCAGTGGCTGTAGCCGCGGCATTCTCTACGTTGCTGAGTAGTTTTTGAGTAGCCATCTTGGTGACGTGTCGTTGGCGTTGAAGGAACCAGGAGGCCAGCTGACCCAGAGCCACACCGATGGTGCAGATGCCGTAGAAGGCGAAGAAAATGGTAAACGCTCTCCCCGCTGTTGTCTTGGGCACCACATCGCCATAACCCACGGTCGTGACGATCACCATCGCGTAGTAGACGCAGTCCACGACCGTCCAGTCTTCGACAAAGTGGAAGACAACAATGCTCACCGCTATGTACGAGAGCACAAGGCCCAGCGCCACCAAGTTGGATCTCAACGTCTCGTGGTTGTTTTTGGCATTTTCTGCGCCGGCAATGATCGTTTGTTGAGCCACGTTCGTGATAGTGCGAGCCGACATCATCGGCAGGTCAAAGATGGACTGCAACGCAAACACCATGTGAGCTTGTTGCCGGTAATTTATGTATTTTGCAACAAACACTTCACCTTGTCGATACGAGGCGCCGTTGACACTTCAGGGACATCGGTGAAGGTGCTTGGGGCATCCTCCGACACCGACTCCTACGCAACGTTAAAGGACATTAGTACCTTAACTTACCAAAGGAATCAATGCTTATAGCTGATCTACGAACCAGACCGGGAACTGCGATCACTACATCAGCGCCTTGAAGTTCGTCTCGCTTGTTTGGGCTCTACTCGTTCAAATGTACAATTGTTATTCAGGTTATAGTGATCATAGCCAGCAGAAACTGCAGGATCATCTTCGTGCCTTCGCCATCGTGTCGCGATTCCACCGCAATGCTGGCCAGGGGCAGCCCGACCGACTGCGTGACGGATCAGGTGCGTCGCCGAAAATGAAAATACGGTCGTGAACAACCGTGGTGACGTCTTTTTGCAGTCCAGGGAAGGCGCTAAATTTACCGCTCTAAAATCTCTCGTTTTCAGACTTGGTTCGAGAACGACAACTAGTGAGATTGGAGATAAAATCAAAATCCTATTGTCGGGGGTATTTGCGAGAGTCTAGACTAGACCTCCACGTCTAATGCACCGGATAGTCCGCTGCTAATGGAGCTTCTCACGAGGTAACTAGTTCCCTGGCGCTGCAGTGGCGTTCGCGGCTGGATGCCCTTCATGTTGTAGTATTGCAGTAATTGTGTGGGGATCTCAGCCAAAGTCTCCTTAGCTAGTCGAGCGGGGTTCCGGCGGAACTGGTTGAAGGGGACGAATTGGACACTGTAGCAAAACAACAATACAGTTAGACCTCTACCCATTCGTCACAACAAAGACACAGTCTCAATGAACGTACATGTCACGCGCAGCGCGTTGCCGCCTTGAGTCCACCAGCAACTTGTCATCCGAATCCAACGCGTTCATAGCAGTAAAGTCTGCGTTGCCCACAGCAACGATCACGATCGATAGTGGGAGCGTCGAGGCCTGCACCAGCTCGTCAATCGTCTGCTGCATGTCCATGATGGCGCCGTCCGTGATGATAAGAAGCACGAAATACTTGAGATTGCCACCGCCACCTTGCTCCGCCGGCGCCGAAAACGTCCTTGCAATAGCCGCAGCCTGATGCACCAGTGGCGCAAACATAGTCGGCCCGTGGAGCTGCACAAACTGGAAGGAGTTGGAGTACGCGCTCATAATGCCGTTGATGCCCTCCACCTCAGGCTGTGACGGATCGAATGTTAGCGGGAAGCAGTGATTCACAGCTCCATTGACCAAGCCACCGAAGCCGTAGACGGGGAAGCGCTTGTCCGAGTCATAGGGTTCCAGAATCGCGCCCGTCGCAGAGATGGCAGCTTGGTAGTCGTTCAACTGGCCCTGGTAGCCCGCTCCAGTGTAGTGCAGACTCGAAGGGTCCGATGGACTGCCGTTCGAGGCCGTGTAGTCGATACCGACGATTAGACTCACCTCGCATCCACCACGCAGATACTCGGCAAACGTATGCCTCTTGAACAACTCAATCTGCTCGAGGACTAGCACACCGGAGTTCTTGTACCGCTTGCCCTTCTTCGCCTGTCGTTCGCGATTGATAAGCTCCATGCTGCGGATCTCTCCTGTCACGAACTCCGCCGCCTTGACGGTGCAACTGCCGATGAACTGGTGCTTGCCATTCTTCTCCCAGTCCATGCACTCAATCTTCAGTAGTCTCGACAAGTTTCCGTTGCACAGCGTCTGCACACTCAGCGTCGCTCGACGCCACTTAGGGTCGCAGTCGTTCATCACCACTTCACTCCTCCAGACCAGACTCCAAGACGTAGTGGTTAACGGATCCGCGTTTTCGTCCCGTAGGCGATAAATATTCAGGAACGGGTCCGAGGCTCCGAACCAGCCGTCCTTGTTGTCCAGCTTGGTCCCCGTGAACCGAACGTTGATCATGTCGGCGCAGGTGGACACTTCTTCAGCGTCGATGACCACGTGCCCCGACAGATTGTGCACGTGCCCCCTGTCCCTGTCGTTCTGCAGCAGCCTGAGCACAGCCGACTGTCCCTTGGAGGACATCAACTGGCCCATCGTGATCTCCACACAGCCGAGGAAGTCGTGGTCCGCGAGTCGCTCCGACGAACTGTCCCGGTCAAAGACCTCGACTCTCAGTCTCTGTACCTCTTCGAAGAAGAAATCCACCTGGACACTCTTGGCGAACGTCGGGTCGGGCGAGTTCTGGATGGTCTCGGTGCGGCCGACCTCGCGCCAGCCGCGCTTCTGCGCCTCCTGCATGTAGAGCACGATGAAGGGGTCGGACTGGCTCAGGAAGTCCGACTTCTTGAGCCCCTTGCAGCGGAAGCGCAGCTCCACGATGCTGGACGGGGTCGGGGCCAGGCCGTCGGGCATCAGAGCCATGGAACTCCTCGACGACTCGAAGCTGCCGGGCTGCACGGGGCCGTAGCCGCCGTGCAACGTCGGCTCGCGCTGGAATGGGGCGGGCTGCTGCTGCACGGGGGCAGCAGCAGGAGGTGGAGCATAATTCTGGTGGGGCTGAGCGTAATTCTGCTGTGGCTGCGGGTTGTGCTGGCCGATGTCCGGGTAGAGGCTCTGGAAGGAGCCGCGGCGGTCCGTGGGCGGCGCCTGGGGCGTCACTTGGTAGCCGGAGCTGCGGTTGTCCACGGGGGGCGCGGACGGCGACGAGAGCGAGCGCTCGCGCCCGTAGTACGTCGGCGGCTGTGCGTACATCGGGGAGAATTGGGGAATGAGCGTCCTCAGTTGACTTGATGCAGCGTCTTATGCTCTGATTGGGCGATTAATCACCCGAATAGTGAACCCTATTAGTTTCTTGAGAAATGAAAATATCCACGCAGCAAAACTGAGTTTTGCCAGTTGTGCCTACACTTTGCGTCTATGGTGGTGCCTTCAATCAGCAAGTTGAGTTGATTCGCAGAATGTTGGTGTGTTGCATGTCTGAGTCAGTGGATATTGGTCTAGTTGGACGAGTACACTTTGACCACGACCCGCCGCTGCCGAGACGTGAATGCGTTGGTGCTCAGCACTGCGAGCAAGAGAGCGACTGCACTCACGGCGCAGGTGATGGAGGCGCGCTCGGCCTTGAGCAGAATCTGCTGGAAAAGCTCGAACAGCTCGTTCAGTGCAGCTCGGAACCAAGCTGTAGACGAAAAGAGTCGGATCAGATGATGCAGAATTTTCGGTGGGGGCAAATTGATTCGTACCACAGTTGCCGTTGTAGTTGCAGTCGCCGAGCTTGCTGGAGCGGACGGAGTCGGTCACGAACTCGACCGGCATCTTGAGCTGGAACTCGGCGTCTTCCATTGCCTCGGTCTTCACCCGTAGGTCGTCTATGGCAGAGAGTTGTTTAGAACGGGAGGGTCTACACGATTATTATTCTATCAGACTTACCGAGAAGGGGATGGATTTTGGCGATGAAGCTGGAGACGGCAGCGACGTAAGATTCGAGTTTCTGCTTCTGGAAGTACAACTGCGCGACGACCAGCCATTCGGATTGGATATCCTTGTTAATGGAGACTCCTTCGTCAGGGACGCCCCGCCAGCTCTCGTTGAAGACGGTCTGGATGGTCAATAGGTCGTCTGCAGTCACAAGCTCGCCGTCGCCGTCTGGGTCCATTAGCGTTTGTACTGTCGAGTTGAGCAAGTCTTGATGAAGTGTTGCATTGTAGGGAGTGGGGACATCGGAATCTGACAAGGCCAGCACTTTAAGTTGGTCGTAGTGGGACTCTGCAAAGTCTTGGCTCCATGCAAACAGCTCGACTAATGCTTGGTCCGAATCCGCAGTAAGTTTCTCCAAGGCAAAGAGTTTCGGCATGTCATACAACGCAGTGAAGCTGAATCGATCAGGATCATCGTTCGCTGGCGTTGGGTGTGGCGGGACGCGAATGGTATCGCTGAATGCCAGAGTCTCCACCATATCGGTTGCCTCTACGAAGTTTTGATCGAAGAGAAGCCTGTTCACATCCTCGGCAGACTGTGTAGAAGGCAGAAAAGCGTACGTGTTCTGATCAAGACGTTGCAGGACGATTATCGCATCCTGCGCCATGACACTCATAGTGTAGAGCAGTCCGACGAGAATCAGAGCCACCAAGAACGCGATCTCAGAGAAGATGCACGCAGCACGCCCAACCTTTCGCCGACCGGTCAAGATTCCATGGGCGAAGGCGCTTATCGTAAGGATAAAAGCAACTCCGCACAGGCCACAGAGAGCGTACAGGCCGAACAGTGAGAATTGTCGAATCTCACTTGCAACAGTGTCGTACCCAGAAGTAAGCCTTCCGTTCACTACGAGGAAGTCACTGCACATAAGGTGCATTCTGTCGAGGAAACTTTGGATTGCAGGCGTGAGTGTTTTACGTGCTAAACTGAAATCTTCAAGCTGGTGCTTAGCCGTAAGCATGTCGATCTGCACCTCAAAAATATTTTTACGCCAGGACGTCTTAGCTTCAGATACGAGATCCACGATGGTTAAGCACGTTTTGCACTTGAAGCAGCCCGTTTGTCCTCCTATTGTCATTCGAGAGAGTTCGCTCGGCTGCGTAATGTTCATGTACTCGCAGTCCACTGAGTCGTTGTTGACTGTTGGATAAAGCACAGAGTAGCTGGTAAGAGGGTCGAGAAGATCGAACACGGGATTGCCTATGACGTCCTCCGCGTAGCTCTGCTTGTCCAAGAATACGTGCAATTCCAAGTCTGTGAGTGAACGTTCCTGAATGTCTGGAAGGAGGAACGATTCTCCATTGGAGTCCTCGTATCCATCTGCGAGGAGTTCATCCATTGGCGACAGGAAGTTTTCCTCAAATGTGGACAAATTACTTGGGAATGTGTCGTTCAGGAGTGTGAACACTTTTGCTACAAGCGGTTCGATGTCGTTGTGCAGCACGAACAAAGTCATGATAGCCGTCGCCGAGCCCAGGAGGAGAAACAATGTCATGAAAGTGCCCCACACAATTTTCTGCAGCTTGCTGTAGATTTTTGGCTTCTCGAGAGGATTGCGCCGACGACACCCGCATTTGAAGAAACAAAATGTCCACAAAAGATGAAAAATAAATGAAATCGCAAAAAATGCCGCCGCGAGGACGAAGTAGGCCGTCGTAGCCCAGCCAAACTGCCGGTAGGAACCCGTTTCCAAAATATCGAGAAATCCTGACGAAGTGTCCGATGTGGAAGCACTGCTGATGGCTGAGTCGTAGTCGAATGAGAGTAAGTACGCACGGAGGTCTGGTAACAAATGGTCCACAGACGACAAGTTGGTTGCGTTCGGGAACACTTTTGCGTTAGCAACCTCCGCGATGTCATACACTGCGCAAAAGCAAAGGAAGTAAGAAAACATTCATCGACCTCAGCCTGCCCAACAGTCTCCTTACCGCTGTCCTGGCAGTGATCACCTGTGAACCCCCAGCGTTTGACGCACTGACATTTGCCCGACGCGTCTTCGTTTAGTGCGAGGCACTGCCCTCGTTGTTCGCAGCAGAGGTAATCGTAGTCGTTGTCGATCGGGTAACTCGTGCCAACCAAGCGCCCACTTCTCACTCTCCGCTCTCCAACCTGCTCATTCAGCGCTGGGTCGTACGGAAACGTGAGCGTGCACACCGGCTGCGGGTCCGTCTTGAGCTTGATGTCCCAGATGAACACGAGCGACCCCGTGGCCAGTTTGTCATTGTACGCGTCCGCGCGCTTGGACGAGGAGCAGCCGCCACAACAGGCGAAGTTCGGGTCGTAATGCGCCGGTGCCGCGCCCGTGATCGTCATCCGCGCTGCAAGTCAAGAATGGGTCTCACCACGTTGAAGTCGTTCTAAATGTAGCCATTCTAAGTTTCGTAACGGTTAATAACTTGAATGTCACGCTAACGTTTCATTTCTGAAGTGAAAATTGCCAAAACCTTATCGGAGACCGTGAAATTCAGGAACCAAGCCGAGGCCCAAGGCAATGCTGCTGGAGCTCGCGGACGAGTGCAAGCAGCAGATTTGGGGCTTTCTGGGCGTGCGGGAGCTCTGCCGTGTGGCGGGTGTGGCTCGCAATGTCGAGCAGGGAGTTCATATGGGGCCGATCTGGCAGCGACACGCTCGGACGCTGCTGGCCAAAGGTCAGGCCGCGCTTCGAGGCGACTCCGGAGTGCTCAGCTGTCGGCTGCAGCGAGGCAATGCCAGTCGCAACCTGCTGGCGACAGGAGACACACGCCGACCCAGTTATGGCGAGGACGGAGAACTATTGGAGGTTCATAACGAAATCGACTGGAGACTGTGGTACCGAGACACTCACGTGGTGCTGGTGAGGTTCCGAACCAATAACGAGGGCTTTGCCCAGGCGTTGGCCTCCCTGCAGGAGCTGAAGACGGAGCGCGCGCAACTTAAAGAGGCGGTGCAGAACGTGAAGGCTTCGACTCAAGCAGAGAAGAGGAGCCGGCGCAGTCAGATGAATTGCGTGCGATGGATGAACCGCACCCACCGACGACAAGCTGCTGCCTCCAACTCGATCCAAGCGCAGAATGCGGCGCTGTCGAAGGCGGAACTGGCCGAGAGACTGCAGCGTGTAGAGAGATCGATTCAGGCGATAGCCAAGGAGCAGTTTGAACTGCGTAAGCGGGCGATGAAGAGCTTGCACAAGCTGAACGCGCAGCTTGCGAGTGGGACGAAGCTACTGCGTGATCTGGGAGTTCCTGCTGATAGGTATGTAGCGTGACTTCGCGCGTGAGATCTTCTTGTAAATATATACGCTAGTCAAAATTCTACCCTAGATTGCGTCATTTACCACAGTTTTGTGGACTCTGCTACGTGGTTTCGATAGGCTCCTACGTTGCAAACCTTGACGTTTGCAAGCGCTTGCCGAGCGTATTCGCTGGAATTCAACCCAGCATTCTACACAAATAGCAGCGTGCAGGTTAGTGCGATGCGTGGGGATCAAATAACGAGACTGGTTGGAGCCTACCCGCAGAGCAATCCCCAGCTTGAATCGTGCATTCTTGAAGAGCGTCTCGCAGTCGTAGCCATGACTGGGAAATAGTCCCGTTTCCTAAATGTTTGGAGCGGTGCAATAATGTTAGATACCCAGAGCAAAATAGGAACGGGACAGTGAACGTACGGTGAGTGGCAAACCCTCTTGAGCAGCTTCAACATTCGCACGAAAAGCTGCAGTCTCTTGTCGGGTGCGTTCTGGATCCGGCTAAACAGGGGGAAAACATGAGTAAGTTGTAGCTCAAAAATTCCATCAGCTTTACTCGGAGTACCGTTATGTTCGCGATGATTTGGGCGTACGGCGTCTTCTCCTTCAGCTCGCTCAATTTCGCTAACCGCTGCTCTTCGAGCTGGGCCTTATGAAGCTCTTCGAGTTTCATATCCTCAAGTTTGCGCTGACAAAAACGCACACGAACTGTCAAGATACTATGCAGCATTCATCGAGATGGCTTAGCATCGACAAACCTGGAGTTCAGTTTGACGATACTGGACCCGCTCAGCGTTGACAACGCTTTGAAGTGCTCGTTCTGCTTCACGTTGCTGCTCCTCCTCGATCGATAACTTTTCATCAGCCATTTTTCGAAGAACTTTATCTTTCCTGCAGGACACACGAATGATAAATGTAAGATCCACGTCACTGTTGAAGCAAACTAAGATGCCGTACTTGTACTCGTCGACAGCGAGCTTCTGCTGATCGTGCTTTCTTTTCCGCCGAAGCGCCTCTTCTTGCTGTTGCTGAGCCTCCACCATCTCTTCAATTTCACGCTGCTGTCTCTCTATCCGCTCTTTGGCTTCTTTCGTAACGTGCCACTTGGAAACCAAGTCATGACGTTGCTCGCACTGCTCCTGCATTTCACTTAACTGCTGTAATTTCTGAATCCTCTGCTGCTCTTGCTCGATGGCGACTCGAAACTTTGTAGCAGCTTCACTCTGTAACTCTTCCAACCTCCGCTGCAACTCACGCTGGCGGTCCTTACGTTTATCATGGTAAAACCGAAGATGCTGGTGGAAGCGTACATGCTTCTTAATATCCGCAAGAGAGATAGTCGGTAGGACCAAAGCGACCTGATCATACAGCAACTGCGGCTTCTTGCCAGTGTCGAGCTTCTTCTCGTAACTGCGGAGAACTTTTAGAAATCGTTCCTCATTCGCGTCACACCAGCCGCCGCTTTTGGATGTGGCAGCTTCAATACTACCTGCAGCATCATCAGCAGACGCAGCTCTGACAAATTCCATCTCATACTGCGCTAGATCATGACGGAATTCGGCGTAAGCAATACGAAAAGATTCAATCACCTCGATTCGCAGCAATTCGTCAGGGCATTCATTCCCTCCTGTGGCGTCGAGTACTGTAGTGATCTTCTGCTCTTGTGCGTCGAGGTTTTCGGCTCTCGCTGGCACTGAGTTTGCCTCGTCCCGAAGTGTCTCCAAGACTTTCCGATAGCAAGAATCAAACTCCTTTTCACACGACTGCACTTCTTCCTCCAGAGTCGCTTCCACCATTTGCCTCCCGATCACTGCATCGTAGATCAGCTGACGCACATTGGCCTGCAAAAAATAATCGGATCGTGAGCAGCAATTTCAAGTCTATGGAGATGCAGTGCAGCACCTGCATGTCTTCCGACAGCATTTGATTGTTTTGCTCTAGATGGGCGCCTTGTCCTTTGGAAAAAGCTGACAGAAGCTGCTTCAGTGCCGCTCTCTGATAAATAAGCACATACGTATCTCCAGTAAATGGACTTGTCATCGTTAAAACGAGAATGTCTGCTTACTTGCTCGCGCTCCGAGGCGATCTGCTTTATCAGCGCAATTCGGTTGAGCTGTTCCGCTCGAATCAAATCTTCCAACTCCGCGGCGTAGATTATACTGGTAGATACGACCGATATCTCTGACGGAGTCGAGTTATTGTCTTTTTCGTCACCGTTGTTGTCTTCGTCAACATCGCGTGTAGAACGAGGCGTACTGACGCTGCACTTGCTTGGCGTATCCTGAGGCTCCAGTTTCTTTGACTCGTGCGCTGTAGATGCTTCGTTGTACATGCGTAGAAGCATCGACTCCAGCTCCTTTGAACAATTCTACCAATTAACTGAGTTAGAGATTGCCCAACAATTGTAAAATAGTAGGGAGAATCACGTCACCTCCTCAAGCTTCTTCAGGTGGCTGTGCTCTTGAAGCCACTCAAACTGTAACAACGCGGTGAGCTACGAAGCGCTGAGATGACCGCTTGGACGGATTTACCTTCAGCTTGTTTGCCTTCATTGCCTGCTTCTGAGTCTTTGAAGCCTTCTTCATCTGCCGAATGGACTTTACAAGGCACGACTTTAAGACCAAACTCAGACCGCAGTAAATGCCTTCAGTTTGCCAACACTTACTTTGAGGACATCGTCACCTTCCGCTTTCAACTGCGAGGCCACCTGCAGCTGCTGGTCGATCGTCAGGCCTGCCGTCGCGCGGAACACCTTCTTTCGAGTACCAGCTTTGGATAGCAACTTAGCAGGCGTCTTAGAGTGCACTAGGTGCTCAATCAGTGCACGTACCTGCGGGGACTACCGACCTCTTTGTTGTGGCCATCACCAATCTGCACGCGAGGTTTCGAGTCAAAAGGTCGCAAAACTAAAAATGCGGCATTGCCCTTGACGTCTCAAAATGCACTCGTCGGCATAAAGGGAAAGCAATTATCATTGTTCATTGTGGTGCTTCTGACTTGTGTGCAGCAAACCGTCGAACAGAACGCAACAGATGTAAGAGAGAGGGCGCTTCTAGCGCGTGCCCGTGCGGGGGCGAGCGAATCCCTCCTCCTTGGACTCGTCCATGTAGTCCTCCTGCTGCGTGCAGATGCGCAGGATCTCCTTCTTGCTCGACTCCTGCTGGTAGCCGCCGATGAACAGCTCGTCCAGAATGTAGTACGCCTGTCGCCAAGCACCACCAAAACCAGCATTAGACCCTTAAGATCACAGGCGAAAACCTGCCAAGACGACGCTCTACCTTGTGGAAGTTGAAGATGATGTCCAGCTCGCACACCTGCCATACACAGCATCCCTCAATGTGAGCCTCCTTCCCCTCCGAACCTCCGGCATCTCCCTCTGGCGCTCCACGTACATTGCCGAAGTAGCGGTCGAGCACCTCCACGAAGAGGTGGATGGCCTCCAGCGTGATGAGCTCGTTCTCGTCCTTGGAGATGCACGCGATGAAGTACAGGCTCGCGTATCTGCGTCAAGGCGCACAGCACAGCACAGCACAGATCAGCCTCCCTCCCTCCCTCCTAGTTGGCAGCTATAATAGCAGGCGGCACCTCTTGTAGACGATCTTCTTGTCCTTGAACTCGATGAAGTTGCACTGCTTGTGCGGGCGCGAGAGCACGAGCGACGTGATGTCGCGGATCATGCGCGTCTTCTCCTTGAGCGACGCGTTGAGGTACCACTTGGCGAGGCGCGTCTTGCCCTGGCGGCTCACCAGCAGAACAGACTCAATCTGCAGTGCGCATACAGAGATGGCATAGCGTTAGATTGCGTCAGGGCTTGCTAGCAGACGCACGCAGCCTCCCCCGTACCATGGGTGCTAGATAAACTTGGCCGTGGGGAGCCACGTCGTCGGGTTGGGGCCAGATTGGTGTACAAGACACTAAATATTTATTATGCTCCTCAACTGCGAGGAAGTATTATCTTGCTCTTCAATTGTGAGGGAGCTTGCGCTGTTCAACTGTCGCTGCCTCGTGGCGCCTGCCAATCAGAATCGAATCCGCCCGCCGCCATGAGCTCTTCGTGGCTGCTGCTCCCCTCGTCGCGACAGGTGCGTGGCATTAGGCGAGGAGTCCACCGTCTTGCCTCGCCCCATATTAATCCCTCTCGTCCGCTGTCGCAGCTCCGCCGCCTCATGACCGACGCCGCATCGTCGCCTTCGGGCCCCGTGGCTCGCCGCATCCACGAGAAGCTGCTGGCCGCCTTCACGCCCACGCACCTGGACGTGATCAACGAGAGCCACATGCACAACGTGCCACGCGGCGCCGAGACGCACTTCAAGGTGGTGGTCGTGGCCGAGCAGTTCGACGGCAAGCCGCTGCTGCAGCGCCACCGCATGGTGAACGCCGTGCTGCAGGAGGAGCTCAACGACGGCGTGCACGCGCTCAGCATCCTGAGCAAGACGCCCAAGCAGTGGGAGGCCAACGCGCAGGTCAAGCCGTCGCCCAACTGCCGCGGCGGCATGACCACGGACGAGACCAAGAAGGAGTTCCTCGAGAGCCTCAAGCAGAAGCACAGCAGTGAGTGAACCATTCCAATACAGAGCCCCCTCAATTAGTTATTCTATCCACACGACCTTCTTAGCGCGACCGGCGCAGCTGGCTCTGCAGCATGTTGAGCATCACGGACAGCAAGCCGCCGATCACGACGCCCAGGATCTCCTCCTTGTGCTCGTCCACCACGGACAGCACGCTTTGCACGGACGCGGGCAGCTGCTTCTTCCACGACCCGGACAGGAAGTTGCTGCGCGAGACGCGGTGGCCAATCTCCTCGGGCACGCACACGTCGTGGGACGCGATGTACTGGTAGTGCATGCGCGCGACCGCCTCCATGAGCGCCGCTTCGATGTCGGCCTCGTCCTTGGGGCGCGTGATGGCGCGCTCGTCCTTGTCAGTGATCAGCAGCACCTCGTCGAAGCGCGAGTGCAGCTCGTTGGCGACCACCAGGTGCATGGCGTACTTGGCGATGGCCTGCTTGGCCTTCTTGCGCAGGATGTCCCAGTCCGTCTCGAGTTTGAACGACACCACGAACGACTGCGGAGCCCACGAGTGCCGCAGCACGCCCAGCATCTTGGGCACTTGCTGCAGCGTGAGCTCCAACGGCCCCGCGCGCGACTGGATCTTGTGCTCCGACAGGTCCTGCTGCGGGATGTAGAAGTCGCTCACGGCTGCGGCCAGGAGGAACAGCGCGCGCTCCCTCCAGGGCGCGACGCACGTCGCGACCATCCGCAGCACGAAGAAGTAGTCGTCCACCGAGGTGAAGGGCAGCGACAGCAGCGTGTTGGCTGCGCGCACAGTCCGGAGCTTGTGCACTGCGTCCACCACCTTCTTCTTGGCCGTCGGGTCCTCCACCAGCAGGCGGGTCTCCTGGTCGCCCATGACGCCATTGCGCACGTCCAGGTGCTCCAGGAAATTGACGTCCAGCGACGAGCTCGTGGCTCGCTGCACGTGACGTGCGAAGGGCGCAATGGATCCGGGTCGGTGCACGTAGATGACTGCGTAACCCAGTCCCAGCAGGTACTCGACGGAGGCGGCGCCCCTGGAGCCCGTGGAGAAGTTGTCCAGGAAGCGCACAGTGTTGCGCTCGAGCGGGACGGTCGTGCCGCCGGACGTGACCACGGCCACGCACTTGCCTACCACTCGGTGGTGGTCCAGGAACGCCTCCACCTGCTCACGCCGCTCGTCGCCCCATTTGGGTGCCGTAGTGTGCTGGAAGTATTGCTCCGTTCGACGCTGGTCCTCGTCCGACATGCTTGATTTTGGCTAATGGACGGTCTCCTGATGGATACGTCGACAATACTATGATCTGACATGATATGCGGTTAGATAGGTCAAGTTGAAGTTGTGGATCGATTGAATGTTACGCTTTTAACGCTACGGACAGTTTGGCCCTTTGGCTCTCTCTCTCCCTTTCTGGTTATGCCACCTCGACGGGGGACTTGGTCTCGATGTACCCGGTGGCGGGGGACTTGGCGTTCACGGGCTTGTGGAACAATTCCTCGATGTCCTCGAGCAGAATTCCCTTTGTCTCCGGGCAGAAGTAGTAGACGAAAAGTCCGCAACACACGGCGAGCCCCGCGAAGAGGAAGAAGACGCCGTTGATGTTCAGGTACGGGAAGAGCTTGACGATCTCCGTCATGAGCGCGCCGCCGACCCAGTTGGCAGCGGTCGAAAGGGACACAGCCGTCGCGCGCACGTTGAGCGGGAAGATCTCGGAGCAGTAGATCCAGGGCACCGCTCCCCACGACACGGCGTAGCTGAAGACGAAGAAGGCCGTACCAATGCAGATGAACCAGCCTCCGACCTCAGGACACCCGGCGTTGTCGACGTTGCCGTTGCAGATCGCAGTGAAGAGGATGGCAGCGAAGAGGTGACCGATGACCATGCCCACAGCTCCGATCAAGGCCATCTGACGACGCCCGAACTTGTCCAGCATGAAGAGACCGGGCATGGTACTCAAGCAGTTGACTCCACTGAGGAGCAGCGACGCGTAGATGCCGGCACCCGTGATGTCCTTGAAGATGAGCGAGCCGTAGGTCATAATGGGGTTGATGCCGGTCGCCTGCTGGCCCAGCTGGAACACCATGGCGATGATGACACGTTTGCGGACCGAAGGCTCCCAGAGCTCCTTGAGTCCCAGGTCGTTGGCCGATTCCTGAGCAATCTGGTCGCCAATGGCAGCCAACTCGTGCTGCACGTTGTCGGTCTGACGCAGACGCTTGAGCACTGCCTCGGCCTTCTTCTTGCCCTTCTGCTGGTATGTCCAGCGAGGGCTCTCGGGCACGCAGAAGATGCCGCACATGACGATGATCGGGGGGATCATGGACACCGCGTTACTGATGCGCCAGCCACTGCTGTTGTCCTCCACCAAGATGTTGATGAGGTTGGCCAGCCACTGGCCGAACGTCACGGGGAACACCATCAGTCCCGACAGACGCGCGCGAAGCTCCTTCGGCGCCATCTCCGAGCCGAACAGAGGCAGCGAGAACGACGAGTTGCCGACACCGAAGCCCTGCACGATACGCGCCAGATACATGAGCGTGTGGTCCTGCGCGGGGTTCAGACAGACCCAGGTCGTGCCGATGCAGAAGAGGACGCCGGCCGACATGATGGTGGCTCGGCGGCCGAACTTGTCGGCGACGTAGCCGCCGATGAGAGCGCCCACCAGACACCCGAGGTTGTACACCATGTTGTACCAGACCGTGAACGTGGTCCACTCGCCAGGCAAGTCCGCGGACGAGCGCGTGCACTCATCGTACGTGAAGTTGTGCCAGCCCACGCAGTAGTCGTTCAGGAACGAGTCCATGATCAGCACGCCGGACGTCACGCCCTGGTCGTAGCCGAAGAAGAAGCCGCCGAGCGACGCGAACGCGCACACGATGATGGCGTAGGTCCGGCTGCCGTCGGTCGGCTCCGTGTCGGTGGTGTGCCGGTCAACGGGAATCACCACGCCGGCAACCATCGTCTTGCTTTGGCGAGTTGTGTCGGTGGTGCGGTGCAGTTAGTCGAATGTGTGCACCAGGGCGCAAAATGGAAAGTGAAGTGAGCTAAGCGCCGACCGTCTCCAGCTCAAGGAAGGCATTGGGGGTTCGTGCAGTTAGTTCAACCGCGCATGGGTGTCGTCGACTCGACTCATTCGCCTGCCAGCATTGAACATGGATCGCCAGCCTGTTCCGGATTTGACAAATCGGTGCAGTCCCGCCCATCTCGTGGTCAGGCTATACAGTACCGCTTCAACATGAGCTGTATGGACCATCGGGAAGCGCACCTCCTTCCATAACTTATGGACCATATGCCTGCATTGGCCTAGAGATGGACATTTCTAAAAGTCTGAAGTCTGAAGATAGTGGGATACGACTTCAGAATCGCACGTCCGGCTCAGAAGCACTACAGCTAAAGGAAACCCGCTATCCGAGCGCGGGAAGCTTTGCTATACCCTTGGGAAATCACCGGCGTGTGAAGCTTTTAAGCCGCACCCCATGAAGGCCTGTACAGTAATAGCAACCATGATTCAGCACGGTGGTTTAACACATCAACAAATCCGCGAAAAGCTGGTGGTGGTTGAAGTTGGCGCAGACCGTGCTGGTCGTGGGATGCACGAGGCTCGTACGTATGAAAGTCACGGTGCTGCTGCAGCACTGCTGCAGTGCTCTCATCGCTCATGAGACGCAAGGTTGTCCGCGGACAGTGCTGGTTTAACGTACAGCATTATAGATCGTTTCAGTGCTACATGAATGTATCTATGTGCTGGGCAAACGATACCTGCCAAAACATTAACGGTGACCGTCACAGTCATATCCTCGCTCTTGTCAATTCACTTGGATCGACGAGCGCGCAATGGCAACCGGGCTTCAAATACATGTTAACTTCAACCACCGCCCTGGCACGCGTGGAGGCTGGAGGCTCTTTTTTCTCAAGTAAAAAAGGCCGCGAAGACAACTTTAAGTCGGTGCAGACTTCACTGCAGTACACTGTACATGTAGGTCATCCCCCCGCTTGACGAAAGAGTCTGCCTCTTGGCACTTCCTTACCGGGATGCATATTGCGCACGCCTGGCAGAATGAATTGAATTGCCTGCATGATTCCAAGCTGAGTACATCACCTGTATTCGAATGACGAGTCCAGTGGATGAAGCGTCCAAGGGTCTTTGGCAGGATGAGGTGCTTCGTACACGATGCTTCCGATGCCAAAAGTTTACAGCAACGCGGGCGAGTGGTACGTTTGTGCCGAGGGCACGTAGTCTAGTAATCTTGCTGATCACCTGAAAGGCTTCGGTTTGAGTCGTTTGAAAGTGTGGAAATGTGCAGTGTACTGCATGTAGCTGCCAAACGCCTGAACTCCACGACCGAAAGATCGGTACTGCTCAGCCATTGTGTGGGTAGTAGCTCCATAATACAAGACCACTCGTGACTCGTGGTCAGCCATGTTGCCTCCAAGCCATCTAGGTAGCACGGCTATCACCTTCACACTGTGCACGGAGATCAAGCAACGCGGCTCTCGGCGAAGCTTTTCAGTACAGTAGCGGGTGTCCAGATGGCCACGAGCACTAGGTCGACCGTCACATGAGCAGGCAACAAACACCAACAAAGGATGGATCCACCATGACGGCGCCTGGAAAACTCGAGGGCGAGCCACCGTGTGCAACTTGTATGATAACGATAATAGAAATAAAGGCAAATACTACTTCGGGACATCCACAGATTCACTCAAGAGAGAGCACTGCAGTCTGGACATTCGACAGGCATGAAAGGCCCTTTGGAACTGTTCACTGGTCTCGGTGGGGAGCAGCAGGATCTTGGTGGCGACATGGCAGGCAACCTGCTTTACCATTCCTCAATTTACTTGGGACAGCCACCTCCTGCATCGTCGACCTTCAGCCGCCAGCATGCAGATCATCGTGTCGCTGGTACTCGCTCTTCTTGCGGCCTCGAGTACCTCCGCTCAAGTGACGTGCTCCACGTTCCACTTCGAGCAAGACGCTCAGGGCAACTCGGTCATTGTCCTGGATAACTGCAACGGTGCTGTGTCGAGCGGCTCCACTGTGATTGCCGGAACTTCAGCTACGACCGGCAGCTCAACGTCCACGCAGCAGGCACAAGTGCAACGTCAACGTCAAGCACGGCGGGAGGAACTTCCACGAGCTCCGCTATCAACTCCGGGCCATCCACAGCCGAAGCCTCCAGTGCTCCAGCTGTGACCTCAGGGTCGAGTAATTCCGTGACACCTTCAGCCAGTACTGCGGCGGCGGCGACGCCAAGCCCACAAAGCTCAACGGCTGCGGATTCGGCAGTCACGGCAACGCCAGTCGCTGCGACGACCGGATCGGGAACTGCAGCCTCCTCGACTCCTGTTGCCTCAAATGCACCGCCCAGCGCTGCGGCGGCCGTATCTGAGACTACTAACGGTGCTACGTCGAATACTCCCTCAACGTCCTCCACGAATGGAGCTACTGGCGAGACTGCTGCCACAGGGACGGGTTCGGCTGCAGTAGGGTCTTCGACGAATGTAGCAGCTATCGACACTTCCAATACGGCTGTAAATACGGCAGCCCCTTCAATGACCGGAACTGAAAACGCTGCCAACGCTGCTACTTCCACCAGTACCACCACTAGCTCAGCCACAGGCTCCGCAGCGATGTCTGGGGGTGCTACAACGAATTCCCAAGCGACGACCTCCACAACAAACTCCCACTCACCCACCACCGGAACTGCTTCGACACAGGGATCTCAAGCGACTGCCAGTTCCTCAGCAACGAACAAAGTATCGGGGAGCACCACGACCTCTTCTACGAGCAGTTCGCTTCGAGGCGGGTCTTCCTCAGGCAGCACTGCCGGCAGCAGATCGTCCACCGCTGCAGACAGCAGCTCCACTGGGAGCGCAACCATCCTCAAGTCGACTGCCAGTCAGTCCACTACGAGCTCTTCCGTCGGTAGCACTGGCCAGAGTGACAGCACCAACCAGGATTCTTCCAGCACTGCGCAGGGTGACAACATCGTCAGCGGAGGTTCTTCCAGCAGCTCTGGATCTGGCAGCAGTAACGCGGGCGCTCGCATCGAGCGGGGTCTTTGGACGTCCGTGGCATCCGCGCTGTTTGTCACCGTAGCGTTGACGATGGTGTAGGCATTTGACTCGCCGTTAGAGAGAGAAATTTCCATTCGCACTTGTCAATCACACGCGGAATGCACCAACTTCTCGATTGCCATGAGACCCAACGCCCGATCTCGCTACAAGTTCAGTCTCGAGCGGCCTTTTGAGTTCGTCAGGGCCCTTCCGCGCTGAGTGTTGCTGCACTCCCCGGACTCAGCGCGTCTTGTCGGCTAAAACAAACTTGCGCCATTAACCAACTTGCTCGAAGGGGGCATGGTGCGCAAACAGGTAAAACTTTTCGCAGCTTTGGTGCTCGGTCTCGCCGTCAGTCTCACCGCTGGCTTGGACTCTCAACTCGACGACGCATCAAACGGAGCAGAATCAGCAGCAACAGCTTCCAGCTCACCGACAACAGTGACGTCCCTGTGGGCTCAAGTTCATCGACCCCCATTACCGACACCCCGATCACTCCGCAGCCGACATTCCGCTTGGCGACAGGCACGACAGATCCTCCCGTGACGGACAGCTCCGCCGTACCGTCCAATACTGGCAACGATGGTGCCATATCAGTATCTACGACTCCAGGGTCTAGCGTGTCTGCTGTTTCTACACCGCAGCCCACGATCCGTTTAGTCACCAGCGGAGAGATATCTTCCTCCACGACAACAGACACTCCAGTATCGCCTACCGGTAGCACTCCAAGCACTGGCATGACCACAGCTCCGAAGATCACCTCTGCGCCGCAAGTACCATTTGATGCAGTGACAGGTGAAAATACGGCTAGACCAGCTACATCACACTCCCCTACGTCTCCGTCCGTTGCAGCAACGAGTACTCCAGCACCTGGAAGCATCCCGACCTCAACGAAGGCTCCCACTACGGCAACTTTGACTCCACAGCCAGCGTTTCAAGATTCAAGCTTGCCTAAGACTACCGTCTCCAGTGGTGCCTCATCATCAAGTTCGACCGGCCGCTCTAGAACTTCGAATGGTAATTTCCAGGATGCGGTACGCAACAAAACTGCCCACCGCAGCGAGAGCTCACCCGATGGATCAACTTCTTCTGGTTCAAATGCTGGGGACCCCAGTACCAACAGCAGTAGTGACTTCGGTTCATCTTCCGTCGAAAATGCCGAAAGCATTGGCAGCGAGAGCGACAGCCAAGCAACGACGAACGCAGGCACCACTAAGTCGCGGTTTATTGTAGCGATGGCATCGGCATTCATTGTCATTCTGGTAGCATTATAAGCCTCATACAGTCTAGACATGCATCATTCGCTCGAAAAGCTTCCAACAGAACTCAGTTCGATTCAGAGAGTGCTCAGTCGATGAAGCGCGTTCGACAACAGCGATCGGACCTGAGAACTCCAGTGTCGACGACGATTTCTCACGTGTGCACTCTGGCCCCTTAGCCGTGGGTTTGGGCGCTACTAGTAGCGATGCGTGGCACATCATAGGTTGTTGCCTCGTAGTAAGCTGCGTCTATTTGCATCGACTGCCAGCACCATCATCGCTAAACTGTAGGTGTACCCAGTGGGTAGCACAGCACCCCCTCGACTCGGCGACGTTATTGCGCCGTTGTTGCATGCGCCTTCAAGCGACCTTCCTAGCCGTCGTTTGTCGTAAGTCGGCAGTTTTTGCTGCTGAAATGTGGCTGTCGAAGGAGTCGCTCGGATCGGATGACATCTCCGTTCGCTGTACAGCGCGAGGAACTCATTCTCATTCCGCAACTCACTTCCTCGAGTACACTGCAAACCAAGACCCAAACGACCCACAAGATGAAGCTCCTCGTGTCCTCGGTCCTGCTCGCTGTCGCGATCGCCGCCGTCTCCGCTGAAGACAACTCAACGGACGCATCGCTGTCGACGTCCGGATCATCATCGTCATGGTCGACCTCGGGCTCCTCCGAAAGCTGGAGTGAGTCCGGCACCGACGACGAGACCTTCGGACCCTCCGGTTCGGGCGACGTGGCCGGCTCGGCCACCGTCGGTAGTGTTTGGTCTGCCTCCGGCAGCGCCGACAGCGTCGTGGGGACCGAGTCCAGCACGTCGAGTGGGTCGGCAGAAGACACGACGATCGAGACCGAGGCGCCGACTGACTATTCTACCAGCAGCAGTGGCGAAGAAGAAGAAGACAACCTCTCCAGCGCCTCCGACAGTGCATCGAAGGCAAGCTCCAAGTCTTCCGGCGCGAATATTCTTCCGTCGGTTGCACTCTACAGTTCCGCCACGATCGCTGTGGCCATCGCAGCCCTCCTCTAGTCTGCTGTAAGTACAGTAGAGAAGGGATCCACACTTTTTGATTCGCCGTCATAGCAGCAGCAGCAATGTAAATACACATGCGTGTTGGTGCCACCATTCACTTCACACAAAAACTCGATTGCTTGCTTGCTTGACCTCCCTCCAACGCCAGCACCAGATAACGGCGAGGAATCTTAGCCCCATGTATTCTTGGCTGCGGCTTCCACGGAGTTATCGCGGGCGAAAAGCAAAACGCTTGCCCTCCAAGCCCCCACAGCTCGTTCATGCTCAGCTGCACCAGTCACTCGCTGAGCCAGACCATTGGACTCGATCGATACTATTGGAGCTCGTTGCTTCCTCGGACCGTTTCCTCGACCGTTTCCGCACGATGGGAAGCTGTGATTTTCGCAGTTGGAGTCTTTGCTGCAAAATGGGGAGCTCCCTCCGGTTTCATCTGTGCGTTGAAGACAGCAGCTGTATCAAACTGCCCGAATTTCTCTTCGTTTCTTTCTCAGGTAAGATCGTTCAGACAACCTGTATACAAACTGGGCGCCTTTGACAGCTTGTATCGCAGTGTGATAGAGATTGCTCCATACTTGTGTTCTCCTGTGTTTGGTGTGGAGATTTGCGTCATTTTCCAACAAAGTCGCTTCAAACGAAAGTCCCCAATTTCGCGGAAAGCGTTTCCATGTATCTCAAACTCGTTGCAAAACGGTCAGGAATTTTTTGTCCGTTACCAGCTAGCGGTCGTGGAGCTGCTGCCGGCGCCTCCGATCCAGCGACGGCTGCCCCGATCCTCATTCGCACATTTGCGCTCCAGTACTCGCATCTACAGCGTCCCAGTCGCCTCCGCTCCCTCTTTCCAAGATGAAGTTCTTCACCGCCGTCCTCATCGCCGCCGCCATCGCCGTCCACGGCGCTTCTGCGATGCAGCTAGCCGACACCACGACGGGAACCACCGCAACTACGACCGGCACGACCGGCACTGCTACTACGGAAACAACCACGGCGGGCAGCACCGCTACTAGCACCGACACGACCGGCACCACTGACACCACCACCACTGGCACCGACACCACTGGCACTACCGGCACTACTAGCACCGACGCTACCGGCACCACTGGCACCGACACTACCGGCACCGACACTACCGGCACCGACACCACCGGTACTACTGGCACCGACACTACCGGAATGGCTACGACGACGGATGCCACGTCCAACTCGACGGACACTACCGGAACCTCGGGTGTCACTGGCTCTGATGCCAGTGGTGAGGCCCCGGAGGGTGCTACGGGCTCTCTGGAGGCAAGCGGATCCGGCGATAGCACCACTACTGTCGGCGACTCGTCCACCGACGGATCTGTCGGCTCGGGCTCCAGCGCTGCCGGCAGCGTCGAGCCGATCACGTACGCAGCGTTGGCTCTGGGCGCCACGGTGGCCGCCGCCCTCTTCTAAGCCAGTCAGCCCACTTTTGACGGGTCTTGTCCATTAGGTTTTATGCTCGATAATAGCGACCAAACATCAATTTTCTCCCAAGCTCGCTCTCCACTCCTTCATTTGTCCACTTTGTGCCAGGTCACGTCTGATGGCGCATGTTCCCCACGAACGAGTTGCGTCGAGACGGATGCGGAGGCTCGAAGTTGTCGCCCAGTTCGGCCTCCTTGAGCCTCAGTTCGATACGCGTCATGCCCATGGAGATCCGTCGGCCGGTGCCGGCAGAAGACGTGGTCGACACCAACGAGCTTGAGGATCCTTCGCGGTTCCAGATCGGCGGAAGCGACACGAGGTTGGACGGCGTACGAGTTACAGGCGGCGGGTTTTCATTCGTAGCAACCACGTAGTTGCTTCTACCGCTTGGCGGGCGAGAGCTGGGTGCGGCAATTGGAGGCAGCCGAGGCTCGTAGGGGGGTTCTACCTCGGTAACAATCGCAGTAGTTGTCCCTGCCTCTTCCTCGTCATCCGATTCGTCGTCGTCTTCTTCGTCGTCATTGTCGTCATCACTATTGCGTTCATTGAGAGCGCTGACTGCACAGCTCTCATGCAGCTTTCGCCGAGTTTTATCATCCAGCTGCAGCAACAGACTCGCTCGCGAATTGTAGCCTCGGTAGATGGACTGGATGCGGACAGCGGAATGATTCACACGCTCCAGGTCCTTTCGGAAGCGCTGCCGTCGCTCCTGCTGGACGTTGAGGAACTTGCGGATCTTGGACTGGATGGCCATGGCGCTCACCGACGTCATGTGCGCCCTCTTCTCCTCCCGCAGCATCCTCACCTGGCCCTGGGCCAAGTGCGAGCGCACGATCGCCTGCATCCGCACGGCAGCCACATTTCGCTTCCGCTCCATCTCCTGCTGCTCCATTTTGTGCTTCTGGAGCAGAACGATCCGCTGGCGACGTCGCTCTTCCCCCACTCGGCGATACCTCTCGGCGGCGTCTTGGGTATCAGCCGACTCGTTCAACTTGTTCGCCAGGAGGTTCAAGAGCTGCGCTTGTGCAACAGACTCCACGGTCATTGAGCGTCGGTGCCGCAGACGCCGACGGTACCGCCGGAAAGCGTTGATAATCGTCCGAACGGCAGCAACGCGACGCTTGTGCTCCATCCAGGCACTTCGGATCGAGTGGTAGTCGCATTTGGCGCGATGGCCACGGAAGACGCGCTGGATGTTGACCACACTCACGCGGATACTGCGTACGAACTTGGTCACGTTGTTCTGCATCTCGTGGCGGTGTCGATGCGCGAGGTACTGCAGCTGGATCTTGCGCGCCAGGAGGTGCTCGACCCGCTTCTCATTGTTCTTGCGGATCATTATTTTGCCCTTGAGTTTGTTCGTTTCGCCCCACCGCTGGATGTCACGCAGCTCGCAATCGGCCTCGGGGTCGAGTAGTGCTGCGCGCTTCTCCAAGAATTCGCGCAGACGCTCAGGCTTGATACGCAGGACTTCAGTCGACGCAGCGTCTTCGCCAGATTGATTACCAGACGCCGGTACAGCAGCACGAGTCGTGTCCTCCTGACGAATACGAAGTTGCTCGCCAAGTAGATGGGCAGTCGGCGACTGCAGCTCCATCATGTTACTCAGGGTTTCCTCAACGCCACCAGCAGATTTGATCGTCGCGAAGGGGTCGTACGTGGTCCGAGCTCGGTCTTCCTCTTCACCGCACCGTTGTCGCTCCAATGCTTCAAGTTTAATCTCGTTGTCGATGGCCTCAATACATTGACGCAGTCGGTCGAGATCGGTCGCTGATACGCTCGGCTTGGTAGGCGAGTTACTAGGAGACTTGGTTGAGATACCAAGCGCTTCTTGCAACCTCTTCAACCCCATCGAGTTGACGCAACAGACCTTCTTTCGTTCACGTGAAACAGGGGGCGTGCTATCCATGCCTCGATCCGTCAGAAATGTCTTCCCAGCTGACGAGGTCCCGAGGGCTTGCAGTGTCGCCCGTGACACCAGTAGGGGGCTATACGTCGCCTTTGGGCCGATAATCAACTCCAGCGCCACCGAAGGAAACAGCGCGCGCAAGTCTTCGTCCACATGCAGGAGGTAGTTGGCAATCCTTTGGCGTTTCCACGGAAATCGAAAGAGCCGCTGGAAGTTGCTCATCTGGCGCCGTCGCTGGCGCATTTGACGCCAATCCAGAATCCCCTCCACGATACTGAGAGTGGCTTGCTGCAAGCCGTTCACTAGCAGTCTAACGTGGTGGACGTGGTGCTTCATTCTCTTGGTGAGGTCGGCTAGCCGAGCTTTCGCCTCGGTTACTGCCACCTCAGCTTCCGTGACCGCTAGGTCAGCCTCTGCTCGTGTCGGGGTAGGAATGGTCAGACCGATCAACGACCCCGTCTTCTTCATGCGCGATGGAGACATGGCCTTGGCCGCCTCCAACGTAACTTGCGCCTGTTTGTGACTGTCTTGAGCTTTCAGAAGATCTTGAGCCAGAGTGTCGATAAGAGGCAGTACTTGCTTCAACTGGCGGACCAGTTGTTCGCGCATCATGATGTCCTTGGTGACCCCCAACTCACGCAGAACAATGCGTGACGACTTCTGCGTACTCGACAGCCACGGCGCTGGACCACCATTGCTGAGCGCTTGAGCGCCGGTCTTTGAAGCTTGTTCGCGCTGTGTTTTACTGGACAACGGACGCGGCACAGGCCGCAACTGAGCACGCGGAATATCGGCCTCACTTGGCGAATGCTTCAGACCGGAATACATAGCGTCACTGTTGGCTCCATCGTTGGGCGTCCCCAGAGCTTCGTCTTGGTTTTCACGAAGCTGGCGCATACTTGCATTGCGTAAGAAGCTCGTCGCTCTCTTTGGAGGCACCACGGGGGACATGTGCCGTCTCGGTCGGTTCGACGACTTCAGAGGAGCTGAGTTTGTATGTTTGGGCAAGACGAGAACCACGTTCTCGTTGAACTCGCCATCCTCGCGGTTGTCCCGATGCTCCGCTAGTTTTTCTTCGCTTGCCTGCCGGTGGGCTTGGATGCGCTGGTAGTTCTCCAGGATCTTCTGCTGGCGCTGATGCCTCGGCACTTGAGTCTTGAAGATTTCTTCTCGCGCTTTCTGGTCTCCATACTGCCTCGCCAGCCCTCGCGCCACGAGATTCCGTCGGAGAGCAGCAGACTTCCTGACCGCCACTGGCAGCCCGCTCGTTTGTCGCTCTAAAGTATCTCCATAGTGGCTTAGCAGATTGCGATCGCCCTCAATTTTCGACTGGCCGCTCTCCCCCACAGAGGCAGACGACCCCAGTAGCGGGGCCTTCTTCATCAAACCCATTTCGACCTGCACACTACTGAGTGAAGTCGGCAAATGACTCGCAAAAATAGCAGAAGTGGGGCTCAGCCTGCCCTCAATTAGATGCTCCTGTTCAATAACTGCGCAGGCGCAGTGATGGTAGCAATTTTGTAAATATTGCATTGCAATACTTGGTCGTTCTATCACTTCGGTAGCACTTCCGCTCACCAGGTCAAGTCGCACACGAGAGAGACATGGTCGGAAGGGAATGTGGAAGACGGTAGCGCGACCTCGTGCGTCACTTCCTCCTCGGTGAAAAACGGGAACACGTCGCGGACCTGCAGCGTCTTGGAGCCCACCATGATATAGTCCAGCGTGTCTACGAAGCTTGTGACGTAATTCGTGAAGGCTGGGATCCCACACGCACTCAAGAGCTGGAGATCGTGCTCAAAGCGATTCGGTCGGACAGTATTGGCGTGCTTGACGTCGTTCTCCTCTGTCTTCAGGTTCCACCGAAACGACGGAGCTTGCTGCCAGTGTCGGTGGCTCGAGTCGATCTGGCCGTCCAGGAGAAATGCAACCAGCGCTGCCCTGGGGTGAGCGTTCCAGTCTCCACACATCACCACGGCCGCGTTTTCAAACCCAGGCTCGGCCTTTCGTTTCCCAACGCTGTCAACCACAGCGACACCTTGGAGTAGTCGAATCAAGTGGGCGTCTCCGCGGTAGAAGAGGTGCGTATTCGACAGAATGATACTCCTCGATGGGTCCAGCTTGGAACGCAAGACGAGGAGTTGGGCGATAGAAGGAATCCGGTTGATAGCCTTCTCGAGTTCCGGGAAGTCCTGCAGCAGACTCCGCGCTGCTGGATTCGTCGAGTTCTTGACCGTCAGCCCGAGGTTCAATGTATCCTCGTCGACCACCTCAAACCGCGCCGTCCTCACGAATGTAGCGCACCCTTCATTGGTCGTTCCCGTCTTGCCCGAGTAGTGCCCATGGTAGCCCAGCGACGTCATCATGGGCTCGAAGAACCTTTGAAACACATGTTCGCCCATTTCCTGGAGACAGACGATGTCGCTGTTGTTCTCCTCGATCTCCTGGAGAATGAGCTGGATCCGGCGCGTCTCCTTGATGACGCTCGCGTCGACGTACGGGAACAAGTTCTTCTTGGCGTGGTCCGTAGTCGCGTAGCCGTCGTACAGCACATTGTAGCTCATGACCCGAAAGGCCTCCGCCGCGTCCGGGTACTTGTCCGCAGCACTGGTCGCTCCCATGCGCCGTCGCTCCTTGAACACGTCTCGGTTCGGGCCAGGCAACACGGGCGTCGTGGTGACCTCGGCCTTGCTGTCCTCTGCGAACTCCGATCTAACGGTCGGCGCGTGGCACTCCACGTAGAACGTGCAGCCCAGCTCCTCCTGCGTCGGCGTATACCTCCTCTCGGTGCCCACGAGCGTCCCCAGCGTCTCACTGGTCCGCTGCTGCCCTGGCTGGAGACGGAACCAGCGCCACGAACACTCGTCGGCGGTGCAGAACTCCGTCTCTGGTAATGGAGTAACAGGGATCCCAGCCATCACGGGCTCCAGCACTTTGAGCCCCGTAACAAGCGGCTGGTTGTGCAGCACCACGAAGCTCTCGCTTCCGATCTGGAGGCTCTTGGTGCGCATCAGCGCGTCGCCCACGGTCGCCACTTTGGCGTTGATCTCCAGGCCGTCGGCGTCCAGGAACTTGACGGCGACGGAGGGCGCAGCGCCGCCAGAAGTCCCGTTCTTGCTGCTGTGCTTCTTCTTGTGCTTCTTCTTGGCCTTGGAGCCATTGGAGGAGCGGCTCGAAGCGGACGCCAGCAGCTGCAGACGGTAGCGCACGCGCTCCAGTTTCTCGGAGCTCAGGCGGAAGAAGCTCTTGCGATCGTCTTGCAGTCGCAGCTGCAGCTTCAGGTGCGACGCGCCCGGCGCGAAGCTCACGTTGGCGACGCGCACCTCGTCCGAGCAGGTGGCCATTGTTGCGTCAAGTGGTGTAGCCATGTTGTGACGTAAGTTTTGTTTCCGCCAATGGAGTTTCTTGAAGAAGCGATTTTACCCAATCAGGGAGAGGAGCTCCTGGCACCGCATTCACAAGTCAAACTGAAGGAACGGCGAACATGGTGGAGTACGTGGCCTGCGCGTTGCATGTGTATATATCACTTCAGGTCAATGGAGTGGTGCAACTACCTCGCTAGTCTGTTAGACAGGGATCTAGTGCTTCCGGTGTCACCTCTACCACTAGAATCCGTGCAGTATTGAGGCTGCAGACGCTTGTTCTCCATCGCTAGTCTGTGCTGACTGTCGTCTTGTGTTGTGCCAGCAGGGAGTGCGTCGTGGTGATCGATGGCGCCAACGTCTCGTGCCAGAAGGACGGCAAGGCTCACATCCCCAAGCTCGCAGCCGCGATTCAGTACTTCCGGGCGCTGGGGCCTGCGTCCGGCCGCTACCCCGTCAAGTGCGTGGCCTTCGCGCCCAACTTCTGGCTCCCCACGCCCGGCGGAGCTGCCCCCAGAGAGAATGGGGCGATGGAGACGGACGACTGGACGCTGCTGAACGAGCTGGTACAGAAGGACCACGTGATCCTCACGCCGTCGCAGGCCCACGACGACTTCTACGTGATCGACTACGCCGTCAAGTACGACGGATTCATCGTCACGAACGACATGTTCCGGGACCACGTGGCAAACAAGGTGGGCTTACATTGCTGCAATGCTGTTTGTTGATCTATTGCGGGCTAACGTTTGAAATCTGGTGTGTTGGCGTAGCGATCGTTCCACGGGAAGCGGCTGACGAGCTCCTGGGTGCGTTCGCACTGCATCGACTTCACGTTCGTGGGGAAGGAATTCATGCCGAATCCGCGCGCAATGGAGCGCGTGGTCGCTTTCCAGCCGTCAGCGACGGACTCGTTGCCTACAGCTACACCGGCCTTGACGCCGTCGAGAAGCAGCTCCTCGTTGTCAAGTTCTAGTCTCCAGAAGACCCTGTCGGGCGATAAGAACGACGCGGGCGCCGCTGACGATGACATGAATGAGGATGGCATGGTTGTCGACAATGCAGGCAACAAGCGGAGCAAGAACATTGATCTGTCGGAGGTGACGTACTACAAGGTGCCGCGAGAGCTGTTGCCGATGCTGCACGGTGAAGGTGGAGAGACGATGGAGAAGTTTCAGGAGTACACTGGGACGTACATCGTCTTGCCGTCTCATGCGGCAGTAGAAGCGCCGACAGCAACGCCAGTCTCGAATGTGCTAACTCTCTCGATCTATGGGTACGTGCGTCGTATGCGAACGTCCATGGCCGTCGTCTTAACCTTTTTGCTGTGAATGATTCAATGTAGCCCAGAAGCCAGCCGACAGCAAGCTGTCGGACACCTGGATGCATTCCTGCTCGAGATGCAGCAAAAAGCGCAGTATGCGTTTCAGCAGCAACAACAGCAGCAGCAGCAGTATATGGCTGCTCAGGGCCACCAGACAGTGATTTGCCATCCTCAGCAACATCAATATGCAGGTGCCAATGGAAGCAGTGGAAACATGCCACCGCAGGACGATCAGATGATGGAGATCGATCCGTACTAGAGCCTAGTAGATGTTACAAGTTGTACAAGGCAGAAACGCTGCGTGAGCCTCTAAATTATTTCCATCCGCGCTTGTAAGCGTCGTTGTCTGCCTCTCCGAATTTCTTCTCGTCCTGTTTGTTCGTACACGCGAAGTTAACCCACTCATCAGAAAACTTTACAACATAATACACCACTGATGCCACCACGTACCCGCTTCTCTTCTTTCCATCCCTGAGCATCCATCTCCTTCCTTCGCTTTCCGCCCTTCTGGAACGACCGCCAGTTGCCCACTCGCTTCTCCCGACGATCTGTTTCGGCCCAAGAGCGTTCACGCTTGAACATGTTCACGACCTCAGCCTGCTCCTTCTCCTCCTGTTCTGCCTCGCGCCGCCGCTGAGCCGCTTCCCGCTTTTCGATGTTCAGGCGCCTGTTTTCGATCTCGGCGAACGCACGCATTACGGCCTTTTCCACTGCATCCTGCATGTCGCCGAGCTCGCTCTCCTTCGCCCCCTTCTTGATCTTCTGACGGCGTTCCTTCTCGACCTCCTCCGTCGCATTCTCAATCGTGCGAATGATGGTCTTCCGCCGGTCTTCCTGCGTGATGAGATTGTACGCCTTCTTCACCTCTGCACGTCCAAAACACCAGAAACCATTCAACACATTGGCATTTCCCCCAAAAGGCCACGTATCCACACGCACCTTCAAACGCCTCGCGCGCTTTGGGGTTGCGGCATTTGTCCGGGTGCACCATCGTCGAAATCTACACGCCAAGTACAAGTCCACAAAAAGTCAAACAACCTTACAACATCCAATAAAAGACACAAACCCCGCTGACCTTGCGGTAGTGCTGCTTCATGTCCTCTTCCGTCGCGTCCACGTCCAGCATCAACACCCTGAATGGATTGAGATTGATCCACTTGAAGTGCGGCTGCAGCAGCCGCTCAATCTGTCCGTCGACCGTGCCAAAGTCCACCGGCGGCTTCTCCTTCTTCTTCTCCTCCTGCTCCGCGTCCTTCTTGATGCAGTTGGCGCTCTCCTCCAGCTCCTGCACCTCCGACATGAACTCGGCCAGCAGCGCGTCCTCGTCCTTGGGCTCGTTCTTCTTCTTCTCGTCCAGCTCCTGCTGCCTCTTGCGCTGCTCCTCCTCCTTGGCGGCCTGGCGCGCCTCCGCCTCCTTCTTCAGCCGCTCCTGCTCCTTGGCCTGCTCCCGCAGCCGCCGGCTGTGCTCCTGGCCGGCCGCGTACGCCTCCTCCGCCGCGCGCAGCAGCGACGCGTTGTCAGGCTCGAGCTTGAGCCCCTCGTTGTACGTGGCGCGCGCCGCGTCGAAGCGCAGCAGCGCGTGCTCGGCCGCGCCCTTGCGGCTGTAGCCCTTCCACCACTCAGGCTTGAGCTCGATGCACTTCTCCGCGTCCCTGAGCGCCTTGCCGCGCGCGTCGCCCATGGCCAGGTACGCGGCCGAGCGGTTGCTGAAGTACACGGCGTTGTCCGGGTCCAGCTCCAGCGCGCGCGAGTACATCTCCACGGCCTCCGTATACTGCTTGGCGGCCAGCAGCCGGTTGCCATCCGCCTTGAAGCCCTCGGCCTGCGCCGCCCACTCCTGCTGCTGCTGCTCCTCCTCCTCGGCCATCGTTGCCAGTATGGGATTTGTGTGACGTACATCAAGTTTGTCTCTCGAATAGGTGTCTTTCTTAGTCACTTGTACGAAACCACCGAAACGATGGATACCTATAGGAACCAACGGATACCTATGCGAACCTTGCGCTTTCCTGTACAAAGCTTGAAGATAGATGTCGCGAGCCAAGGTGCGCGGCGCTGAGTTGGCTGCTGCTGCAAGCGCACCGAGTTCCTAACGGGTTTGCGTCTATGCTGCTGCTGTGCAGGAAGCTGTGGTGGTGCTGCTGGACGTGGGCGCCTCTATGCGCGTGCCGCTGCGCGAGCGCGTGGCCGCTAGTGACAAGAACCGACAAGACCCGGGCGACGAGCTGCAGCACACGCGCTTCGCGGCCTCCATCGCCGCCGTGGAGGGCGTCGTCCAGCAGAAGGTGGGCAAGAAGCTGTCCGTGTAGTTAATAGGGTTCCCGTGCTAACAGTTGTCGGCGGTGTGGTAGCTCTTCTTCAAGCCCAAGGACGAGGTCGGCATCGTCGCCTACGGATCGGAAGGTATTGTGCAAACAGCACTACAGAAATCTGTGGGGTGTCAGCTATTCACTGATGGCTTTGTGTTGCTTGCCGGTGCAGATACGGACAACCAGCTGAATGAGGAGCAAGGCGAGAGCGAGTATCGGAACGTGCAGGTGGTGAACTCCATCGACTCGCCGACGCTGCACATGATTAAGAGGCTGCGAGAGCTCAAACCGTCCAGAAGTGAGGACACGAAGGTGCGTTCAAGAATTTATTATTTTTATTAATCGCTGAAGGTGATGGGTTGTTTGATGCTGCTTCTGGCAGGTGGACATCCTGGACGGGCTGATCGTGGCGCTGGACTTGCTGTTCCGTCGGACGGACGGCAAGAAGTACGACAAGCGGCTGATGGTCATTACCGACGCGGCTGCGAAGATCGCGGACGCAGGGGACTTGGAGTCGGTCGTGACGATGATTCAGAACATGGAAGTCAAGCTGCAAGTGATGTAAGTGCGGCGTTATTTCTTCTATAGATCAGTATGGTGATCATTAAACCTTTACTCTTGCTACGTGTTGCAGTGGACTCGACTTCCAGCATACGACAATTAAGCCTCAAAAGGATAAAGAAGGAGATGAAGAGATGCCGGAGGCCAACGTGAAGGACGAACCTGATGCAGGTGGAGCACCTGGACCAGAGCGAATTAAGGTGCGTATCCTGCGTTGGATATCTTCGAGAATTTGTCAGTCAGGTCTAACCACGATTGATACAGGCTGAGAATGAAAAGATGCTCGTGTCTATCGCGAATGAAGTTGGAGGCGAAGTGTGCTCGGTGTCCAAGCGCATGCACTTACTTGCTCAAGGGATGAAGAAAACGGTGGCCCTGACGACAAAATTTCGTGGTCCGCTGGAGTTTGGCGACGCACTGGGAATTCCTGTCTATTGCTACTTGAAGACCAAGACTGCGACATTGCCAACTCTGTCAAAGGAATCGCAAAGCTCGTATGAGAAGGAGGCGGCCGGAAAAGTGAAACTCGACCGGCGCTATACCTCCCCACAGAATATCGACGAAGAAGTCCCTCCAGACCAACAAGTGAAAGCGTATCGCTACGGCGCGGAGAAGGTTCCGTTTGCTTCGGCCGACGTTGAATTCTTCAAGTTTCAGACGGAGAAGTCGCTCAAGGTGCTGGGCTTTCTGGATAAAGCGCAGATCAATCACGCCAAGTTCGTGGCTGGCACCGATATCTTCGTTGCTGAACCGGGGAAGCCGCATGCTGCGACGTGCTTCGCCGCGTTAATCGACGCGATGGTGGAGCTGGACCAGGTGATCGTGGCCCGCTTCGTCGCGAGAAAGAATGCTGCGCCTAAGATCGTGGCTCTCATCCCCCACGCTCCGTCCTCTGGTCAGGGTGAAAACTACTACGCGATGTGGTCCCAGCAGCTGCCGTACGAAGAAGACGTGCGCAACTACGAGTTTGCTCCGTTGAAGTCGCGCAAGTACACTCCGACTGACGGGCAGCAGGCCCTCGCGGATAAACTAGTCGACAGCTTGAGTATCCGCGATGATAAGGCCGACGAGGTGGGCGCGTGCTTCAACCCCGTGATTCGGCGCTTCTTTCACGCGGTGTCGATGCGTGCACTGGACGAGTCTGCTGGAGTTCCTGCCCTCCCATCCTACATGGAGGCTAGTTTGAAGATGGATCCTGCACGTCAAGAGAAGATTTCGAGTTTAATCGAGAATTTCGGCGACGCTTTCCAGCTGAAGGAAGCGGTGAAGAAGGCGAAGGACCGCAAGAAGAAGTCGTTCTGGAGTGATGTACCTGCCGCCTCTGTGAAAGAGGAGGACCTCAAGGAGGAGCATGACGACGCCGCTGGAGGAGATAACGCTGGCTCTGACTTGGAGCTCGACCTGGACGAGCTCTTGGATAGCGGAGACGTCACCAGCGTGGGCTCCATGAACCCCATCGCCGACTTCGAAGAGCTGGTCGAGTCTTCCAAGTCGAAAGCGAGTCGTCGTCAGCAGCTCACCACAGCCGTCACTGGCATGGAGACGCAGATCGAGAAGTTCCTGAGCCAGAGCGGGTCGGAGTTCTACCCCAAGGCGCTGCAGTGCTTGACGCACTTCCGTAAGCGCAGTGTCGAGATCCAGTACTCGTCGCAGTTCAACGAATTCCTGACCAAGCTGAAGACTGTGCTGACGGAAGACTCGGATGCGTGGAAGGCGGTGAAGAGCGCGGACATCTCACTGCTCACGTCGGCGGATGATCCGAGTGTCGACGTCTCAGCCGCCGAAGCGCGCGCGTTCCTGTACGGCGAGGAAGAAGTGGACGTCAACCTGGCTGCAGCGTCGCTGTCGTCGCAACTCGAGGCCATGGAGGAGGAAGACGACATGTTCGCCGACTTTGAGTAAACACCCACGAGAGTAACGTAAAGGAGGAAATGTCGTTGAGTGACTAACTACAGCCTAAAGCAAAAAACAAACTTGATTCTAGGTAAGTTATGGCACAGTCTTATGCCGCTCCCGGGAACTCGGCCGCCGGGTCGTAGAACTTGGTGGGCGCCTTCCGCCGGCCCGAGCGCCGAACCATAGTGAAGCCATCCTCGTCCACAAGCGGCTCGTCGGGCTCCTGCATGCCGGCCGCCGCCTCCTCGGAGATGGCTCCCAGCGCGGCGCCACTGCCCTCGGCCAGGCCGACGCCATCGTCCTGTGACTTCAGCTTGGCCTTCTTGAGGTCGATGGGGAAGAGCGACTGCACCTGGTCGTGCATGGCCTTGACGCGGTCGTACTTGGCGTTCTTGCACTCGTCCGCCAGCACCGTGAGCAGCTCCGAGATCTCCTCGACGCTGCCGTCCTCGCAGATGAGCCCGAACTCGGTCTCGACGTAGCCGCTGATGTTGTCCACCATGGCGTCCGCGTACACCGTCTTGTTGTACTTGAACACGTTGAGGATCTCCTCCAGCAGGATCTCGTACTTGCGGCGCGTGTCGCCGCCGCCCCACTCGCCCTCCACGGCCATGCGCAGCGCCGTCCAGCGCGCCAGCGCCAGCTTCACGCTGTACACGAAGTAGTCCCACGGGGACTTGATGGTGCCCTCGGCGAACTGCTTCGAGTGCTCGTGGGCCACCGCCAGCAGGATGCTCTCCGTCGCGCTCATGGTGATGATGTCTTAGTGTCCTTTGGCTTCGATAGCCAGAATGAACTGAGGCCAGTCCTTGGAAATCGATTTTCGACCAATCAGAGATGCCCGACTAAAACTGAAGCTGCGTCTGACAAGTTCAACCTTCACTTGATTGACAACCATCGCCAGAAGGACACAGTGGAGGACACGATGACGTAAAGGGGGGAATCTCGACAATTTCTTAGATGGATTATAGTACACTGTTGCAGTGTAGCTCTCTAGGAGCCTCCGACGCACGAACATCAAGTCAACGTGCCAGTTAATCAAGCAGCCGCGACGAAGTCGACGCGGGCGTGCCGGACTGCCAGTCGGACGCGCCGCTGAAGCCGCGCGACTCGCGCGCGTGGCGGAACTCGTCGGCAGCCGAAAGCTGCCGCGCCTGCCGCACCAACTTCTGCTCGTCGCGCGCCGCACGCTCTAATCTGGCGTCCAGCATGAGCGTGAGCTCCATGGCTTCACGTGCCGTGGCCTCGGCGTCCTCGCGCGCTTCAATCGCGGCGGTAACGAGGCCCTTGGCCTCCTCTATTTGCTTCTCCTGCTCCTGTCCGTTCTTGCGCAGCACACAGATGAGTTCGATGAGGTCCGAAGGTGAAGACTGCAGCAGCGACTCCGGGAGCAGCGGGTCGGCCAGCTCCTCCAGGCTGCTCTTGGCCTTCTCCAGCTGCGCCGCTGTCAACACACCGTCCACGCCCTGCGTCTGAGTGACGCGCATCTCGGTCGTGCGGATGAACTCCCGGAACTGCTCCATCTCGCGCTTCTGTGCCTCCTCGCGCTCCTTCAGCTGTTCCAGACGCTTGCGCGACCGGCGCGGGTGCAGCAGCTTCTCCAGGGAGTTGCCCTCCTCCTTGATGGAGCCAGAAATGTTGTAGCTGTCCCGGAAGCTGCCGACGCTGCTGCTCGGGCGCAGGCCATATGCCGAGGACCTCTGCGACATACTGGCACGGCTAGCACTGCGACTGAGCCTCGGGTTCTCCAGGTGCTCCGACACTCGTCGCTGCACTTCCCGCTCGCACTCCAGCTCCTTCGCCTGCTTGTACATGCTGATCTGCTTCTCCATGGCCTCAATGACCTTCTGGGTTCTTGCCTGCACCTCCTGCTCGATGGTCTGCTCCATGTCTGCCTGTTTCTTCGCCTGCTCCGCCGTGAGCTCCTCGAGCTGACGAAGGCGGAACTGGAACTTCCTGTACTCGTCCGCGCCCAGACGCACGACACCCGAGCTGCCCTGAGAGCTCTCGGCGCTGCTGGTTCTCCACGCGTCGCTGTCCGACTCGTACTCGTCACCTGAATCCTCGTCCTCCATGGCCAAGACCATTTGCTGGAACGCGCGGCGCGTCTGCAGCGCCGCTACATTGGCCTCCGTCATTCTCGAGGTGGCCGACGAGTTCGAGGCCTCAGAGAACCGGGCGGCCGCAGAAGGAGCTGCTGGGGCTGGTGGGAGCGGCGCGGTCTCCGGCACCGCCGGAACTGCAGGCGTAATCGCCGTGGACGACTCGGATATCCGCGCGTTGAGCAGACTGTGGCCTTCAGACGAGCGCACCGACGAGTTCGTAGTGCGGAATCCATCTACCAAGGACGTGCGCATGTCGCTCATGCGGTCGCTCATCCGCGAGTCGCTGGAGCTGGAGCTGTTGCCTCGGTATGCGTCGCTGTTGACGCGGTTCTTGTACGACATGGAGCATTGGAGCTGGCGGTACTCTGCGAGGCTGTTGCGGTTGTTGCGCGACGAGGCGCTGTGTCGGCTGTTGCGCGTGCTCGGGGCGCGGCTCTGCGGGGGCGTGTTCACCGAGTCTCTGGCCTCGGAGTCCTCCGAGAGCTCCGAGAGCTCCGTGTCGTTCTCGCCGCCCGACAGGTTCTCGGGGCTGGTGCTGCTGCGGAGCGTGGAGACCGAGGACCGGACGGAGGACGAGAGCGTGGACGGCTGCGTCTGCAGCGACTTGGCCTTGGTGGCGCGCGGCACGACGATGGTCTGCTCGGGCTCGCGCGTGGTCGTGGGCTGCGTCTGGCGGCGCGGCTTCCTGTCCGAGTGGCTGGTGCTGCTGCTGCGGCTGCTGCTAATGCTCGAGACCGAGTCGGCGTCGGCGTCCGAGAGGTGGCGGTGGTGCTTGCGCAGCGAGAAGCGGTGCGACTTGGACTTGCCGCTTCCGGCCCGAGACGAGGACCGGGAGAACAGCGGCATGCGTAGTGGTGGGGGGAGGGGGGGGGTACCACGGCCGGCGCGTAGTGGGGAGGGGGCAGAGGGGGGTTGAGTAGGGGGGGTAAGTTAGCGTCGCCTTCGCTGCCTGCTAGTGTCCGACGACCGATCAGCCTGCGCCCCGAGCTCGTGCGCGTAATGCGAGCGATGGATTAAGCCGCAGTAGGTAGAGGCAACGCAGAGCAAAGCAAAGCGCGTCCTTCCCGCCGCAAAGGAGAGGAGGCCGCGCAGTATGGAGAATGACCCAAGTCAGCGAGCGGGGCCAAAGCGACTGGCTTCTAAAATACCGACTGGCATTTTGCGCCAATCGGGGAGCAGCTGATCCGCTCGTTCGGCCAATCGCGCCGCAGATCGAGAGGTGCAACGAGGCGACGGCCGCAGTTACGCTCCCTACCCGCCCCACAGCGACGAGCCCGCCAGCGTCTCTCGTCAGGTGGCGCAAGCGCGGCCTGCGTGGCGGCGAGGCGAGGCTCGATCCTTTCCTGCGTATTTTGGGGCTGCGCTGATGCTTCCACGGCCCCCCTGAAATTCCACGTTGATTGCGCCGGTGGCTTCGAGCGCCCCATTGATATTGAGCACCTCTCGCCTCCGCTCTGCACGGCCAAAAATTCGGTGACGCCTGGGGACCAGGTCCGCTTCGGGCATTGCTAACGAGTGTACATCGGCAGAAATCAGGCAGATGCGGCGCGGTGGAGCCGCCACAAATTTGCTGCCCTTCCGCCCCGAAGTCGCGCGCGCGGGGGGTCGTCGGGCTTTTCGATCGTTGCAGCGCCAGCCGCGCCTAAGACGACGGTGACAGCCGAACGGATGTAGAGCGCCGCCAAGTGCTGAAAATGGGCGGGCTCGGGCTCGCCTGCACGACGATAGCCCCTCAAGTTGACACGGCGACGAGGGCTGCCCCTTCCAATTCAGCAGTAGAGCTGGTGCGACCGTAAGACAGACGACCGGAGTGGGAGCACCTCCGCTGCTTGGGTCCATACAGTTGTCGATGTGACGTGTGACGTTTCGGTATAAAATTACACAGGTAGATATCCATACAAAGACCAATTTCTGAAGATGCAGTTTGGCAGTTTGGCGAGTCTACATCTCGCCGGCGAACGAGCGCGTGATGCTCATGGTGGACTCGGCGCAGCTATCGCAAACGCGCGACGCCTTCTTGCTCGAGCTGTACGACAGCGTCCACCGCCGACGGGAGCAGTTCCCGCACACGAGCGACCCGCACAATCTGTCCAGACACAACGAGGCACACCAACCACACGGTCGTATTCCGCAGCAACAGACGAGTTAGCGACCGCACAGCGAGGTGACGACCCGAGAAGTGTCAAATGGAACAAGTCATCAGGAGTCAGTAGCGTCCGCCGCCGACTCCTGCGCAAGGCTCCAAACGTAAGGCTCCGTACATACCTGCAGTGGTGGCGCGGTCGATACACGGCGAAGCTGTGCGTGCAGATGGTGCACACGTTGGAGACCTTGTCGAACATAAAGATCGGGGCCAGCGTGGCCGTCTTGAGGCTGCGGCGGCGCAGATCCAGCTCGTCGCCCCCCGAGATGCAATGGGTTAACGCGCGAACCCATTCCTCTCTTTCCGCGAGAGACAGCGCCTCGAACACGTAGGTCGTCTGCGTGCGCAGCTTCTGCACGCGTTGAACAACACACAACAAGGCAGTGAGTTAGCATCAGTCTGTCTGACGAGAGCAGCGCATGTTGAAGTGGCAGCACGCTGAAGTTGGTGACAGATCCTTACCGTATCGTGCAGGAACTGCACCCGGAAGCACTTTTCGTTCTTGAGAGGCGCGACCTCGCACAGCTCGATCGGGATGGTCTCTTCAGGCTGCGCGGTCTTGAAAGTCGAGCCCAGCGAAATCGTTTGCAGCGTCAGCGTGATCCACAGCCGCCGCGGCTTCTTCCCAACGCTGCTACTCGTTGTCGGACTGGGACTCGGGCCGCTGGCCATTGGCACGGCGCCGCCGGACACGTTCAACCAGCCATTCTTGATAACGAAGCCCCCTTCCAACTCGTAGCCACTGGATGAGTCGTCGTCATTGTCCATCAGCAGCTCCGAGCGAACACTGGCACGTCGCGGGTGTGTCTGTCCACGGAGGTTTCGCTCGATGCAATCGCGAATGTCAGTTGTCCAGCCCACTTTGTCTTGCTCCGACTCGGTCAACAGGATGAACGACTTGAGAGGCGAGTAGAAGCAGAATGCGCTACAGTTTCCAGTAACAGCACAACAACACGTCAGTCTGAAGTAATGGAATGGTTCTCCATACACGCATGGGCTCACTTGTTCGAATTCACAACAGTCGTGATCACACCCGGCATCGTCTCCGTATCTTCCGCCACCTTGCACTCCCAGAGATCAATCAAGCGGAACTTCTTGTGCAGACCGCCTTGCCGCCCGTACACCATAGCTGAATCAAACACACAACCACAACACTACTAAGCAAACACCGTACCCACAGCACCGAGCATAGCTCACTTACCGTCTTCCAGCAGCACGAAGTAATACGTCTGCACCTTGCTTCGACAAACCTTGCGAAGCATACCGTCGCGCACGAAGTGTCGGCCACTGAGATCGATCCCAACCTTAGCACTCACGGTCGCCAAAGTGCGCACGTTCTCGCGTCTCTCGCTGATCTCCTCGATCTTGCTGGCAACACGATCCACGCTGCGAATAGCCGACTGCAAGGGCACGAAGTCCACATGCTCGGGCGGAGTGGATCCAAGCAGTTCCTGAAGGAGCATCTTGTAGCGCGGTATCCGCTCCACCGGCATGTTGAGGTAGCGCCTGAGACGGTTTGCATCTGCTTCTTCGGGCAGCTCGCGTAGAAATCCTGCGAATTGAGGCGAGTCCAGTGCAGTTAGAGCGGAGCTGTGGCGGCTTGCGTAAGACGTGTAAAGCTGCATGAGTGGTGCGTAAGCGTGGAAGATAGCGCCAGCTCGGTGCACTTTCACGCCAGGAAACCCAGCAGGTTTTTCATCTCGTTGCACGCCCTGCTGGCCATCTTCTGTGTTCGATGCTGGAGTTGATGTGGCGCTGGTTTCCTCGAGGTGTCGAGACAAATGGTCCAAGAGTTGCTGGTTGAGCGTGTAGATCTGGTCCACACTGCTGAAAAAGATCGACAGGTCTGCGTCCATGACCAACATCTTGGTTGTGGGGGTTGCAGTCGTCGACAACGTCGGCGCTGAGCTCGCAGCAGCAGCCACGCTGTACGACGCACTCACCATCATACTGTGCAGGCTACTGCTGCTGCCACCACCTTTCGTGATACCAATGTTACCGCTACTTCCAGCCCGACGGTGGCCACGAGCCGAGCGAGCAGATGCAGCTCCGAGTACAGGTACAGATCGCAACGACGATCTGCGCTTGTTTTGGCGGCGGCGATACATCTGCCGTCCTTCGAGCTGCCTCAACAGCAGCGGTTGCACGAACAGCCGGATGCATTCCCCCAAGCATTTAACATAGCTCTCCTCGGAGCGAATGATCTCCTTCAAAATCTGGCGGCGACGACGTTCCAGCAAATACGCTTCACGGTCTTCTCCTGCCGCTTGAGCAAGCTCCATCGACAGCTCTGCATCCGTGACGCGCCCACGGTCCAGCGACGACATGCGGCGTCTTCCAGGAGCGCCACCAATGAAACTGGAGTTGGATAGCACCGACATCGAGGCCCGCAAACTGCTTGAAGGCATGCTCATACTCAAGCTCAAGATGCCGCTCTGAGCGAGTGAACCGGGAAAATCGGTCACTCGCGAGCGTCGCATGCGGTTCAATGCCTTATCCGCCGAGCTCTGAATCGCAACACGCCATGCCACCTCTTCTTGAACGGTTGAAGCGCACAAGACCCACTCACTTTCGTGCAATGTAGCCATCCCTGACGCTGACGATGAAAGAAGCGACGATGATGGCGACGAAGCTGGCGCAGGGTGGACCGGTAACGGGGAAGACTGGGGAACTGTACTGTCACGAGATTGAAGAAGGCCTTCAGGCGGGATCGCAGGCTCACGCCGACGTGATACAGCGTCATTAAATCGACTGACAGCTTGCTTGAGGGGCGAAAGTTTCTTCATGAGGTGCGGTCGGATCGTAGGCTGGCTCAAACGTCTGCCGATGGGACTTGTCTTGTGCTGATTTGTTCCATTGGCTGCAGCGCTGGTCTTGGCATCGGTCTCATCATACTCGGAGGTTGAAATTTGAAAGCAAAAGCGATTTTTGTGGGCGCGGCTGTCGGATCGGTGGATCACAATGGCACCAGCGAGAGCAAGTTCATCGGTGCAGCATCTCAACGCGCTGTTGTTAGCACCAGCGCTGGCACTCGTTGGCGCTCCAACAGCAACCAAGCCCCCACTTCCGGAGCTAGCAAAACCCGCACCGTTGCCATTCTGAGCCACTGGCGTAACACTCGTGGCTGCTGTTTCCAGTGCGTACTGCTTGAGTACTCCAGCGCGAAGTTCGTAGTAGTGTTCCGTCCACTTGTTCAAGCGACGGCGGCGCAACACTCCCCGAAATTCCACTACTCTCGATAACCAATGCATCGCAATTTGACGCACGAGATCAATGATCTTGAAACAATGAGTACACACCCTCTCCGCACGCGACGATTCTCCAACAAATAACGGGGCGCGTCCAGAAGAGCAGGTGCCACACACCACCGTTCCACAGCGGCGGCAATGGTGTTTTCTCCGGTAGTACGCGCGGAAGGAGGCCTTGCAAATAGTACAAACGTCGGCGATCTCATCAGGAACCCAAAGCGCAGCAGCATCAGCTGGTCCCTCACACGCCTCGGGGTTTCCCCCATCAGCGTCACCAGAGTCTCCTCGCTTCGCTTGTTTCAGCTTCTGAGCATCTTTCACAGCGCTCGCAATGGCGTCTACCCACTCCCGCTGAATGCCTGGAGTCTCTGCAAACAGAATAAACGTTTTCTCTCGGCTGGTAACCACAAAGCCACAGTCCTTGTGAATCCGTCGACGCGACTGCTGCTCGAACAGTGCCTGTACTGCTGCGGGTAGTTCCGTCTTGACGCCCACTGCTTTGGAGTGCAGGTACACGATCCGCCTCACGCGGTATCCGCCGGTAATCAACACGCCGCTGTAGAGCAGAATGTCGTTGAATAGGTGAATCATGACTTCCTCCTGTCGCTTGGTCGACATCTTGGTGAGTTTTCCCGACTTCAACAGCCGCCGATCTGCAGTGAATAGCGAGAGCTGTCCTGCAAACTTCTGCTGGGCTTGTAACACCGTCTCGAGATTTTCCTGTCGACGCACGGTCTCGTTAATAAGTGACGCCGTGGCGCGTATACGATTCACCGCTTCAATCAGGAACGCTGCGTCCGGGTGATCGGGCGGCGTCAGTTCGCTCAGACGCTCAAGGAGCAGCTTGTAGCGTGGAATTCGCTGGATGGGCATGATCAGGAGGCTCTCAAACGGCTTGGACGAGCCGCTGCGTTCCCTGCAGTTCTCCAGAAACTTTCTGAACCCCAGTCTCGTGTCGCGGCCGAAATTCTGCAGCAGCGCCGCCACTTCCTCGTAATCCTTGGCGTAACCTCCGTACAGCTTGAACAGCGGCGCGTACCTGCAGAAGACGGCACCGACGCCTTCGGCTTCGCATTGCACGACGACAGCCACCGGGCTCTTGACGCTCTTCCGCTTGCCTGTGGGTGCAGACGCTCCTTTCGCTTTCTTCTTCTGAGCTGCTGCTTCTGCTGCTGCCGCCGCCGCGGCGCGCCGTGTCACGATCTCCAGCAGGTCCGTGAGTAGCTTCGAGTTGAACAGCACGAGGTGCCGCAGGTTGTTGAAGAAGACGGCGATCTGAGCGTCCTGCATGATGGGGTGCGCGTTGTCCTCGAGCACCACGATGTAGTGGTCCAGCAGCGTGCGGATGTCGCTCACGTAGCTCTTCTCCGTCTCGCAGATCTCCTCGACGACGCGCGCGCGCAGCCGCACTCGCTTGGCGGTGGGCGAGTCCGGGTCTGCCGCATCCACATCATTGTTCTCCTGGTTGTCCTCCTCTGGAGTGCCGTCATCTTCTGCATCATTGTCTTCCTCCTCTTCTTCTTCTGCACCATTGTCTTTATCGTCATCGCCGTCGTCCTCCTGGTTGTCCTCCAGCAGCTCCACCGTCAGCGACGACTGCCGCCAGTCGCCGCCGCTGCCTTCCAGGTCCTTCGGGTCGAAGAGCACGACGCCTGGGCGCAGCGTCAGCTTCTTGGACGCCGGTCGATTGCCGCCGTCCGCGCGGCGTCTGCGGCGCGTGGTCTCGGCAACAGGAGCAGGAGCCACCGCCGCCGCTGGCTGCTGCTGCTGCTGGTCGTGGTTGTTCATGGGCACTCGAAACTTGCGAATGAGGCGCCTTTCCGCGCAGCTCTTCCTCGAACTTCTAGCTCTGCTGGAGGCTCGCAATAGCCGTCGCTGGACACCACTGCGACGCCACGGCGCTCCAGCGAAAGCGAAAGCTCGGACGTTTCCACGGAAAAATGGCCAGAACGGTTGCCGGAAGTGCTATGTTGCCGGAAGAGCTATGTTGCGCTAAGGCAGAAGCGGTAGGACGGGATATGAGGTCTCACAAGTGTTAGAGCCTTGTTTTACTGATAAATGTACAAAACGATAGTATCGGTGTAAAAAGGGTATGTGTTCACAATCATTGATGCGGCGAAGTTGAAGTCAGTAAGTAGACGAAGCAAGGCGACATCTGCACTGCTCGAGGATTTCAATGGCGTCGGGAGGGACGACACGTTTGGCTCGGCGGCCGCAGTGGTACGGACCGGACAACTTCAGTTAGCGCTGACTGGTAGGGCTGCAACAACGCGGAGGAAGGTCTCAACCCTAAAGATCGCTGCGACAGCGGTGGAGCGAATGGCGGGCCCCATCGGCGCGGCCATGCCGAGAGCTGCGGTGGTCGTCGTCGTGTGGATTCGATATTAGCGGGGGCGCTGACCACCGTAGCAGGAGAAGCACGGCTGTGTGTGCTCACGTCGGAGCAGTATCCAGGGGCGCGAGAGAACTTTTGCGCGCTCCGGCCGGTGCTGGCAATGCGAGACGAAATTTGGGGGCGCGCATTGCGAGCGGCCAGACAGCGGGACGTCCATTAACAAGCCCAGCGGCATGGCTGTTGCCCCCATTTCAGTGGATCACCCGCGAACTAGAAATGCGGATGTTGATTGCAGGCCCCCGCGCGAGTCAAGGCCAACGTTGCGCTGGAAACCGGGGGCCTGGATCGTCTGAGTGGTGCCAGTCCTGGAGCAGCACGAACACGGTCATGGTCAAGCGGGGCTTTTCACCCGAGTGGCGCAGCCCCAAAGGAGCTGAAGTGTGGGCAGTACAGTAGCGGAAACACCGCACCATCGCAGGCACACAAACTCGCATTTCATTTCATCGTGCTCATGCTGTCCCTACGGGGCAGCACTTTCTTGTGCTGCTGCTCCATCTATTCGACCTTGGTGGTCTTCTTGGCGGGAGCCTCGGCGAGACGCTTGAGCGTCAGGTGGCCCGACCAGAGGTTCACGGAGCCCAGCACGCTGAGATAGCCCAGGGTGCGGAACATGGTCAGCTCCAGCCAGTAGAGGCCGAACAGGGCCAAGATGCCACCGAGAGACGCCAGGAACACGGAGCCAAAAACGAACACAGAGCCCTCGAACAGACGCTTCACGTTGAGCCCCAGACGCGCCACAAACAGCAAGAAGAAGGCCAGCGGGGCCAGCACGGCGCCCGTGAAGGCCAGCGACACGGCCACGGGCGGCCGTGGGTCCTGCTCGCGCATCACGTGCTGGATCTCGGGCAGCGCCTGGAGCGTCGTGTCACTCTCGTACAGCAGGTGCTTCTTGTAGAGCGGGGACGGCGTCTCAGGCGGGGCCGCGCCAAGCTGCAGCTCCACGTTGCCGAGGTCCCACACGATCGCCTTCTCGAAGGTGGACGCTCCCAGGATGAGCTCCACGTGGTGCTTGCCCGAGTTATAGCCGAACTTCTTGCTGAGCGCGGCGAACTGCAGCGTCGTGCTGTGCTTGAGGCCTGCGTCGGCTGTGAGCACGAAGTACGTCTCCGTCTTCTCGGTGGCGTGCGTGAAGCGCAGGAACGCCTGGTGCGCCACGACGGGCGTTTTGTCGTGCGTCTGCTGCAGCGTCACCTCCATCTTGAGCTCGTCCTCGGCGGCCGCGTTGAAGTCCTGGCCCGAGAGCTTGTCGCCCTGCTTCAGCGTCTTGCCGTTCACCTTGGCGCTCGCCACCTGCACAGGCGTGGTCACCTTGAGCTGCAGCACCTCATAGGCGCTCTCCTTGCTCTCCTCGTCGACCGCCGACACCTTGAGCTTGTACATGCCGGCCTGCAGCTTGTTGTCGCCCGCCAGCTTGGTCACGAACTTGCTGCCGTCGCCCTTGAGGGTCTGCACGTGACACAGTCACAGCGTCCTGTCAGTTTATCCCCTTCAACAAGACCCCCCCCCCTCTCTTCCGGCATACAACGCACCAGGCCGGAGAGCACGGCGGCGCCCGTCGTGTCCACGAGCGTCTCGAGCGTCAGCTGCTTGAGCTTGGGCTGCTTAGGCGTCACCACGACGGCCACCTCCAGCGCGTCCGCGGTCAGCGCCACGCGCGACGAGGCCAGCTTCATGTTCACATTGAGCGCGGCGTCCACCGACGCCGACAGCAGCAGCAACGCGGCGCCGCACGCGGCCAGCAGCCGACACGAGAGCGCCATCGTCAGTCTCTTTCCAATTGACCGCGTGGCGGCATGAGCTGCCCTGCACGTCAAGATCGGGCAACCGCAACGGAATGACTGCATCATTGTGTGGTACCAGTGTAACCTTGCAGTAGAGCAATCATTTCAGTACCATAAAAAACCTCGAAGGTTTTTTACACTCGACTTGCCGAATCATTAGAAGATGGCTACATCAGCTTCAACTTCGTTTCACCCGGTGGCGCTTATCTACTTACTTGTACGCTACGAACTCGTCGATCCACTGGTGGATCATCTTAACCTCGGTCTTGCGAGCGGCAATGACCGACGGGGGGTCCTTCGGGTGGCTGAAGAACAGGTCCAGGTGGTGGGCGCCCTCCGCGATCTCGACGATCGTCACCTTGGCGTCCTTGGGGGCGTGCAGCACGCCGGCGCTGCTCCACGGGTCCAACAGACCGTTGCTGAACACGATGTTCGAGGCCGAACGCAGCATCTCATCGCCGTAGCTCACGCGAATGCCGTCCTGATCGGGTGTCGTGTGCCAGTCGCGCTGGCAGTGCGCGCGGATCTCCTCGAACGTGGTGTTGCGCGGCCAGAACATATCCGTCTCGCCATTTGTGCTGAAGTACGTCTCCTGTGGCAGCATTTCAGTGCAGTACTGGTAGTCCCAGATTCCGTCGTAGTCCCATAGAGTGGGGATCTTGAAGCAAGCCAGGTCCTTGGTGGCGTTGTGGAACACGTTGGCCGCGTTGCGGAGAGCCTCCAGCAGCGTTGTATCCACGCCATCTTTTCGGAGAGACGGCGTGGGGAATTCACCTGCCAAATGTGAGCACGCCTGGCGCACGGGCCACGCTGGGAGGTCGACTGCTCCGCCAGTAAGATAGCTGGACGGATACGGAAAATCCCCCATCGCCAACGTGTCAAATGCGAACAGCACCGACATCGCCAAGTCTTCTCCCTGCTCTTCGCTTGCCAATGGCGTGCACAACCTAAAGAGCGAAGAAAGTGTAGCGCGTCCATCCTCCGTCTTGGCCAGCTCGAAAATTTGCGCCCAGGACTTCTTTGCGTTAGGCACACAGTTGGCCGCGGAGCCTGCTGCAGGACTTGCATCGCGTGTGACCACCTGCCAGTACTTTTGGCCGTCAAAAGCCGGAAAGCCTCCAAAGCCGTAAATGGGCGCCGAGGCGGCAATAGCACCCGCGATGATGTTCGGGTACTTCATGCGGAACCAAGCTGACAGCATCCCTCCGTAGCTGCCACCGAACGCGATGACGGGGTGGTTGAACGCGTCGTACTTCTTCTGGAGATGATAAATAAGTTCCGTGTAGTCGGCAAGCGCTTGATCATGCGTGACATAAGCCAAATGGTCCATATACTTGTCGCCGAACGGGAAGCTCTTGCCGTAGTAGCGGTGCTCTGCAAACACCACCAGCGCCTTGAAAGCCTTTGCGTTTTCCCAGATCAGTCCTGTGTGGTTAGCGTACAGCGTCACGTCGCCTTCGTTGCCCGTGTAGAAGAAGACGGGCGCCTTTTTGTCCTTCGGGTCCCAGAACTGAGTGTTCAACAGGTATCGCTGCTTGTACGTGGCTGGCAGGCCGCTAGGAGCCGCACCGGCGTTCGACGGGTCCAACGCTTCAGCGGCCAGCCACGAGAAGTGGTCGATGCGCTGCTCAAACCACAGCTCCGAGCAGTTGCTGGCGTCTGCGCGGACTTGAGGTACATCAGGCTTCACGACGGGGCTCGTCGTGCCCAGAGAGCTGCGCGGGATGTCCGCAGTGGCCACGAGGTGCTGTGTGTGGACGAGCACCAGCACGCCGATCAGTAGCGCCAGTCCGCCGAACGCCACGACGCTGGCCGGAGCGTAGCTGAGTACTGCATAGAGGGCGGTAGACAGACCCAATTTGAGTTAGCGTCAGGTACAAGATGGCGCGCATTTCGCTAGTGCGGCACGCACGGGTGTTGTAGACGCCCTCGTAGTACTGCGGGGCGTTGAGGCTCTGCCAGCGGTTGATGCGCACGCGCCTGGAGCTGGTCGCCGAGCCCGCGGAGGAGCCGGCGGAGCGCGCGAGCAGCGGGCGCCCCTCTGCGGCGGCACTTCCATCGCGCTTGAACATCCTGTCCTCCTGGTCTGCTTGTGACACTCATCCAGCCCCGTGACTGGCCCCGCGATCTAAAGCTTCGAATTTCTGAGTTGCGTCTCGTCTATGCAATCCGTACGTATTAGAATGAGAGCGGAAACACCAATAACTGATACCCCGTTGAAGTAAATAACGAGGATCGTCATGATTTGTAAGAAACGAATTTCATAAACGAATCACTATGAGATGTTTCATATTTGGAACAGATTTGGTACGTATTTGGTGTGCCGCCCACCAAATGAGGCGCTTGTTGCAAGGACACACGCGCCGATCGCGATCAAAACACAGGTTGCAGTCTGCGGCGGCCGGCTCGTTGCTGCGCGCCAACTCATTCCGCTTTCCTCCCCGCCGCCTGAGTGACGAGACCCGCGGCCAGCCGCCATGCACTACAAGACGCACATGCCGGCGCGGTTCTCCGTGGACGACCAGATGGCCGAGGTGCGCCCGTAGGCTCGAACTCCCCGTGTGTTCTGTCCCTGGAGGTTGACCTCCATCTTTTGCCCTTGCTCTCTCTCTCTCTCTCTCGTTGCAGGCGCTGGCGTCGCAGGAGCTCATGGGGAACCGCCAGCGGAAGAACTTCCTCAAGCTCTTCCGCAAGTACTCCAAGACCAAGAAGACCTCCATCGACTGGTAAAATCTGCCTCTGAGCGTCTTGCGTCTTGCGAGCGGGAAGATACTGACTGTGTTGCTGTTGTTCTTGCTGCTAGGAACTCGGTGAAGCCGCCAACGAGCGGCATGCTCACGAGCAACACGTCGGTGGAGAGCTGCCCCAACGACATGAACCTGCGCCACGAGCTGCTCGACAAGCTGGTAAGTTGCATAAGGGAGTGCAGTAGTAGTGATTACGTGGCGCTGAAGCGATGGAGATGACGAGGAGTAATCTGATATCTTTCTTGGTTTGGTGCTTTTGGGTAATGTACAGGTCATTCTCAAGCTCAATGGTGGCTTGGGCACGACGCTGGGCTGCGAGGGCCCGAAGAGCGCCATTGAAGTGCGCCAGGACCTGTCGTTCCTCGACCTCACTGTGCGCCAAGTGGAGGTGCGTACTTTTGATATGCGGAGAGGTTTGAGTCGTTTAGCTGATACGTCTGTATATTGCGCCAATAGTACCTCAACAGCGTCTACGGCGTGGACGTGCCGCTTGTTCTCATGAACTCGTTCAACACGCACGAGGAGACTGTGCGCATCATTCGCAAGTACCGCATGCACAACCTGAGCATCCACACGTTCAACCAGAGTTGTTACCCGTTTATCGTCAAGGAGACGATGCTGCCGCTGCCGAACACTAAGTACGACCGCTCGACGCGCGAGAAATGGTTCCCGCCCGGTCACGGTGACGTCTACAACGCGCTGTTCGAGTCGGGTTTGCTGGAGAACCTCATCAACCAGGGCAAGGAGTACATCTTCATTTCGAATGTGGACAACCTCGGTGCTACGGTGAACTTGGACATGCTGTACCACATGATCAACGAAGACTCGGAGTTCGTGATGGAGGTGACTGAGAAGACGCGCGCTGATGTCCAGGGTGGCACGCTGGTGAGCTACAAGGACAAGCCGCACCTTTTGGAAGCGAGCCAGGTGCCGCCGGAGCACATGGACGACTTCCGCGCCATCAACAAGTTCGAGACGTTCAACACGAACAACCTCTGGGTCAACTTACGCGCAATCCAGAGGCTGGTGGCGCAGGACTTGATCGACATTGAACCGCTCGTTACGTTCCGCACCGTGAAGAACCACAAGGTCGTGCAGCTGGAAACCGCAGCGGGTGAAGCGATCCACCTATTCAAGAACTTTATCGGACTGAAGGTGCCGCGCTCGCGCTTCCTGCCGGTGAAGTCGTCGTCGGACCTCTTCCTCGTGCAGTCGAACCTGTACCAGATCAAGCACGGCAGTCTGATCATGAACCCGGCGCGCACCACGCCTACGATTCCCATCGTAAAGCTTGGACTAGAGTTTCAGAGCGCCAAGGAGTATCTAGCGCGTTTCGAGCACGGCATCCCGAACATCACGGAGCTTGACCACCTCACGGTCGCTGGCGACGTCAAGTTCGGCTCCAACATCATACTGAAGGTGAGCATAATCGGTCTTGTCGTGGAGGGCATTAGGAAACTTACGGTTTTGTGTGGTGCTTGCTGAAACAGGGGACGGTGATTCTTGTTGCGAACGAAGGCGCTCATATCGACCTTCCCGACGGAACAGTGTTAGAAAACAAGGTGGTCACGGGCAATCTACGCATCCTGGACCACTAAATACCGGAACCCGTACGCAGTAAAGCCGATAGGAGACTTAGCCTGCGTACTTGTACGTGAAGGGCTGGAAGAAAAGAAGACTGAAAGCCGCAACTGAAAACATGCATATGCATTATTGTCTTCCACGCTAACATTTTTCTTTTATACAGAAGGAGCTATACATGCAGTTGCAGGGACCCAAGAGATTGAGAAGGATAATGCGCCGACAAGCGAGGAGGGCTTAGGAGCCTAATAGACCGCAACGACGTGTTTGCAGATCGGGCATTGGCGGTGGTACATGAGCCACTGGTCGATGCATTCCCGGTGGTAGAAGTGCAGGCACGGGAGCGCGCGCACCTCTTCCTCCGCTTCGAACTCGTCACAGCACACCGCACACACCGTATTATTAACCTCGCTGTCCTCTTCCGTTTGATTTTCATCGTCGTGGCGCTCACGGAACTGGTACTTGAACGTCGGCAGAGCAATGATCTGCGGGTACGGCAGGCCATCCCAGCTCTCGGTCTACACCACACAATGTCAGCCACAGCGTTAGTAGCAAGTCACAAAGTCTAGGAGAGCAGTATGGGGACCACGTACATCAACTTGCTGAGATCGTAGCTCGTTAATACGACGAAGTAACGACAGGAAGCGCAGCTTGCTCTGTCCCTCGGCCGCGTTGTCCTCGCTCTCATCTGCAGGTGCGGACGAATTGGATCCGAGCATCTTCAAGTGACGACGGATCAGTGAGAAGAGCTTATTCTCATCCTCCACCGCTTCAACATCCGCAGAGGAGGGTCCCTCAGAAGTAGGTGCGCCTGCCGAGGGTAGTGAACCTAGGAGCTGGCTAAGCGCTGCATTCACCACACTGCAACATTGAAAAACACACACACACACACAAGAATCAACACACGTGACGACACCTCCCATGAGTAACAACAAGTTCGTCACTGGCACGTACTGCGAGGGGCTGCGTGGGCCCACTTCTGAAAAGTCGGCGTCCGTCGACGCTTGACGCAGCGAGCGGATGAACGCCAAGTCGAGTTCTCCGTTGACCGGCGGCACATTCTGCGAGTTGTTGGTCGCCGCCTCGTCGATGTCGGCGGCAGCGATTGAGATGAGGCCGGCGGGCGACAGCTGCGCGTTGAGCGGCGAGGAACCCATGTCCTCCACTCGCAGACCCTCCACGTCCTCCAGCGCCATGCCGTCAGGCCCCAGCAGCGCCGCTAGTCGAGACGACAGCGTCGGGATCGAGAGCCGGCGGCTGGAGTGCTCGTCTCCAGTCAGCGCCGCGGCCAGGACGCTGTTCTTCTTCTTCTGGCCTTCGTCCTCGGGCGCAGCGTCGGCGGCGTCAGCCTCTTCCATGGCGCGCGCGATCTCCCGTGAGCTGGCGGTGTCTTCCTCCCAGTAGTTGGAGGCCTGCGGGTCCACGCGAGGCTGCAGTGCAGCACCACAGAAAGAAATGGCATTAAGTTTAGTACTGATGCGTCAGTTTAAGGCAATTTGGGCGCTTTGAGCGCGTACGTGGAGCGCCTGAGGCATGCGCGAGCCGTAGAGTGACCGGAGGAACATGGCGGGCGGTGGGCGGCGGGGCTGAGAAGGACTGGATCTGGCGGATCCGCGAGCAGACGCGCGTGCTTCTTCACGAATGTGATGGCCCTGGCACAGAGTCACCAATAGTGAAGCCAAGTCAAAGTTCGTTTGAGCGTCGAAACCTACGATTAAGCATAGTTATATTCTTCAGCACAGGTAGGACTAATGGAGTGTAGCCATCTGACGATTACCGCGCCAATTCCATCGGGTCGAGCTGGTACGAAGCAGGCGCCAAGTAGTCCGAGGCGCCGCCGCCCTCCGCCGCCTCCAGCGCAGCCGCCTCTTGTCTCCGCTTGGTGTCCAGGCGGCTGTAGCTCTTGACGAGCCCGTGGAAGGCCTTCAGCCACTGCGGCGGGCTCAGAAGCTCGGTTCGCCCGCCATCCTTGCTGCCGCTCGGCGAGAACGAGAAGAGCAGGTCCAAGTACTTGTGCAGGTACTGGCTCAGCCGCTGGAAGCCCATGTCGTCATCTTCCAGTGGCTGGAGCAGCGACTCGTCCCTCAGGATGTCGTCCGCAGTGATATCCGCGTCCAGCGCATCCAGGAGGTTCTCGAGCTGAAACTCCGCGCGCCCGTCAGCAGTTGCTGTGCGTCTAGACACCACCACCACGCTGTGAGCCGGGTCCATGTTGAACACACGCCGCTCCTTGCTGAGATTCGTGGCGCTTAGTGCATCACGCATGCGCACCGATCCAACGGTGCTGCCCCTTAGCGACCGAAATAAGGTTGTCATGCGCGCCTCCAGCGCCTTGCAGTATGTCACCGTAGCCGATCGTGATGGTCCCGAACCCTGCGTCTTAAGTGAGGCGTGCAATATCTCGTCGAGGGCCGGTACGGCGTATAATACCAGCGGAACGCAGCGACCTGGAGCAAAAGCATTCCCACCCGCATTTGACGACGACGCTGCCTTGGAGTGGCCGCTCCAAGGCTCACGCTTGGAATGCTTGGTCGACGTCGGAACGAAGCTCAACAGCTGCGCCTTCTCCATTGCCAGCGCCCGAACATCTTTCAGGATATCGGTCGTTACTCGGGAGTCTTCTCTTAGTACCACGACCAAGTGGCAACTGGAGTAGAGCAGCACTTGCATCGTGAGCTTCTCGCGTTCAAATGCGTCCAACTCGTTGCGTATCCGCTGCGTCTCACTCAGCGGTGTCTGCTCTTCCACTTCTTCCGTATCAATAGTTGTCGGTTGTCGCCTACCCGGCGACTTGTTCTTGTTATTGCTGTTAGGAGTCGCCGCTTTGGTCGCTGCAGGCGGACAGAAGCACAAACTCTCGGGTCGTGCCACGCCCAGCAGGTAGATGCATCTAGCGACGTCGTCGTAGTACAAATGGATACTAGCAGGCAGCCGCTCGTCCTTCACAGTGGTCGCAGCTTGCATCTCGTCGTCTCTGAAGACGCAGCGGCCGATGAGGCGATTGGCGAAGGCGAAGGCGCGCGAGGAGGACGAGGAGCTCGTGCTCAGCAGCCCCACAACCGCCACGTTCTTGTTCTGCAGCGACTGCAGTGCTGCGAGGGTCCCACCGCGGACAGGTTCGGGAGGATACATGCGCACGGGCTCATTCTGACTGCGGTCGAAAGGGAGCGGAGGCGCGTGGCGAGAGGAAGACGCCGGCTGCCGCCCACCACCGCGGCCGCCTGCCATGATGATACCTGTAGACTGTAGCTGTAGCTGCAGCGTAAATGGTCCGACTCAAATTTTGGTAGTCACCAAATATGGACCGCAGAGAACCACTTTAAACAGATCTCAATTGCGACCATGAAGCGATGGACGCCTCGCGAGAGCTCGTAGACGGCGTCTGCGCGGCCCCGCAGCGCCCAGCGCAAGCCCGAGTGGGACGCGTACCTAACGGACGACTCGCGCTACAGGCTGGCCCAGCAGCGGGAGCTCCAGCGCTCGCTGCAGCAGCTGAGCGCGGCGCACGGCGCGTAGCATGGCGACCGCCAGCGCTCATAGCTCAGCGTGGAGTGGGGCGCGTAGAAGAGGCCCACGCGACTGGCGGGTGCGCATGACACGGGGGAGCACGAGACCTCGAGGCGTTTGCAGTTCGCTGGTGTGTCCATGGTCCTGGAGGAGCCGACGCCGCGACGTAGAACTCCAGTAGTCAAATCAGTGTCCTTCCAGATGGAGGACGAGGACAGGATGGACCCACAGTACAAGACCCACTTGCGGGGCGAGCTGGAGGTGCTGGAGCAGATGCTGTGGGAGCTTGAGACCGAGACGGGTAGACCCAGCAGGCAGCGGACCCCGCAGAAGACGGAGATGAAGCCGAGAAGCAAGTCGCGAGTGAGGAGAACGAGATCGGTGACGAAGTTGAAGAGGAGACCGCAGACTCGGAAAGGAGAGAAGGAGGGAAGACAGGATAAAAGCTACGGGGGATCTACTCGGGGAGGGGCAGACGACGAGCGGGATCTCGAAGAACCAGAGGCAGAAGGAGGAAACGAGGAGGAGGCGGGGTTGGAAGCAAAAGAACGACTCGGAGACGTATGCTATAGATCTCTGGAGATTGGTCTGGAGTTGGCTCGCAACATGGATACGGTGCGAGTGCGGACGATTTTGGGGAAGGCTGAGTTTTGAGGCTGACGTGTGTGTGGCGATGGGGGTGTTGTTCATTGCAGCTGAAGAAGGAGCTTGACAACGAACGGAGGCTACGTGAGGATCGAGATCTGAAAGTGGAGATGCTACAACAAGAAGTACGATCGGCTCAAGCCAAGTGCAAGTACCTTGGGTCAAGTATCAGACAGTGGCGCCCCAGGTCAATAGAATGGTGCGTGACAAACTTGGGAGAATACCCAGACGATTTAGAATGAGTCTACGGATATTGGTTCTAACTTTTTATTCGTAGCGGGAAGCCATCATCGCCACGGAAGAAGCCATACACCGGATGACCCTAGCATTCGAGCATTCACAGCGAAGACGAAGCAAAGCCTCGAATCCAACGGCGCCGAGCAAATCAGGTATTAGACCTCTGCAGACCCCAAGCACTGCCTCAAGATTACTGGGCTGAAGGACATTTCGTGTCTTGTGTTTCGGGCTTGCCGCGATAGGATAGAGAAATGGAAATCTGCGCGCAGAACGGATTTTGGTGAGTGCTGGAGCCCTGGTTTGCGCGCCCAGTGGAAAGCTTGCCGACTCTGGCACGTATATCCCGTTGGATCAGTGCATCCAGTGCTTTCGTACTGGTGTGGACCTTGAAGGTAATGTGCTGAAGTTCGGTTGAGAAACCAAAACAAAACAACCCAAACACGTTCGCACGACCCGGAGCAACGTGCAGAGTGCAGGAGATGCCGCGATGGAGCGCCACGAAGAATCACGTGTTCAATATGGATATATTGTCATTGAACCACTTCAAGTTCCACGAGCTGCTCGAGGCTAAATGCGATGTCGAAGGCCAACGGATCGTTTTCTTCAACTTGTTCACCAACGTTGCTGCTTTTCACGAGCACGACGCTTAGCTAAGTCCTGACGCAATCGCTCCTGGAATGGAGCTGATGGAGTGATGTGCTTCTTAGACTTGGAGGATGCATTCCGTCGCTCAAATTCCCGCTCTCTGGCAGCGGCGGCTTCTGCTCTCGCTGCGAGCTGCTCCCGGCGCAGTCGACGCTCGTCCAGGTCTCGCCGCAGTCGTTCATCAAAGTCACCAATCTCCAGCTACAATTACAAAGGCAAATACTTGTCCGTCAGTGTGGAGTTTCGAAGTTTCCCAACAGTACAGGTGGCGTACCTGCTGAGCGCGACGTGTAATGGACGGCGAGAAGGAGCATTCGCGCTGGATCTCCTCCCAAATGACCGCCCGAGACATCTCGCGGTACTCCAAGTCCAGCTGTAGACGCCCTAGGAACTCGTCGCGCACGTCCTCCCACGTCTTCTTCGCGTCTTCCTCATCGTCCTCGGGTCTGCACGATAAAGCTTCTTGGCGTTCGCTTTCTTCCTGCCTTTCTCGCTGTCTCTCCTTGCAGCTTTGCTGGAACTCCTCCATGCGCGTGAGGAACTCTTTCGCGACGTCACTCTGACAACACAACAGACGTGTTAGTACCAACGAGGCAATCAATACCGACGAATACCAACTTACCCAAGCGATTCGGCTCTTGTACGTGACACCGCAGTTCGGACACTTCTTGCGCTTTTGGGTGAGCTCCGAGTAAGACTGCGGGTTACCACAGCTGGGACACTCCTTCTTGTCCACACGCGCCAGATACGCCGCTTCCTCGCGTGTTCGCCGGAGCTGCTCGCGACGAGCTCGTTCTGCTGCCTCCATACGCCGCACAAAGTCTTCGTTTCGGCGTAGGGCTGCACCTCTACTGCCCCCCGGGCCTTCATCGTCGTCCGAGTCGTTGTTCGACAGCTTCTTCTTGCTCGAGCTATTGTGAAGTCTTGGAGTGAACCGGCAATGGCGGTTGTCATCCAAACGCGCGAACTCGTGCCGCGGCTTCTGCTTCTGACGAGCTTGAGTAAACTTGTCCTTGGCAAGTTCGTTCAGAGCCTCTCTGTTAGCCACGCGCTTTTTGGGCTTCGAATTGTTCGCGCTGTCTGCTTGAGCAAGGGAAGCAAGAAAGATACGTCGCTGGGTGATCGATAGCTGCTGGAACTGGAACGCACTCAGCTTGTCCTGCATTGCGCGTTGCAACTCGAGCTTGCTCAACGATTGACTGGATGTTGGCCCCTTCTTCAAGGGCTTCGAGCGAACTCGACTGGGTGAGCGGTGACCCACCGATTTCGCCTTAGCAACACTAGCAGCCAGCGCCTCCGCTGCCGCACGAACACTCGCAGCATCGTCTTCAAAGTCTTCGTCTTCATATTGTTGCTGCTGCTCCCCGACGGCAGCCTTCAATCCGGACACTACCTCTTCATTGCGGTGGGCGACCCGTTCAGCTCTGACTTCCGAGCTCACGGTATCGAGGGCGCGCTGCACCTTGTCGAATTGAGCCTGACTCGTTTCGCGATCGACTTCCTCTTGATTCATTTCTGCTGCTATTGCAGCAAGCGTTGGCTTGGGCTGGTCACTCTGCTGCCGAGGCACTTCAACCTCGAGACTTTTGGCAACCTCCATCAGCGACGGTGAGGCAGACGCAACTTCTTGCTTGGCGACCTCCAGCAGCGTCGGGGCTTTCTGTGGTGGCGTTTGTTCATCGCCACTGTCGCCGAACATGTCTTCATCATCTGCGTCGTCGACCTCATCCGCTTCTTGAGGCGGGGTTGGCTTCTTCTCGTCCTGAACCGTGGCTGTATCATTATCCTGCTTTTCGGCTCCAAGGCCCTGCACGAATGCCATCAAGGCCGACGCCATCGTGATTCACACTGCAAAATAGAAACTGGACAAACTCGACACAGGGATTCCATCGACACAATGGTGCATGGTATTGGAATATGCACCCCGAAAACGCCCCAAATCCCAAAGTTTTTCCCAAATGATTTAAGACCATGGGAACGTTTTGGTACATATTTAGGACAGAATAACCTTCAGTATGAAAGAGCAGCACAGGGCGGACACTCGCGCGTTGGCTCTCGTCTGCGGACTTAGCGACGGGTCTGCGGGGGGCCCGCCCCTCTCTCGCTTCGCTCGGGGGGGCGCCGCTGCGCGGCCTGCCCCACCCCCTTGTCCCTTACGCTAAGTTCCTCGTCTCGGCCAGGCGCGGTGTCTAGGAAAGAAAATATCGGGTTGCAGCGCTCGCGTTCGCTCGCTCGCACAGACACGCCCCCGCCTAATCGGCGGGTGTTGGCGATTAGTGAATGCATCGAGTGAGGCTCGCGCTCGCGTCCACTCGCCCTCGCCCATAGACTATAGACCATAATCAGTCAACTCCGTTTTGGTACATATTTGGGATAGTTTTACGAGAAAGCAGTCATATACTTGGCCCCAAATATGTACCTAAATGTTGCAGACAATTCATTATTTGGGACATTTGGGGCGATTTGGGCACATATTTGGGATGCATTATCAGCTTCCCATGATCCTTTTCGAGGAGAATGGCGGTCTCACAATCCCATTCCTTTGAATAGCGCGCGTTCCAGAGCGCAAGAACGCAAGTCTGTCTGAGCGTATTTTCATCGCGAATTGCGCCAAGCGAGATTGTGCATCTCGTCTTTGGTCATGTGCAAGCATATTCCCAATGCCCAGGTTTGTTTTCCTCTCTACGTGTTGGACACTTCACCTTGCACAGACCTCACACGTTGAAACGCAGGTATCCTTCCGAGCACCATGCTGCAGCCGATGGTTCGATTGCAGTGAGTGTCACTTCGAGCTAAGCGACCATCGACAGCAAGCAGCAGCTGAAATGGCCTTCGTGTGTAAGCAATGCCGCAACCCCTTCCGAAAAGACTTGACAGCTTTCGATGAGGAAGACGAAAGCTGCCCACACTGCGGGAACATGCTAGTGCAACCCGTTGGCGAATTGACCGATTCAAGAGCAGCGACACCCGCGGCGTCGAGTACGTCGTAGTGCCAGACAGTGCACGAAGCACTGCAAAATATAATACGATCTTCCGCTGTCAACAGTGTTGCTGTGCTTCGTGTGGAATTTGGCAACTCCACACCACGGTATCTGTCGCAGTCCGGCAGGGACGACAAGAGGCTGGCGTACGTGTCGAAGCGAGTGCATTGCGCGCTGCGATCCAGTCATGAGTCATGAACACCGCTGACGACGGCCAGACCACTGCCTCTGATTACTTTTTTGTCGAGCAGCGCTGTCCGTGAGCCTCCGCCTTGTTCAGCTCGCAGCTGATCAACCGTGAAACGTGAACCCCACCGCTAGCGAAATTCCGTTGCTTTTGGAAACTGAAAGGTTTGTCACGGTGTCTCCACTAGCCCAGCTCAAGACTATGACAGGAAATCTCGGCAATAGAAACCATAGATCACCTAGAGATACACTGACGCTATCGCAGGACTTGTAGGCATAAAGCAATGCTGTGCGCATTCCAGAGCGAACAGTGTCGATCACCAGTCCCGCTTCACTCCATTGAGATGCGCTTGCCGGCAATAAATCCAGGACGGCAGCAGCCTGGCCTCGGTACGAACGCGTTCGCCAGCGCTGCGACGCGGGCATCGTTGGTCGAAATGGCCGTTGCTCTATCGCTCCGCGTGTGTCAATCCGATAGCAGTCCACGTCAGGACTTGCATCGCGTAGAGTACCTTCAACACGACTGAACCGATCATGGCGGCGCGGCGTGCCAAGATGGCGACTTCAACAACTGAAGTTCAGTCTTGTGAGCAGCGCGACTACCGGTAGAGTGTGGATATCTTCATCGCTGGCACTGCCAAGTAACTTGGCAAGTTTGCAGTACGGCAACGCCAACAGCAAACAGCAACACCACCTGCGCCGGGCTTGAACATGGCAATTGTTCAGCACTCCTCCCGTGACGAAAGAGCCGAGACTGGGCTCTGCGAAGGGAGGCCGCCATCGTCTAACGTCCCAGCACGCCATCGGCATGGTCGCTCGCGGGATGCGGGTCGAGCGCTGGCGCTGCGAGACCCTCGGTTGTCACTCGCCTCGAGCAAGCAACCTTGATTCCCGCGCGACTCATAGTCCCACAGTGAGTCGAGCGAGCCCTGAATTGCGCGGGAGGGGCCTGTGCTGGGCAGCGCAGTGAAGCTTCCCCGCCAGTCTATGATCAATTGACCGACCCCGGGGCCCTGTCTGTTGCCACCCGCTGTCAAGAGCCCACCCAACCCACGTGCAGCCAGCTGCCGCGCTTCAATCGAGGCCCATTTAGGATTTTGCGGCGTTCGACGCAGCAGATCCCGCCCGAGAGCGTGCGCGCGTGGTGTGTGTCGTCACGGTCGGTGTGGTCAGTCGCGATGCTGGACGCCATCTCGCTGTCGGAGGAGGAGCTGGGGCTGCTGTTCGCGCCTGCTTCGCACGGGCCCAGCGCCCCCACGCTTGAGACTCCGCAGCTCCTCCGCACTAACCGCACTTCAGGAGGCAGAAAAACCGCGAGCCAAGCGCGCGGCGCTTCCTCAATTAAACACGCGACCAGCAAGCCGCGGAAATCCAAGAAGGCGTCGAGCGCAATGACCGACTCCAGCTCCTTCTTCTCCTCCAGGTTCACCGGTGGCGCCGTCGTTCCCGCTCGCTGCGGCTACCGCACGGGCAAGTGCCAGAACCTGCAGGCCATCAAGCGCAACGGGAAGCTGCACAAGCTCTGCGAGTTCCACCGCGAGCGAGCCAACCTGAACCAGAAGAAGCTGGACCGCAAGAAGCGCATGCAGCGCTCCAAGCTCTCGGCCGCAGCGTCGTCCTGCGAGTCCGTCACATCCGACGACGACGCGCGCAGCGTCGACATGGACAACAGTTCGCCGCGCGCCGTCGAGGCGGCGGTGACCAGCAGCGTGTTCGTCAAGCGCGAGCTCATCACCACAGAGATCAAGACAGAGCCTGACACGGCGCTAGTTCTCGACACGGATCTCGTGCTGCCGACCAGCCTCGACGAGGCCCCGCTGGTGCTCGGCTGCGAGGAGATCGCCATCTTCTGCAGCCTCATGAGCTTCGACATCAACCATCGATCTTCTGCCGCCTCAACATCGAGCGCGTGTCATTATTACACGAACGCCGCGTGAGACGGCCTCGGTTTTAAGTTATTGAATCGTAAACCAGTCGAGGATGAAGCTACCGTATAGGCTAAATACACATTGTACTACATGAACGAGCGAGCACCATTCAGCGAGGAAGGAGGCCGGCGTATCTTTCAGTGTGTTTTACTTCACTTGCATTGACGATTCCTATTAAACCTAGTTTTACGCTAAACCTAGGTTTTACACTAATTCTTGATACGGATCGTGCTGCTAATCTTGGCCCGTTCCTGCCATTCTGGAACCTGCGGAGATAGCTGACGATGGCGGCTCTACTGTCGTGGGTGAACCTGGCGCTGTATGCGCTGCAGCTCCTCGTGAACGGGCACTCGTCGCGCAGCATCGGGCCCATGTCGCGGCGCTACGAGACGCTCATCACGCCCGCGCCCTACGCCTTCAGCATCTGGGGCTTCATCTACACGTTCCTGGCCGCGACGGTCGTGGTCGACTGCTTCTGGCCCGCGGCCTCCTTCTACTCGAGCGCCCCGAACGCCACCGTGCTGCGCGCGCTGTTCGCCGTCGCGTGCCTGATGAACATGGCCTGGATCGTCTTCTTCACCAACGAGTACGTCAACGTGGCCACCGTCACGCTCGTGGTCCTGTGGCTCGCGCTCTTCGCGCTCTACGCGCACGTCGTGCAGGAGCGCCGCGACGCCGGCTTCGAGCTCAAGCGCTACGTGCTGAGTGAGCTGGGCGTGACCGTCTACTTCGCGTGGACCTGCGCCGCCACGCTCATCAGCTTCGCCGTCACGGTGCAGTACGTGGCCAACGATTACCTGTCGCTCACGGCCTACGTGTCGCTGCTGTCGCTGCTGGCGGTGGCCACGCTGTCCGCCGTCATCTACGAGGGCGACGTCGCGTTCGGACTCGTGGCCATCTGGGCGCTCGTGGGGCTTGCGGCCAAGACCACGACGCTGGAGCCGCGCGTCGAGCTCATCGCCGTGAACATCCGCGCCTGCGCCATGCAGAGCGCCGCCATCGTCGCCGCCTTCATCGTCATCGCCATCGCGCACAAGCTGCTGGCGCCCAAGACGTACGTGCCGTTGGTGCTTAGGGAGACGTGAAGGAGGAGGGGGCTCTAACTCGAAATCCTTTTTCTGTGTTGTGCTGCAGGCAATTCCAACCGCTGCAGTCGGGCGCGCCGCTGTTCACTGACAAGACTGCGCAGCACGTCGACTACGGGACCACCCACGCCTAAGAACCCTCTCTCCATGCCCGCCCGCGGCGACACATGCTGAAATAAGGCTAGATGATGAATATCAATTCCTCACATTGATGTTCTTGAGGGTGCCTGTCCATCACTGTTAGCGTTTCGCCCCAAAACTTCAAGCAGCCAGAGGCTTCAGTATCGAAAAAGCCAAGAGATGGCGACACTGCGCGCGGTTCTGCAGGAGACGGCGAGGCTGCCGTGGGTCAACGCCGCCTTCTTCGGCCTGCAGATGCTGCTGACGTGCATCGCCCTGGCGGTGGGCGACGCCGCCGACGTGCGCGCGCAGCACGACACGCCGCTGACGCCCGCGGCCTACGCCTTCTCCATCTGGAATGCCATCTACTTGCTGTGCATGATCCTGCTGATCACCGACGTCTCGTACGCCGGCCTGTCGCTCTACGACTCGGCCGCCAAGCCCAACGCGTTGCGGCTGTGCTTCGCCGCCTCCTGTGTGGCCAACGGCACGTGGTGCATTGTGCTGGCCAGCGGAGACGTGCTTGGCGCCAGTGTGCTCGTGTCGCTGCTGTGGCTCACGCTGCTGCCGCTCTACGTCTTCGCGAGCTACGAGCGCAACGTCCAGACGGTGCAGTGGCACGAGTATCTGTGCAGTGAGCTGTGCGTGCGGCTGTACTTCGGATGGATCACAGTGGAGGCGGTGCTGAGCTGGACCATGACGCTGCAGATCGACGCCGGCGGGTTCCTGCCGCTGTCGACGTACCTGATATTGCTGGCCGCGATGCTAGTCGTGGCGCTTTCGGGGCTCTCTCATGGTCGTGACCCGGTCATGGCTCTCGTGGTGGCGTGGGCGCTCGTGGGCGTCACATCCAAGGACGTCTCGAGCTTCGACCCAATTGCGTTTGCCGAGCTCGAGAAAGTGCAGGCCGCAAGTACACTCGGAGCTGGCGTGTTGGTGGCCATGGCGCTCGTGTCCTGCAGCTACAGGGCCTTGCAACTCAACTGGTACGTTCGCTTCTCTGCTCTCATCCGTCCTGCAAGCCCAATTAACCGATCGCTACTGTGGTAACAACTCGTTCTCTCGTGACACACACTTCCAGCGCGTCCAAGCCGCTGTCGCCCCGCCCTCGCCGACTGTCGAGACTCTCGCAAGCCTCCACCAAGGACAACGAGTACGGGGCCATCTCACTCGCCTAAGCCACCACCGTCGCCACCACGGTGGCGCTCAAATGTATCCATCTTGCCTTGACTCAGAAATCATTTTCATCCAATTAGTGAATGTCATTTCGGGTGTCCCCGCCAATCAGCGCCATTAATCGCTAACCAACTCATTGTTAGAGCTCTCTTCCGCCACAGCTCTCCATGATGGATCCGCCGAGCCCGGGGCGGCATCTGCCCTGCGCCAACGTCGTGCTCTTCGCCATGCAAATCGCCATCGTCATTGGCGTCTACCTCTTCGCCCCCGCGGGCTCCTGGGCGCCCTCCAAGGCGCCAGGCTCGCACGTCGCGGCCTCCGGGGCCTCCGACAGCAGCGGCTCGCTCGCTCTCGTGCCCGCCGCCACGCCCTCCACACTGACGCCCAACAACCCGCTGGCCCCTCCGGCCTACGTGTTCTACATCTGGGTGCCCATCTACGTCTTCACGGGCATCACCGTGGCCACCGACCGCTTCTACCCGGCCTACAGCTTCTACCTGACGTCGGACGACCCCAGCTTCCTCCGCCAATGGTTTCTGCTCGCTTGCCTCGCCAACATGGCGTGGGTCGCGCTAGACATGTGGTTCAGCTGGGTGCACATGGCGACGTTCGCGTTCGGAGTGCTCTGGTGCACCGTGCTACCGCTCTACCTCTTCGTGGTGCGCCACCCTACGCCAAGATATTCGCAGGCCTGGATCTACTACTTCTGCAGCGAGTTCTCGGTGCGACTCTACTTCGGATGGCTCAGTGCCGACGTGATCTTCGGGATTGCCGATGTGATGCAGTATCTGCACGGAGCCTACTTCGGGTTCAGCGTGTACGCGATGCTGTTGGGGGCGCTGCTAGTGTTGGCGTTCGGCACCTACGTCCACGGCCGAGACCCCGTTGTAGGCCTGGTTGTGACGTGGGCGTTGGTTGGTCTTCTATTTAAGCACACGACGTTCCCAGGGGAGACGCAGGAGGTCTTCGAAAAACTGCAGGCTGTCGCCATTGTCGTCGCGCCCGTTTTCCCGATTCTTGTGTTCATCGACAGCGTCCGATACGTCTACGTCGTCCATTGGAAAAGGTAAGTTTTGTGCGATGATGATCTATACTGAATTGAGCTCACGTTAGAGATGTATCTGCTTGCTTGTTTCTACAGTGCAAGGGTTCCAAGTGGTAGCGACGAGTACTACAAGCCATTTGTATTTGAGACGACGGCCGAGTATGGGACGGTTTGATGTGTAGGCGAAGTGCACATTTGTTTATACAGAAGTCGCCCGGCATTTTTGATCCACTCTTGCACCGTGTACCTCCTATCTTTGGTTCGGTCCGGGCTCATCCAGTGCTTCGCCTTTCAACTGTTGAGGTCTGTAGTTCAAGCTGTGCAGGATCGACGCAGCAACAGCATCCACCTTGGGGTTGTAACTCGAGTAATAAGCTTTGAAGACGAGCGTCAACAGCACGAAAAACAGGGACGAACGTGTAGACTTGAAAGGTGCACGACGTCGATAGCAATAAAGAAAGCTATAGCCGGGAGACAATCTGCTTGTTATCATCAAGCTGTACTGTAGATTCGCTGATATTTCAAAGTGCGTTTACAGAGGCCGACATTGATCAGCCAGGGCTGTGGAAATATAGATTCATGCTCTTTCGTAAGACGATACTTAGCCCCAGAGAGCCTACCGTAAGACAAAGCGTCTTACGTTTTGCAATCAACGCATTTTGGCTACATCTTGGTTTTAGTATACCAGTGGCTACATTGTATTTTGTCCGTCAAAACGTAAGACAGTTTGTCGGACAACAATTTGCACCATGCGATTGGCCAAAACTTTCAGAGGGTAGTGTCGTTGCGTGCGTTCCTCCGTTGAGCATGTAGGAACCCGAGGACAACCGCTTTGCCGTTTTTGAATTGCTCGTGCCACCTACAGTCGAGCCGACGAAATAAGGCGCTCACAAGCACGAACATGTAGTCGGTAGTGCGGCCCTACTGCCAACTACAATGTACACGCTAGTTTGAGAATGGTTAAGAAATAAATGCACCCGAACCATTAGCCCAGCTTGACAAACAAAACGTTCAGGGCTTTATAGTGAATTCTAGTTAATGCATAACCAAATAGAGCCCCTCTTCCTCCGGTAGTGCGGCCCACGAACCCTGTCGTGTCCTCTGAGGACGCCTCCGAGCGAAGCAGTGCACGACGAGCGCGCACACATGCTCCGCACCGAGGCGTTGTCGGAGGACGCGAGGGAGTAGACAATCAATACATTATGAGATCTTACCAAAGTCATGAAATGAACTGTTTTGTAGTAGCAACAAGGCAGCGTCAGCCAGTCTTGGTATTTGTATTTGTATTTGTATTTGTTGGGGTTTGCTTGGCTAACTTACTCCCGGAGGCGCACACTGCTGCAGCTCCACCTACGTCGGTAGTGGACACCACCGACCTCACCCGCGGCCACGTGTAGGTAAGCTGTTGTTGGTGTCGCAAACAAATAACTACAAAACGACGTGAGGGCCTCTAAGAGTCAAATGAACGGCGAAACTTCTCGGGAATACATGAAAATGCCAAAGCTAAAGTAATTGATCAGCCCGGCTGAAGGCGCTTACCAGTTTGCTCGGCCTGCTACTGTAGTACTAGGAAATCTAAACGATCTAAGCTCGCCGTGGTGTTTTAAATATGTAGAGGGAGTTTGTTGGTGTCGCAGCGCTCCTCCGCACAGTTCTATCAAACCGCCAATCATTACTACCACTACTATGCTGCGCCCAATATTAGTCAGGATACGAAGTGCAACGAAATGCATCAAAAAGAGCAGCGAAGAGGAACGCGGGCCTTCCTAGCAGAGCCTGCGAGCACTCTGCGCCTGGCAGTGCCAACAGAATTGGCAAGTCGTACTATTCGCCAATCAAATCACTAAATTTGATTTGTCGTCAAACTGTCTTACGAATGCTCGACACAAGTGATTGTTTATTGATTGACGGCTCAGATCTGGAACAATCAATTATTGCAATCTCAACAATCTCACAAACAAAAAGATTGCAATCTAAGTTCTCGCTTGTATTTCCTCTGCTACGTTCATATTTTTATTGGTTTGGCGGCGCTATCGCTCTAAGACCTTTGCTTGTGCGATTACATTTGTGTTGAGATTCAAAAACCTTGGCCAAATGCAATGTTGGGTCTTTTATTCATAATGTTGAGCGTGCACCCCATCCAGGCATCCAATGACACCTCATATCCGCATTTCGAAGCAGCAGAAGACACATAATGGCTTTTTAGGAGCTAGGATCGGTTGCATAGGCTTGACGTTGCATATTTCTCTACCGGATCGCTGGCAAAGGCTCAAAATCAGTATAGGAACAATATGGGAACGGGATTGCCGATTGGGATCGCGGAGCAATCAATTATTGTGATTGACAATCTCGGCAATATTACAATCGCAATCATTTTTTCCACAGCTGATCAATGCTCAGCTGAGCTGAATATCGTGCTGTTGGTGCAGGTGGGCGCAAACTACAGAATCTAGAGAAACAGGCAACGGAGGGAATGGGTGGAACGTGAACCATATTCTCGTCATCGTAACAGACCCTGCAGCAGACTAGTACGAGAGCCCTCAATGGGACAAAGTAAATTACAAGAACCAGGGCGTAGAGTCCATGGTCCGGCAATACACCAGCGCAAAGCGCGTACAATGCGCGAATTGGTAGCGCGACTTTTCTTTTGCTATCTCGCGGCCGCAACCATCTACCACCGACGCGATGCAGTACAGTAGCTCAACAGCGACTACTTCAGCACTGCATCGATTGATCCAATACAGTCACGAAGCGACTATCATTGTCACTATACCAAGTCCGTGCTGTCGATTAGCTCTCCGTTTTTCGAAGACAAAATGTTTGCGTGGTCACGTTATAGTTTCCAGGATTTCTGGTGTGGAAGTACATCTGAGATATTGCTAATACAAGTGAGACTGCCATTGAGGCGAAGGGCTTTTTCGTTCGACTTCACGGTGTCAACTGCTCCATATATTGGTACAAGCAGTAGACCCAAACATCTTGTACACAACTAGGGACCACGAAGTGATCGCTAGTTGTGCCTGGTTCCGAGAAGCCGATGCTCGGAAGTTGAGCTTACTCTGAGTAAGATAACTCCGCAATAGTAGCCCCTCGAAGACACTATCAAGAAGGAAATACAGGTTCAGTGAGAGGACCTACCCTCCGCCTAAAAAGGACACTACAAACACCTAAACTGTTCTATCAGCACTGTAAAATATCGCTGAGCACACAGTTATCACTGTGTACCACATGAGTTGAGCGACTGACACTGAATAAGGGGTTGGCTCGCGGCATTGTGGTATTTTTCACCAATCAAAACTAGTAAACTAACCAGAGCATGCTCAACCGAATCTCATTTTGCTGGCACTTGCGATCTTCCCTAAAGCCAGCAAGACTCGCCCCCCCCTCGCTGTTACGCCACCACCACCAAGATGCCTCGCCGCCTGCCCTGGCAGACTCTAGCGATCGCGCTTCCTCGCGCCGACGCCGAAATCCTCCTCGACACCTTTAAGACCTTCAAGATTGTCAAGAGCGACCTCTACATGTGCAGCATCTGCGCGATCCCCACCCCGCATGCAATGCGGGCCCAGCTGCTGCGATGTGCATGCGCCTCTTGCGCTGAAGCTTCGCCATGCCAGCCGTGCCCTTGGCGCGGACGCGTACGCACGTGCCAGGAGCTGAAGCTTGTCAACATGGACGAGTTGTATGCGCACGTGACGCCTCTCCGCTCCCCGCCCTCGGCGCCACGCCTAACGCCCGCAATGAAGGAGGTTGCCCAAGACTGGGCGGCGCAGGGCCTCAAGCCGCTGCGGATTTGGAACGGCCTAATGCGGCGCTTGCGCGAGATGCCGGCTTTGGCATCAGTCCAGCGGCTCGTCCACCACCACGTGACCTCGCGTTTGGGTGGCAGCGACCTCCTTGGTGCTGTGCGATTGAAGATTCGAGCCGCTGGCTATACTGGCCAAGAGGACGAGACGGCTGCATTCACGTTTGCGTGGCGCAGCAACTCGGAGGGAAAGCCGGAGGTTGGAAATGGGACGGACAGAAGCCCTTTCATCGTTGGCATCTCCTCCAAAATGCTGCTTCGCCACGCGGACCGGGACCCGGCTACGTTTGTGCTCCATGTGGATGCAACCTACAAGCTTTCTCAAGTCGGCTACCCCGTGGTTGTGGTGGGGATCTCGGACAAGGCTCGGCAATTCCATCTCCTTGCCGTCTTTATTGTCTCTTAAGAGCGAGAAGAGCAGTACACGGAGGTTTTCTCGGTGCTGTGCCGCCTTTTCCAATCGGTCACGGGCAAGACGTTGCGGGTTCGTTTCGCTATGGGAGATGCTGATCTCGCGCAGTGGAACGCGCTACAGGCCGTTTTCGGTGTGAGTCAGGACTTCTGCTTCCTGTTGTGTTTTTTTCATGTCGCCAAGAAGGTGTACGAAAAGACACGAGGTCTAGATGGCAGTGTTGCAGTAATGGTGATGTCCCATCGCCACGAGTTGCACTTCACGAGGAGCGAGGACGAGTACAACAAAATGCTCAAGAAAATAAAGGAGGAGTGGTCGAAGTGGACTCAACTGAGTCGGTTCAAGGCCTACCTTGAAAAGGCGTGGCTGAACGTAAGGGTGTGGAGGTGGCAATGCTTTCACACGCCGAGCGGCTTTGCCACCACCAACAACCCCTGCGAGTCGTTCAATGCCGCCATCAAGCGCGACGTCACTTTGCGTCGGAAGCTGAAGGTTGGGGCGCTGGTGGAGCAGCTGATGGTGCTGTGCACAAGTGAAAGTGTGCGCGCGCGCCAATTCGCTGCGTCAACAACCTTTTCGGAGCGTCTGTGTCGCCGCGCTCGGGCAATGACCCGCCAGGGGCTACTCTACGAGCAGCAGTACGAGCGCACCAGCATTGCCTTCCTGCTGAGCGATGCACCCTCCGAGCAGCAGAGCGACAGCATGAACGTGGTCTCGATCCCCTGCACCCGCATCTTTGATGTCCTGGACCGCCGCTCGAAAGAAGACCTTCCTGCGTCTGCTCAGCTAAACGTCGAGACTGCGAAGATGGAGCACCGCGGAATGCCAACATGCGGTTGGGAAGTCAATGTTGCCGCGCGCACGTGCCCGTGTCGTTTTTTCATGAAGCACGGGGCCTGCATCCATCTCCTGTACTGCCTAAATGCGGTTGGAAGCCTTGATGTAAAGGGACGTGAGACTCTGTTCTACCGCGGAACCAACAAGCGCAAGCGCGCTGCGGCTGCTGATGAAGCTGCTAGTCAGGCTGCTGGACGGCCTCGACACAATGGGCAAGCGCTTTCAATCGAGTGAGTGTCAACAATGTAGACCAGAAGAATTAGTCAGTCACAGAGTAAATTTAATTCATACCTGGTTGTTCATCAGTGCTCTCACAAAGTTGCAGCCGCTCGCCACCCCAAGCCGTATCCCCGTAGTGCGCGGCCACTCCGTAGTTCTCTGCTGTTTTACGACGCTCGAATGCTGTGGGGTGGGGAGCACCTACGTGGCGAGCACTGCCTATGTGGTGCTGGCCTACGCCTTCGCCACGCTTCACACCTCTGCTCCATCATGGCGCTCCACGCCTCCTCTCTGCTCAGCACCTCCTGGTCTGTAGAGCTCAGCCCCTCCTTCCCGTTCTGCTAGGCCTTGCCGGCCTGCTTCTTCTTCCTGCTCCGCTCCTCCTTCCTGATCAGTTCCTTCTTCATGTTCTGCTCCTTCTTCTTCCTCGCTGCTCTGCTCCTTCTTCCTGCTCAGCCCCTCCAAGCAGGTGGCGTGTAGCTCCTCCAACCCGGTAACGAGCAGCCCCTTCGCGCGATGTTCCTTCGTCCGGCGACGTCTTCGTGGGACTTGGCGCCTTCGTTGCGCTCGGCTCCTCCGCTGCGCTCAACTCCTTCGGGTCAGCGGCGACCGGCTCCTCTGCGCCCGGTGGCGACCAGCTCCTCCCAGGGGCAAGCAGCTCCTACGGGTCGGTGCGTGGAGCTCCGCTCCTCGTGCCCGACGCTGTCTTGCAGATTGGTGTCGGGCAGCTGTCGCATCAGCAACAGGATGTCCGGCTTCTTGGTCTTGGCGGTGGAAGGCGAGGCGAGCACTCGCTGGCCGTGGTTGTCACTACAGCTTCGCAGCACTTGATTCTAGAATGAGCACTGGGCCACACAACGGGATGTACCGCATATTTGGTACATTCGAGGCCAAGGTGGATACACGAGGGTCTGCAACCTACAACGTGGCAACACTGTCAATGCAGATCGGCTGGCCTGTCTCTCCTTTCGGTGCTGGTAGAGCTTTTGCAGTGTTGGGCTGAGTTCCTACAGGTGTTTATGGCATTTTCTCGTTCAGTGATCTGTCAGTAACCGATGTACCTGCAGCAATCTATCCAGTTTAACATATCACAGGAGTACTGTTTTAAGGCTATTATGGTTTGTTTACTGTCGTTTATGGTATCTTCATGGGCCATCATAACGATTTCATGCATATTTACGGATTTTTCATGTGTTTATACATTCTCCATTGCCTTTACGGATTCTTCATATGAGTAATTCATAAGCTTTATGGAATGTTCATACCGATAAAAAGAAGGTGCACCCAAGAGCAATTAAACAATTTAATGAGATTGGGCCATTTTGGCCAAACGTAAGTAGATTGATGTACTACTTATAAGTAGATTCAACGTCCAATCTACTTATCCGAGAAATGGGTAATTTCCAATTTAGTTTTAGGCACGTGGAAATTTACGACTCTTTTTTATGATATACACGTACTCGCATTTATTTTGTGTGACCCATTGGTTTACCCATTGTTAAACTACCGAGTCGTAAATTTTAACGCGCGCCAAAAATTACGACTCGTTCATTGCGTCAAAACTTACGACTCGTTGACTGCGCTAAAACTAACGACTCGTTCATTTTTACACAAGTCGCTTCACTATTCGTTTCGTTCGGCAGGGTACGACACGGGCCGTTGTGACTTTAAATCTACCACAATCGATTCTAACTATATCTACTCCGCTACAGCCTAGTCTTTTTTGGTTGGTTTCGAAACTTACGCTTGCGCTTCAACGGGCGTAGTCGGTCCTCTCTCGTTTTCCTATTCGCATCATTCAAAACACCCGACTTACCTCGCTCGCCACCAAGCACTCCGACTTACCTCGCTCGCTACCAAGCACCAACTTCGGCTCGCGATGGATGCTAACACCTCTTCCAGCATTGTGGAGACCGTCAGCCTTGAGGAACTTCGGACACTCGGCCTCCTACGTGATGACGCTGACGTATCGATGGATCGCGCTGCTCCGAGCACGTACGACCACGTGTCTGACCATGGGCAGAATCTCGTGCCGGCGACATTCGAATCGAGGGTGGTCCTGCAGCAATGCTGTCGTGAATTCGCCAGGCGCCAGGGCTTTTCACTTCAAGTTGCCAACAATAGCTGGCGCAAAACTACTCGGGAGGGTAACGCCAAGTACACCTGCAAGCCTTTGAAGGGGCAACAACCGCTGGCCCCAGGAAACAAGGCGGCCTGTCCATTCTTCTTCACGGTGTACGGGCTTCGCGATGAGTGGAAAGTCACCCAGATGTGCCTGGCACACAACCATTACCGCCACGCTGGGTTCCAAGGCGACGTCTTTGTTGAGGGCAATCTTCAAGGGGATTCAATGCCACAGCGCCAACGAGATGTTCCATACAGCATGATGCGTGGGGTTTTAGAGCGGGAAATGTTGCCGGCCTACAGCGACACCTGGGCCAACGTGCCTGGTAGGGCCATCATGGACTTTCTTATGTCAAGTCAGATCATAACAAACCGCCAGACGGCCTCGAGACTCAAGTTGGATCTCCTCGAGTTTCTACGCGATGATGTTCTGGCAAGCTATCAGAAACTGGAGGCTTATCTTCGGATGGCGACGGACGCAAACGCAACCTCCAGCTACGAGTTTGAAAAACGAGAGGATGGTGTTTTCAGTCGCGCCTGCTTCTTCCCAGGGGCTTGTTTGAAGGCCATACAGCACTCCAAGCGTGTCATCGGCGCCGACGGAACGCACTTGAAGGGGGACATGAACAAGCGCGGCGTCTTCCTTCTGGCAACCACCAAGGACCGCAATGATCACATCCTTGTGGTGGGACTCGCTCTAGTGAGCCAGGAGGATTATGCAAACGGGAAATGGTTTCTCTCACACATGAAAACGGCAATCAGTGGTGTTGACGCACCATGGAAACCCGTGTTCGCGTCAGACCGACAGAAGGGATTACTTGCCGCAGTATCCGGACTCCGGCCACCGCTTCTGCGTTCGACACATCATATCCAACATTTCCAAGCGAGGATCGTCGCTGACACCTACTGAGCAATCGCTCGTGTTTCAGATGGCGAGAAGTGAATGCGAAAACGACTACGAGTTCTACAGCTCCAAGTTGGCGGACACCCGACCTCAAGCCGTGGAGTATCTAAATGGAACAGCCAAGGAGCACTGGGTGACGTATGCTTTTAACGAGGCGTACAATCAGCCGTCGTATGACGAGATCACCTCCAACCTTTCCGAGGCTGCGAACCATTGGCTGGGCAACCCCTGTCGTTCGAGCTACCCCCTGGAGGCTTTTGAGCAATACATGATGAAGCTGGTGGAACAGTTTGCAGCCCACCGGCGTGAAGCATCCAAGGACCGCCGACACCGCCAGGAACGAGCGTAAGTCCCTGGCACTGGCGACGACAGCGTCATCCCTACGCTGGCGTCGTTTTACAACGACAAGCTGACAGCGATGATGCCTATACGAATGTCTCCACATTCTCCCGTGTCTGGACGGCCAGTATATGGTTCGCTTCACCGACATCAGCTCCAGACCGGGCCACGCTCACATGTGGCGCACCTCAACTTGGTCGAGCGAGAGTGCACCTGTCGCAGGTGGCAGGATGAGAACTTCCCGTGCGTGCACGCCGTTAAGGCTGCCATTCACCACGGTGTGCACGTCACTCAACTGTTTGATGTGGAGATGTTCAACACCGCTACCGCTGTCAAGACTTACTACTACCAATTTGTCCCTGTGCTCCGCTCAGCGACTATCGCCCTAGATGCCACTGTACGCGTTCCAGAGGTCGTTGTTATCGAGGAAGATTTAGGGTCGAGGGGCCGCAAACCCGGTCCCAAACCAAAGCACAAGCGCAAAGTTGCGAGAGTAGGATCCGTCAGCACGGCCACGGTTGCTATGACTCAGTAGTCTTTGCCAGCCAGTGGGCTTCTTTTTTAAACTTGCATATCGATACATACTTCTCTTTCCCATTATCACACGCGATGAATTGTTCTATACATCTAGCCGAAAGTACTGAAAGCATAGATAATAGTCGGATCGTACTGTTTCACGAAAGTTTAGTCGTACGATTTCACTAATAGCTAAGTCGTACGATTTCACAAATAGCCAAGACGTACGATGCCATTAATAGTTAAGTCCAACGATGTCACTAATAGTTAAGTCGTACGATTTCAATAACAGTTAATCGTACGATTCGCTAATATTTAAGGCGTAAATTTCACTTATAGTAAAATCGTACGCTTGTACTGATAATTGTCGTACGATTTGACTAATAGTAAACCGTACAATTTGTTTCAAAGTAAATAGTAAGATTTTCATAATATCTATATTTCAAAAGTGTTCGGGTTTTATCATTTTCTTAAAGTTAAAGTTAAGCGACGATAATTATATGATGAGCAAGTAGCAAATTCAAGAGGAAAAGTAACATATATTTTTTAAACTCAGTTGCAGGAAAAAAAACTATCTAGAGCGTGATAGCGACGCGGCACTGCGGGCATCGAGGCGAGACTTCTTCTGCCATGCAATGATCCATGAGACATACAGTCAGAGCACATAGCGTGCTGGCAGGATGTTGGGCGAACAGGTTCCTCGAGAGTGTCTTGGCACATTACGCATATGTCGGCATCAGTAGCATTATCATTTGCAGCGCCATCTTCATCTTCGTCGTCACTCGTGATATCGATAATTTCAGGAATTGTCGATGCTACGGGGACAGACGAGGGGCTGGCTGGGATTGGGGCGACGGCGGTCCGGCTGAGTAGGTCTGCTGGCGCCTCCGTAACTGGGACGGATCTAGGCGGAGTTGCAGGGCGGGTCTCCAGCTGAATTACTCGGTTTCCGAGCAACAGAAGCGCTTCCCGGCGGGCTTGAGCGTATCTTCGGTCGTAATCCTTCTTAGCCCGCCGGGCGAGCTCCTCGCGCCGAGCCTTCAGCTGAGGGAACTTCCGCTCGAAACAACCGCGTGTGCCGATGTGTCCACGGACACTGCTTGCGGCGAGGTCAGTGCCACACAAGGGGCAGTCGACACGAGTAGGAGGTATCGTAATGCAAAATGAAACCAATTCCTTATTTCGATCTAGTATAGCTTGAACGCTTCAGCTATTTATTCGTATTATTTTTTTATCCTTATCCGAGGATGACACTACCCATTTCTCGGATAAGTAGATTGGACGTTGAATCTACTTATAAGTAGTACATTAATCTACTTACGTTTGAACAAAATGGCCCCAATCTCATTAAATTGTTTAATTGCTCGTTCACCCAACGGCTATGTGCGACCTTTGAGCCCGCTCGGCTGCGCTGTAGGCCAGTTGATAGACCCGTCTCTCCTCCGCGTGTCGAGCGTAATACGCCTTCTGGCGTTGCAGCCGCCGCGCCCTATCGCTCTGATAGACTTGAGGTTTGTATGTGGACTGGGTTGACTCCGTGTTTCTATATAAGTGAGGGCGGCAGTCTCAGCTTGGCGCCATTTGGAAATCTTCCCGCAAGCTACCAAGCCGCCATGCCGCCCCACACTGCTTCCTCGCCCCGCGCCGACACGCCCCGCGGACCCGGCACTGTGAACATCACGTTGAGGTGCCGCGGCGTGACCGAAGTCATCGAGAACGTCAGCGTCCGGTGGACTATGGGGGCGCTATGCAAGAAGATCGCCAAGGCGCTCAAGGAGACCTTCGGCATCGACGCCATCCCCGCGCAGCTCCGCCTCAGGACGTACGTCAAGATCGACGGCGAGTGGCCGACCGAGGAAGCAGCCGAGGACGCTGCGAACCGCCCCACCGTGATTGGCAAGTCTGTGTCCACCGAGCTCGAGGGTATTGGCGCTGAGGGCCGCGTGCACCTGCTCGTGACGATGCCTGCAGACGGTGATGATAAAGAAGAGAAGCCCGCCGCAGCAGAAGAGAAGAGCGATGCCAAGGACACCTCGGCAGAGGACGGCGACATCAGCGACGTCGAGACGGCCGTAGCCCGCTTCAGCAAGCGGGTCACGGGGCGCAATCGCAAGCGCAAGACGTCCACGGCGGACTCCACGGAGGATACCCGTATCGCGTTCTCCGACGTCACGGAGACACAGGCGAACGCGATGTACGAGAGCATGGACAGGGATAACAACTACGACATTAAGACGACGACGCTAACAGAGGAGCTCAAGGCGGGGATCCGGGAAGACTACGCGCGACCGGTCGGACCGATGCTGCCTTCGTGGAGCAGAAAGAAGTGCACAAGCGGCGCTACATCGACGCGATACTGAGCCGCCTGATCTTCGCTGTGAACGAGAGCACCGGTGCCAAGGACGAAGCCACCAAGCTACTCCTGTTTCCTGCGTACGGGATCGCGCTCCCGGAGCTGAACGCGTCTGGAGCTGCGGACTGGGTGATCAAGCGCAGCGACCGGATGCTTGTCGTCATCGAGGCCAAGCAGTGCGGCATCAGGAGGGGCCAGTATCAGCTACTCGCGATGATGGAAGCCCTCCGTATCCACAACAAGAAGCTTAAAATCAAGCAGACCAAGGTCCAAGCCATCTGCACCGACTTCCAGAACTGGTTGTTCGTGGAACGGAAGTCGAGAACTCTGCGGAAGAAACGCAAGGGCACGGTCCCTGCCACCACTAACGAGCTTGATGAGAATCTGCTAGATATCTGTGAGCGTGTGTACACCATGTTGTTGAATTTATAATATATTCATGAACGCTTATACTTTCTTCTTCATCGCTTATGCTTTCTTCATGGTCGGTCCGTAAAGAATCCGTAAGCATTATACATGCTTTATACTAGAGACGTAAAGAATCCGTAAACTCGCGTTTCCACCACCTTCCACCACCCGGTCCTGCTGATGACGCTGCTCTAGATCAGGTTTGGTTCACTGTAAAGGGGTTCCACCTCTTCCACCGGTGGAAACCACATGTGGCGACCTCACTCGAAGGGTAAGGGCCCTTACCCCCCCCCCTTACCCCCCCTTATTTTTGTCATTTGATTTTTAGGGGTTAAAGGTAGTGGAACTAGTGGAATGAGGTCTAAAGGGGCTGGCGATGTGTTAGAGCTCGTGAAAAGTGGTGGAACAGGGTGGTGGAAGGTGGTGGAAGTGGTGGAAACACAGGTTTACGGTTTCATTACGCCTCTACCATAAGGAATGTATAAAGCTTACAGATTCATTACGGATCGACTATGAAGAATGTATAAAGCGGGTACTAGTGGACTTGACTAACCCTGATATTGAGCAGCATCCCCAGCAGGACGTTACACGCGGTTGTAGGCTATACCTGTCATGTGGCTATGGAACAGTTGCGCATGCGCGCGGTCCCTCTCCCTGACCGTCATCCTATGATACGCAGCAGATGCTTGCAGATCAGACTCGTGGATGTGGCGCATGTTGGTAACCGTCAGCGGTGTCCCAGCATAGGCGCTGAAGATGCGTGGCAGACGGCGCGCGAGGCTGTTGCGTGATGCGACGTGCGTCAGTCTGTTCTGGCGGAAAGACAAGATGAACAGGTACTCTACACGATCCTGTAGCCGTTGGAGCACCCGTAACCATGCGGATAGGACGTACGCAAGGTCCCGCCTGACCTCAATCGTGGTCTTTCCTATGTGGCGGCTGTTCTTGAAGTCCTGCATGACCACCCGAAACGAGAACAGCGGCCCTGCCTTCTTGAAGTACAGCCAGTTGCCCTCGGATGGGATGGAGCGCAGCCTCGAGGTCAGGTGTAGCGAGCTTCAATCAGCGCGGAGAGCCGGTTGTAGGGTGTAACACGCCATCAATGCGATGCGCTGCATCTCCTTGGCAAATCGCGTCGCATTCAGCTTCTTCCCACGCATAGCCACCAGTTCGTTGAGGTTCGCATCCGTTAACAGCATTAGCGGGAGCCTTATCGCGTGAATAGACGCTCCATCGCATCGGCTATCACGACTTCAAGGTCAGTAAGCGATCGGTAACGCTCCTGCTGCTCATCCGTCAGGCGGTTCTCCACTGGATTCCTCTGCATAGCCACCTCCAGCCGCTCGATCTTGCGCCCGTATGTACGCTTGCTACTGGCTGTGACCGCGTCCCCAGCGGCTTTCACTAACGCAATCACGTGACACCACCTTGAATACTGGGTGCGAAGGGTCTCGGAGTCTTCCACGCGGCTGACCACCGCCCTTGTACGGTTCAGAAACGTTAGGTCGCGTGCGTTGCGCACCACATCAGCAACTGACTTGAGGAAGCCCACGCGTGCCTTCAACAGTACTGAACTGGTGGTTGTGGGTGCCAACGCATCCCTGATGACCGTCTCCATCGTATGCTATGTATAAGGCGCACAAAAAAATTTCTAAGAGCATCCTAAAACGATCTGCTCGACCGGACCTTGACGATCCAATAGTGAGGGTACGATGCCACGGATGGGTGCCTATTGCGCTCCGTGATTGCTGATGGTTTCATTGCAATCAGTATGGAGTCGGTCCGGACAAGTGGGATCGGCTCAGGGGTCGCGGTTTCGCCATCCAAGGGCATCTGTTGACTTTCCCTTTTTTGGTCCATCGATGTTTTTATTGCTCTTGTATATACGACCAAATAACAAAATTGTGGTTATCGCAAATTAATTAGTGTATAAAAGTTCGTACTTGGGCGGAGTATCCACTTGGGTACTAGGGCTCCGCGAAGGCTGGGATAGGAGGTTTTTGGTATAACCGCTTTCTATTATTATGAGTATTTTTTACGAACCACGGGCATCTCCTGCGCCTGCTTCGCAGCCGCAGCGTCTGCCCAGTAATTCACCTCAAAACTGTAGATAGTGCTTATACACAGTGATAAAACGAACCTTGCTCGAGATCTGTTTGTAGCTTGTAGAAAATGAAAATGTTTACCTTTGTATGCTTCTGCAGCAGTTCGTCCGCTTTAATCATTCACTTTTCTTCACTCCTACTATTCGATATATGTTACTGACTCATACCGGTTCAATCTGCCCACGCTTTTGGAGGCCCAGTGTGGCCACCGCGGCCGTACCGGTGTACTTAAGTAATGGGTTTTCTACCAGTTCAGCTTGCCCACGCAAATAAACCTTTTGGAGGGCCCAGTGCGGCACCGGGGTCACACCGGTTTCAGGACAATGTACCAGTTAGGTGTCAAGAGGGGTCACCTTTTGACTTGACGTACCACGGATATAATCCTGTTTGGTCTGCGATTGCAGCACTAACGTTGCTTCCTATCCCAGTATAACCGTCATTACTGATTTCATCGATCTACCGTGCAAGTGCCCGAGGAAGGGCGCACAGCATCGCAGTCGACAGCCGCGCCACACCAGCAGCAGCCAGCACCAACGCCCGACCCTTCGCTGCGGTCGCCGCCCAACTACAGAGGTAGCCTCATTACTCAACTCGCCATGCAGCGCTTCGAGGAGGAGAACGGCAAGCTAATACGCTACCACGTGTTTGACTGCGCTACCCAAGAGAGAGGCTTCCCGCGCGACAAGCTCTTCCTGACCTACACTCGCTATGTGATGCTCAACGGCACCGTCAAGGACGAGATCGACGGCAAGATGTGCGGGCCGGAGGGGCTCGTGGAAGCTGCTCTACTGCTTGTACGACCGAACGGCGGACTCCACGCCCGAGCAGGACGTCGTGTTTGACGCCGTGGACCTGTGCTTCAAGTCCGAGGAGGACAGGGAGGTATCCGAGGGCGTCGTGAAGAAGGCGGAGAGGCTGTCCAACGCGGAGCTGTGCCTCGCGGCGCAGCGCTACGACCGTAGGCTCTTTGACCTGTGCTGCATGCTGCCCCAGACGTGGCTGACCAACCGCGAGAACGTCTGGCAGCTCGCCGGCTTCTTCTACCGCCGCCCGCACGTTGGCCGCGAGGTCATGCGATACACGTTCGTGTGCATCCTCGCGCATGTGCGTGGCTCCTACTTCGACACAGCGGCCGCCCTCGCAGCCTTTAACGACTGGAAGAACCCCAAGTAGCACCCCAAGCTGACGGAGGGTGTCATCAAGAGGATCGTCGGCGGCGCCAACCCAGCCGGGTACCGCAAATGGGCAGAGCGCTGCGAGCGCAACGGCGGCTGCATGGACGACATCGGCGACGTCAAGGACCTCGACAGCCCGAAGAAGCTGAAGGCCGCCATGCTCGAGGCGCTGCTGGACGAGCTCGAGAAACTGCCGATGAAGCTCATCCGCGAGGACAACGAGTACACCGTCGACTCGCTGGCCGAGGCAAGGAAGTGGGAGTCGCTCAAGACGCTGGCCTACCCTATCAAGTCGAGCTACGCGCACGCGAGCAACCGCGGCACGCCGTACGGTGCGTACCACCTGAAGAAGTTCGTGGAGGTCGTGCGGTACGGTGCCCGTGACTCGGTGCGCGTCATCGGTTACGAGCGCGCCAGCACGCGCAGCAAGAAGGCGGCGGGGGGGGGCGACACTATCTACAGCGTGCCGTTCAGGCTGCTGCAGCGAGACCTGAGCGACTTCGACTGCCGCCAGATCCCGACGACCAAGTACAAGCGCGAGCTCAAGGTCAGGCTGTCGAACCACGCCGTCCGCTACCTGCTGCACCGTCGCGAGCAGTGGCTGGAGGTGGGCTTCACGGAGGAGAGGAATGAGGGATCGAGGGAGACGTACGAGCTCTACAAGGAGTGAGCGGCGTGGGCGGACCCGAGTACGGTGGTCAAGGGTGAACAGGTGTTTGGCACGATGCTGAACAAGCTAGGCTTCACGCTCAACAAGGGCGCCAAGGTCTCCGGCAAGACGATCAAGCGCCGCACGTTCTCTGTGGACCTGATCGAACTGAACCTGGAGCCGTACATCATCGCTGACGAGACGGTTCGAGTCAGCCAGCTGCTTGACATTTTTGTTTTTGGAGGCGGGTAGCTCCCGGCCTGGCGGTTCGAGGCTTCGGGTATGTGAGGCAGTGGACCATGGCGGAGCGCGGAGAATCGACAAGGCGTGGATGCTGGCGCCTCACGGGTGCTAATGTGCTGGTGGAGAGGACGATCGTTGTAATGGGTGCGGAGGCTTGCTTGGCGATGTGTGGAGGGATGGCGCTGTGAGGCGGTTGTGTGTGGTTTTGTTTGGTGTGTTTTGTGGCGAGTTGGCGTGTGCGTGTGTGTGTGTGTGTTGGTCTGAGCGCGTCGATTGCGTTGCGGTTTGGGTTTGTGTCTGGGCGCTTAGCTCAAATGGTAGAGCACCCGCTTCGCATGCGGATCGATACCCCCAGTGTCCACTTTTACGGCACACAACACTTTTTACGAACAAACACTTTTTACCGCCCCTCGCGCCGCTGCTTGCTTCCTAGCCTTCCTACCCCTGCTCACCCGCCACCCACAGCTCACCCGCCATCTGCGAGCGTGCTGGTGCCTACGTTTACAGACGACCCACCTTTTTTGTCGGCGAGTGTGGGGCAACCACGCCGACTGCCAGGCGCAGGATCCCACAAGAGTTTGGGCATGAGGGAGACCGGCTAAACAGCTCACCGAGAGCCTGGTCAGCGCCACAGACCAAACGCCCAGCTGTGTGCTCTGTGCTCTGTGCTCTGTGCTGTGTGTCACCTCTGTCCGGGCCACTGGCCGGTCGGACGAGTAGGGTTCGAGTCAGCCAGCTGCTTGACATTTTTGTTTTCGGAGGCGGGTAGCTCCCGGCCTGGCGGTTCGAGGCTTCGGGTATGTGAGGCAGTGGACCATGGCGGAGCGCGGAGAATCGACAAGGCGTGGATGCTGGCGCCTCACGGGTGCTAATGTGCTGGTGGAGAGGACGATCGTTGTAATGGGTGCGGAGGCTTGCTTGGCGATGTGTGGAGGGATGGCGCTGTGAGGCGGTTGTGCGTCGTTTTGTTTGGTGTGTTTTGTGGCGAGTTGGCGTGTGCGTGTGTGTGTTGATCTGAGCGCGTCGATTGCGTTGCGGCTTGGGTTTGCGTCTGGGCGCTTAGCTCAAATGGTAGAGCGCCCGCTTCGCATGCGGGAGGTAGGGGGATCGATACCCCCAGTGTCCACTTTTACGGCACACAACACTTTTACGAACAAACACTTTTTACCGCCCCTCGCGCCGCTGCTTGCTTCCTAGCCTTCCTACCCCTGCTCACCCGCCACCCAAGCTCACCCGCCATCTGCGAGCGTGCTGGTGCCTACGTTTACAGACGACCCACCTTTTTTGTCGGCGAGTGTGGGGCAACCACGCCGACTGCCAGGCGCAGGATCCCACAAGAGTTTGGGCATGAGGGAGACCGGCTAAACAGCTCACCGAGAGCCTGGTCAGCGCCACAGACCAAACGCCCAGCTGTGTGCTGTGTGCTCTGTGCTCTGTGCTGTGTGTCACCTCTGTCCGGGCCACTGGCCGGTCGGACGAGTAGGGTTCGAGTCAGCCAGCTGCTTGACATTTTTGTTTTCGGAGGCGGGTGGCTCCCGGCCTGGCGGTTCGAGGCTTCGGGTATGTGAGGCAGTGGACCATGGCGGAGCGCGGAGAATCGACAAGGCGTGGATGCTGGCGCCTCACGGGTGCTAATGTGCTGGTGGAGAGGACGATCGTTGTAATGGGTGCGGAGGCTTGCTTGGCGATGTGTGGAGGGATGGCGCTGTGAGGCGGTTGTGCGTCGTTTTGTTTGGTGTGTTTTGTGGCGAGTTGGCGTGTGCGTGCGTGTGTGTGTGTTGATCTGAGCGCGTCGATTGCGTTGCGGTTTGGGTTTGTGTCTGGGCGCTTAGCTCAAATGGTAGAGCACCCGCTTCGCATGCGGATCGATACCCCCAGTGTCCACTTTTACGGCACACAACACTTTTTACGAACAAACACTTTTTACCGCCCCTCGCGCCGCTGCTTGCTTCCTAGCCTTCCTACCCCTGCTCACCCGCCACCCACAGCTCACCCGCCATCTGCGAGCGTGCTGGTGCCTACGTTTACAGACGACCCACCTTTTTTGTCGGCGAGTGTGGGGCAACCACGCCGACTGCCAGGCGCAGGATCCCACAAGAGTTTGGGCATGAGGGAGACCGGCTAAACAGCTCACCGAGAGCCTGGTCAGCGCCACAGACCAAACGCCCAGCTGTGTGCTCTGTGCTCTGTGCTCTGTGCTGTGTGTCACCTCTGTCCGGGCGGGTTCGAGTCAGCCAGCTGCTTGACATTTTTGTTTTCGGAGGCGGGTGGCTCCCGGCCTGGCGGTTCGAGGCTTCGGGTATGTGAGGCAGTGGACCATGGCGGAGCGCGGAGAATCGACAAGGCGTGGATGCTGGCGCCTCACGGGTGCTAATGTGCTGGTGGAGAGGACGATCGTTGTAATGGGTGCGGAGGCTTGCTTGGCGATGTGTGGAGGGATGGCGCTGTGAGGCGGTTGTGTGTGGTTTTGTTTGGTGTGTTTTGTGGCGAGTTGGCGTGTGCGTGTGTGTGTGTGTGTTGGTCTGAGCGCGTCGATTGCGTTGCGGTTTGGGTTTGTGTCTGGGCGCTTAGCTCAAATGGTAGAGCACCCGCTTCGCATGCGGATCGATACCCCCAGTGTCCACTTTTACGGCACACAACACTTTTTACGAACAAACACTTTTTACCGCCCCTCGCGCCGCTGCTTGCTTCCTAGCCTTCCTACCCCTGCTCACCCGCCACCCACAGCTCACCCGCCATCTGCGAGCGTGCTGGTGCCTACGTTTACAGACGACCCACCTTTTTTGTCGGCGAGTGTGGGGCAACCACGCCGACTGCCAGGCGCAGGATCCCACAAGAGTTTGGGCATGAGGGAGACCGGCTAAACAGCTCACCGAGAGCCTGGTCAGCGCCACAGACCAAACGCCCAGCTGTGTGCTCTGTGCTCTGTGCTCTGTGCTGTGTGTCACCTCTGTCCGGGCCACTGGCCGGTCGGACGAGTAGGGTTCGAGTCAGCCAGCTGCTTGACATTTTTGTTTTCGGAGGCGGGTAGCTCCCGGCCTGGCGGTTCGAGGCTTCGGGTATGTGAGGCAGTGGACCATGGCGGAGCGCGGAGAATCGACAAGGCGTGGATGCTGGCGCCTCACGGGTGCTAATGTGCTGGTGGAGAGGACGATCGTTGTAATGGGTGCGGAGGCTTGCTTGGCGATGTGTGGAGGGATGGCGCTGTGAGGCGGTTGTGCGTCGTTTCGTTTGGTGTGTTTTGTGGCGAGTTGGCGTGTGCGTGTGTGTGTTGATCTGAGCGCGTCGATTGCGTTGCGGCTTGGGTTTGCGTCTGGGCGCTTAGCTCAAATGGTAGAGCGCCCGCTTCGCATGCGGGAGGTAGGGGGATCGATACCCCCAGTGTCCACTTTTACGGCACACAACACTTTTACGAACAAACACTTTTTACCGCCCCTCGCGCCGCTGCTTGCTTCCTAGCCTTCCTACCCCTGCTCACCCGCCACCCAAGCTCACCCGCCATCTGCGAGCGTGCTGGTGCCTACGTTTACAGACGACCCACCTTTTTTGTCGGCGAGTGTGGGGCAACCACGCCGACTGCCAGGCGCAGGATCCCACAAGAGTTTGGGCATGAGGGAGACCGGCTAAACAGCTCACCGAGAGCCTGGTCAGCGCCACAGACCAAACGCCCAGCTGTGTGCTGTGTGCTCTGTGCTCTGTGCTGTGTGTCACCTCTGTCCGGGCCACTGGCCGGTCGGACGAGTAGGGTTCGAGTCAGCCAGCTGCTTGACATTTTTGTTTTCGGAGGCGGGTGGCTCCCGGCCTGGCGGTTCGAGGCTTCGGGTATGTGAGGCAGTGGACCATGGCGGAGCGCGGAGAATCGACAAGGCGTGGATGCTGGCGCCTCACGGGTGCTAATGTGCTGGTGGAGAGGACGATCGTTGTAATGGGTGCGGAGGCTTGCTTGGCGATGTGTGGAGGGATGGCGCTGTGAGGCGGTTGTGTGTGGTTTTGTTTGGTGTGTTTTGTGGCGAGTTGGCGTGTGCGTGTGTGTGTGTGTGTGTTGGTCTGAGCGCGTCGATTGCGTTGCGGTTTGGGTTTGTGTCTGGGCGCTTAGCTCAAATGGTAGAGCGCCCGCTTCGCATGCGGGAGGTAGGGGGATCGATACCCCCAGTGTCCACTTTTTACGGCACACAACACTTTTTACGAACAAACACTTTTTACCGCCCCTCGCGCCGCTGCTTGCTTCCTAGCCTTCCTACCCCTGCTCACCCGCCACCCACAGCTCACCCGCCATCTGCGAGCGTGCTGGTGCCTACGTTTACAGACGACCCACCTTTTTTGTCGGCGAGTGTGGGGCAACCACGCCGACTGCCAGGCGCAGGATCCCACAAGAGTTTGGGCATGAGGGAGACCGGCTAAACAGCTCACCGAGAGCCTGGTCAGCGCCACAGACCAAACGCCCAGCTGTGTGCTGTGTGCTCTGTGCTCTGTGCTGTGTGTCACCTCTGTCCGGGCCACTGGCCGGTCGGACGAGTAGGGTTCGAGTCAGCCAGCTGCTTGACATTTTTGTTTTCGGAGGCGGGTAGCTCCCGGCCTGGCGGTTCGAGGCTTCGGGTATGTGAGGCAGTGGACCATGGCGGAGCGCGGAGAATCGACAAGGCGTGGATGCTGGCGCCTCACGGGTGCTAATGTGCTGGTGGAGAGGACGATCGTTGTAATGGGTGCGGAGGCTTGCTTGGCGATGTGTGGAGGGATGGCGCTGTGAGGCGGTTGTGTGTGGTTTTGTTTGGTGTGTTTTGTGGCGAGTTGGCGTGTGCGTGTGTGTGTGTGTGTGTTGGTCTGAGCGCGTCGATTGCGTTGCGGTTTGGGTTTGTGTCTGGGCGCTTAGCTCAAATGGTAGAGCGCCCGCTTCGCATGCGGATCGATACCCCCAGTGTCCACTTTTACGGCACGCAACACTTTTTACGAACAAACACTTTTTACCGCCCCTCGCGCCGCTGCTTGCTTCCTAGCCTTCCTACCCCTGCTCACCCGCCACCCACAGCTCACCCGCCATCTGCGAGCGTGCTGGTGCCTACGTTTACAGACGACCCACCTTTTTTGTCGGCGAGTGTGGGGCAACCACGCCGACTGCCAGGCGCAGGATCCCACAAGAGTTTGGGCATGAGGGAGACCGGCTAAACAGCTCACCGAGAGCCTGGTCAGCGCCACAGACCAAACGCCCAGCTGTGTGCTGTGTGCTCTGTGCTCTGTGCTGTGTGTCACCTCTGTCCGGGCCACTGGCCGGTCGGACGAGTAGGGTTCGAGTCAGCCAGCTGCTTGACATTTTTGTTTTCGGAGGCGGGTGGCTCCCGGCCTGGCGGTTCGAGGCTTCGGGTATGTGAGGCAGTGGACCATGGCGGAGCGCGGAGAATCGACAAGGCGTGGATGCTGGCGCCTCACGGGTGCTAATGTGCTGGTGGAGAGGACGATCGTTGTAATGGGTGCGGAGGCTTGCTTGGCGATGTGTGGAGGGATGGCGCTGTGAGGCGGTTGTGTGTGGTTTTGTTTGGTGTGTTTTGTGGCGAGTTGGCGTGTGCGTGTGTGTGTGTGTGTGTGTGTTGGTCTGAGCGCGTCGATTGCGTTGCGGTTTGGGTTTGTGTCTGGGCGCTTAGCTCAAATGGTAGAGCGCCCGCTTCGCATGCGGATCGATACCCCCAGTGTCCACTTTTACGGCACGCAACACTTTTTACGAACAAACACTTTTTACCGCCCCTCGCGCCGCTGCTTGCTTCCTAGCCTTCCTACCCCTGCTCACCCGCCACCCACAGCTCACCCGCCATCTGCGAGCGTGCTGGTGCCTACGTTTACAGACGACCCACCTTTTTTGTCGGCGAGTGTGGGGCAACCACGCCGACTGCCAGGCGCAGGATCCCACAAGAGTTTGGGTATGAGGGAGACCGGCTAAACAGCTCACCGAGAGCCTGGTCAGCGCCACAGACCAAACGCCCAGCTTTGTGCTGTGTGCTCTGTGCTCTGTGCTGTGTGTCACCTCTGTCCGGGCCACTGGCCGGTCGGACGAGTAGGGTTCGAGTCAGCCAGCTGCTTGACATTTTTGTTTTCGGAGGCGGGTGGCTCCCGGCCTGGCGGTTCGAGGCTTCGGGTATGTGAGGCAGTGGACCATGGCGGAGCGCGGAGAATCGACAAGGCGTGGATGCTGGCGCCTCACGGGTGCTAATGTGCTGGTGGAGAGGACGATCGTTGTAATGGGTGCGGAGGCTTGCTTGGCGATGTGTGGAGGGATGGCGCTGTGAGGCGGTTGTGCGTCGTTTTGTTTGGTGTGTTTTGTGGCGAGTTGGCGTGTGCGTGTGTGTGTGTTGGTCTGAGCGCGTCGATTGCGTTGCGGTTTGGGTTTGTGTCTGGGCGCTTAGCTCAAATGGTAGAGCGCCCGCTTCGCATGCGGGAGGCAGGGGGATCGATACCCCCAGTGTCCACTTTTTACGGCACACAACACTTTTTACGAACAAACACTTTTTACCGCCCCTCGCGCCGCTGCTTGCTTCCTAGCCTTCCTACCCCTGCTCACCCGCCACCCACAGCTCACCCGCCATCTGCGAGCGTGCTGGTGCCTACGTTTACAGACGACCCACCTTTTTTGTCGGCGAGTGTGGGGCAACCACGCCGACTGCCAGGCGCAGGATCCCACAAGAGTTTGGGCATGAGGGAGACCGGCTAAACAGCTCACCGAGAGCCTGGTCAGCGCCACAGACCAAACGCCCAGCTTTGTGCTGTGTGCTCTGTGCTCTGTGCTGTGTGTCACCTCTGTCCGGGCCACTGGCCGGTCGGACGAGTAGGGTTCGAGTCAGCCAGCTGCTTGACATTTTTGTTTTCGGAGGCGGGTGGCTCCCGGCCTGGCGGTTCGAGGCTTCGGGTATGTGAGGCAGTGGACCATGGCGGAGCGCGGAGAATCGACAAGGCGTGGATGCTGGCGCCTCACGGGTGCTAATGTGCTGGTGGAGAGGACGATCGTTGTAATGGGTGCGGAGGCTTGCTTGGCGATGTGTGGAGGGATGGCGCTGTGAGGCGGTTGTGCGTCGTTTTGTTTGGTGTGTTTTGTGGCGAGTTGGCGTGTGCGTGTGTGTGTGTGTGTTGGTCTGAGCGCGTCGATTGCGTTGCGGTTTGGGTTTGTGTCTGGGCGCTTAGCTCAAATGGTAGAGCGCCCGCTTCGCATGCGGGAGGTAGGGGGATCGATACCCCCAGTGTCCACTTTTTACGGCACACAACACTTTTTACGAACAAACACTTTTTACCGCCCCTCGCGCCGCTGCTTGCTTCCTAGCCTTCCTACCCCTGCTCACCCGCCACCCACAGCTCACCCGCCATCTGCGAGCGTGCTGGTGCCTACGTTTACAGACGACCCACCTTTTTTGTCGGCGAGTGTGGGGCAACCACGCCGACTGCCAGGCGCAGGATCCCACAAGAGTTTGGGCATGAGGGAGACCGGCTAAACAGCTCACCGAGAGCCTGGTCAGCGCCACAGACCAAACGCCCAGCTGTGTGCTGTGTGCTGTGTGCTCTGTGCTCTGTGCTGTGTGTCACCTCTGTCCGGGCCACTGGCCGGTCGGACGAGTAGGGTTCGAGTCAGCCAGCTGCTTGACATTTTTGTTTCGGAGGCGGGTGGCTCCCGGCCTGGCGGTTCGAGGCTTCGGGTATGTGAGGCAGTGGACCATGGCGGAGCGCGGAGAATCGACAAGGCGTGGATGCTGGCGCCTCACGGGTGCTAATGTGCTGGTGGAGAGGACGATCGTTGTAATGGGTGCGGAGGCTTGCTTGGCGATGTGTGGAGGGATGGCGCTGTGAGGCGGTTGTGCGTCGTTTTGTTTGGTGTGTTTTGTGGCGAGTTGGCGTGTGCGTGTGTGTGTGTGTGTGTTGGTCTGAGCGCGTCGATTGCGTTGCGGTTTGGGTTTGTGTCTGGGCGCTTAGCTCAAATGGTAGAGCGCCCGCTTCGCATGCGGGAGGTAGGGGGATCGATACCCCCAGTGTCCACTTTTTACGGCACACAACACTTTTTACGAACAAACACTTTTTACCGCCCCTCGCGCCGCTGCTTGCTTCCTAGCCTTCCTACCCCTGCTCACCCGCCACCCACAGCTCACCCGCCATCTGCGAGCGTGCTGGTGCCTACGTTTACAGACGACCCACCTTTTTTGTCGGCGAGTGTGGGGCAACCACGCCGACTGCCAGGCGCAGGATCCCACAAGAGTTTGGGCATGAGGGAGACCGGCTAAACAGCTCACCGAGAGCCTGGTCAGCGCCACAGACCAAACGCCCAGCTTTGTGCTGTGTGCTCTGTGCTCTGTGCTGTGTGTCACCTCTGTCCGGGCCACTGGCCGGTCGGACGAGTAGGGTTCGAGTCAGCCAGCTGCTTGACATTTTTGTTTTCGGAGGCGGGTGGCTCCCGGCCTGGCGGTTCGAGGCTTCGGGTATGTGAGGCAGTGGACCATGGCGGAGCGCGGAGAATCGACAAGGCGTGGATGCTGGCGCCTCACGGGTGCTAATGTGCTGGTGGAGAGGACGATCGTTGTAATGGGTGCGGAGGCTTGCTTGACGATGTGTGGAGGGATGGCGCTGTGAGGCGGTTGTGTGTGGTTTTGTTTGGTGTGTTTTGTGGCGAGTTGGCGTGTGCGTGTGTGTGTGTGTGTGTGTGTTGGTCTGAGCGCGTCGATTGCGTTGCGGTTTGGGTTTGTGTCTGGGCGCTTAGCTCAAATGGTAGAGCGCCCGCTTCGCATGCGGGAGGTAGGGGGATCGATACCCCCAGTGTCCACTTTTACGGCACACAACACTTTTTACGAACAAACACTTTTTACCGCCCCTCGCGCCGCTGCTTGCTTCCTAGCCTTCCTACCCCTGCTCACCCGCCACCCACAGCTCACCCGCCATCTGCGAGCGTGCTGGTGCCTACGTTTACAGACGACCCACCTTTTTTGTCGGCGAGTGTGGGGCAACCACGCCGACTGCCAGGCGCAGGATCCCACAAGAGTTTGGGCATGAGGGAGACCGGCTAAACAGCTCACCGAGAGCCTGGTCAGCGCCACAGACCAAACGCCCAGCTTTGTGCTGTGTGCTCTGTGCTGTGTGCTGTGTGTCACCTCTGTCCGGGCCACTGGCCGGTCGGACGAGTAGGGTTCGAGTCAGCCAGCTGCTTGACATTTTTGTTTTCGGAGGCGGGTGGCTCCCGGCCTGGCGGTTCGAGGCTTCGGGTATGTGAGGCAGTGGACCATGGCGGAGCGCGGAGAATCGACAAGGCGTGGATGCTGGCGCCTCACGGGTGCTAATGTGCTGGTGGAGAGGACGATCGTTGTAATGGGTGCGGAGGCTTGCTTGGCGATGTGTGGAGGGATGGCGCTGTGAGGCGGTTGTGCGTCGTTTTGTTTGGTGTGTTTTGTGGCGAGTTGGCGTGTGCGTGTGTGTGTGTGTGTGTTGGTCTGAGCGCGTCGATTGCGTTGCGGTTTGGGTTTGTGTCTGGGCGCTTAGCTCAAATGGTAGAGCGCCCGCTTCGCATGCGGGAGGTAGGGGGGTCGATACCCCCAGTGTCCACTTTTTACGGCACACAACACTTTTTACGAACAAACACTTTTTACCGCCCCTCGCGCCGCTGCTTGCTTCCTAGCCTTCCTACCCCTGCTCACCCGCCACCCAAGCTCACCCGCCATCTGCGAGCGTGCTGGTGCCTACGTTTACAGACGACCCACCTTTTTTGTCGGCGAGTGTGGGGCAACCACGCCGACTGCCAGGCGCAGGATCCCACAAGAGTTTGGGCATGAGGGAGACCGGCTAAACAGCTCACCGAGAGCCTGGTCAGCGCCACAGACCAAACGCCCAGCTGTGTGCTGTGTGCTCTGTGCTCTGTGCTGTGTGTCACCTCTGTCCGGGCCACTGGCCGGTCGGACGAGTAGGGTTCGAGTCAGCCAGCTGCTTGACATTTTTGTTTTCGGAGGCGGGTGGCTCCCGGCCTGGCGGTTCGAGGCTTCGGGTATGTGAGGCAGTGGACCATGGCGGAGCGCGGAGAATCGACAAGGCGTGGATGCTGGCGCCTCACGGGTGCTAATGTGCTGGTGGAGAGGACGATCGTTGTAATGGGTGCGGAGGCTTGCTTGGCGATGTGTGGAGGGATGGCGCTGTGAGGCGGTTGTGCGTCGTTTTGTTTGGTGTGTTTTGTGGCGAGTTGGCGTGTGCGTGTGTGTGTGTGTGTGTTGGTCTGAGCGCGTCGATTGCGTTGCGGTTTGGGTTTGTGTCTGGGCGCTTAGCTCAAATGGTAGAGCGCCCGCTTCGCATGCGGGAGGTAGGGGGGTCGATACCCCCAGTGTCCACTTTTTACGGCACACAACACTTTTTACGAACAAACACTTTTTACCGCCCCTCGCGCCGCTGCTTGCTTCCTAGCCTTCCTACCCCTGCTCACCCGCCACCCAAGCTCACCCGCCATCTGCGAGCGTGCTGGTGCCTACGTTTACAGACGACCCACCTTTTTTGTCGGCGAGTGTGGGGCAACCACGCCGACTGCCAGGCGCAGGATCCCACAAGAGTTTGGGCATGAGGGAGACCGGCTAAACAGCTCACCGAGAGCCTGGTCAGCGCCACAGACCAAACGCCCAGCTTTGTGCTGTGTGCTCTGTGCTCTGTGCTGTGTGTCACCTCTGTCCGGGCCACTGGCCGGTCGGACGAGTAGGGTTCGAGTCAGCCAGCTGCTTGACATTTTTGTTTTCGGAGGCGGGTGGCTCCCGGCCTGGCGGTTCGAGGCTTCGGGTATGTGAGGCAGTGGACCATGGCGGAGCGCGGAGAATCGACAAGGCGTGGATGCTGGCGCCTCACGGGTGCTAATGTGCTGGTGGAGAGGACGATCGTTGTAATGGGTGCGGAGGCTTGCTTGGCGATGTGTGGAGGGATGGCGCTGTGAGGCGGTTGTGCGTCGTTTTGTTTGGTGTGTTTTGTGGCGAGTTGGCGTGTGCGTGTGTGTGTGTGTGTGTTGGTCTGAGCGCGTCGATTGCGTTGCGGTTTGGGTTTGTGTCTGGGCGCTTAGCTCAAATGGTAGAGCGCCCGCTTCGCATGCGGGAGGTAGGGGGATCGATACCCCCAGTGTCCACTTTTTACGGCACACAACACTTTTTACGAACAAACACTTTTTACCGCCCCTCGCGCCGCTGCTTGCTTCCTAGCCTTCCTACCCCTGCTCACCCGCCACCCACAGCTCACCCGCCATCTGCGAGCGTGCTGGTGCCTACGTTTACAGACGACCCACCTTTTTTGTCGGCGAGTGTGGGGCAACCACGCCGACTGCCAGGCGCAGGATCCCACAAGAGTTTGGGCATGAGGGAGACCGGCTAAACAGCTCACCGAGAGCCTGGTCAGCGCCACAGACCAAACGCCCAGCTGTGTGCTGTGTGCTCTGTGCTCTGTGCTGTGTGTCACCTCTGTCCGGGCCACTGGCCGGTCGGACGAGTAGGGTTCGAGTCAGCCAGCTGCTTGACATTTTTGTTTTCGGAGGCGGGTGGCTCCCGGCCTGGCGGTTCGAGGCTTCGGGTATGTGAGGCAGTGGACCATGGCGGAGCGCGGAGAATCGACAAGGCGTGGATGCTGGCGCCTCACGGGTGCTAATGTGCTGGTGGAGAGGACGATCGTTGTAATGGGTGCGGAGGCTTGCTTGGCGATGTGTGGAGGGATGGCGCTGTGAGGCGGTTGTGTGTGGTTTTGTTTGGTGTGTTTTGTGGCGAGTTGGCGTGTGCGTGTGTGTGTGTGTGTTGGTCTGAGCGCGTCGATTGCGTTGCGGTTTGGGTTTGTGTCTGGGCGCTTAGCTCAAATGGTAGAGCGCCCGCTTCGCATGCGGGAGGTAGGGGGATCGATACCCCCAGTGTCCACTTTTTACGGCACACAACACTTTTTACGAACAAACACTTTTTACCGCCCCTCGCGCCGCTGCTTGCTTCCTAGCCTTCCTACCCCTGCTCACCCGCCACCCACAGCTCACCCGCCATCTGCGAGCGTGCTGGTGCCTACGTTTACAGACGACCCACCTTTTTTGTCGGCGAGTGTGGGGCAACCACGCCGACTGCCAGGCGCAGGATCCCACAAGAGTTTGGGCATGAGGGAGACCGGCTAAACAGCTCACCGAGAGCCTGGTCAGCGCCACAGACCAAACGCCCAGCTGTGTGCTGTGTGCTCTGTGCTCTGTGCTGTGTGTCACCTCTGTCCGGGCCACTGGCCGGTCGGACGAGTAGGGTTCGAGTCAGCCAGCTGCTTGACATTTTTGTTTTCGGAGGCGGGTGGCTCCCGGCCTGGCGGTTCGAGGCTTCGGGTATGTGAGGCAGTGGACCATGGCGGAGCGCGGAGAATCGACAAGGCGTGGATGCTGGCGCCTCACGGGTGCTAATGTGCTGGTGGAGAGGACGATCGTTGTAATGGGTGCGGAGGCTTGCTTGGCGATGTGTGGAGGGATGGCGCTGTGAGGCGATTGTGTGTCGTTTTGTTTGGTGTGTTTTGTGGCGAGTTGGCGTGTGCGTGTGTGTGTGTGTGTTGGTCTGAGCGCGTCGATTGCGTTGCGGTTTGGGTTTGTGTCTGGGCGCTTAGCTCAAATGGTAGAGCGCCCGCTTCGCATGCGGGAGGTAGGGGGATCGATACCCCCAGTGTCCACTTTTTACGGCACACAACACTTTTTACGAACAAACACTTTTTACCGCCCCTCGCGCCGCTGCTTGCTTCCTAGCCTTCCTACCCCTGCTCACCCGCCACCCACAGCTCACCCGCCATCTGCGAGCGTGCTGGTGCCTACGTTTACAGACGACCCACCTTTTTTGTCGGCGAGTGTGGGGCAACCACGCCGACTGCCAGGCGCAGGATCCCACAAGAGTTTGGGCATGAGGGAGACCGGCTAAACAGCTCACCGAGAGCCTGGTCAGCGCCACAGACCAAACGCCCAGCTGTGTGCTGTGTGCTCTGTGCTCTGTGCTGTGTGTCACCTCTGTCTGGGCGGGTTCGAGTCAGCCAGCTGCTTGACATTTTTGTTTTCGGGGATCCTCAGAGTCGAC